GACTTCAGCTGTATAAGGCCGAGAGCTGTGCACGGGAGGAAAGAAAGAAAGAAAGAAGAAAGGAAAGAAAAGATAAAGAAGGGAAGAAGAAGAAGAAGAAAGAGGAAAAGAGAGAGGGTTTTGCGGGTACACGCTACGAGATCCTCCCAAAGCTAGATTAATCACGTACTGCAACACCCGGTGAGTGCTCAAGCTCTTTGATCTTCCAATCATAGAAGTATTCGAAATTAGAGCTTAAATTCCAAGTTTTGTAATCGAGCAGCAATGTCCGAATTTTGAATTGTTGAACTAAGGGATTTCATGGAAATTGTGGATTTATTTTTTGGCATTGTGGAGCTGTGGGGTTTGACAAGAGTCAATTTAGAGAAACGGTTAGGTCGAAATAAGAATTTTGGGGTTTCGTGTATGAGTTCTGCGTTGTGCTTAGGTTCGAATAATCAATTTGAACGAGCGATTTGTTGTCACATAGGAGTCGTTTTATTAGCATTTAAGCTTAGTATAGCCATAGTTTAGGTAGTGTTTTACTTGATTTTGACGTCGATTTTACTACTTTTCGTTTATTTATTAATGGTTTGCAAAATGTTTTATGAAATTCGTTTCGAAATGTTACGGGATTATGATATGAATTCTTAAATGGTTTGAAAAACGCCTTGTGAAATGTATTTTGTTTGATGAACGAGAGTTAAGAAAGATTATATGTTTGGTTTGTGAAATCGTTTTGTGATTTGATTTTGAATAGGCTTGTGAATTGCGAAGGATGCTGTTGTGAGTTTGTGCCAGTACTCAATATTGCTGTGAGCCCATTGAAGGCTTGTGAGTATACATATTAATGTCAGGATATCATTGTGGGCCAGCCATCGGCAATATAGGTTAAGACCTTACCAAGGGAGGGAGCTTGGTCACCTTGTCATAGGACTTTATGCATGATCATGGTTATATATTTGAGCACGAGTTTGGTCAATAGATGGATCATTGACATGTGATTTGAGATTAGTCGATGAAATGGACCATTGACATGTGATTGGAGATTGGTCAATAAAATGAACTATTGATGGGTGATGTAGTTGAGATTGATCAATGGACTTAACCGTTGATGTTTGAATTGAAATGATGATTTAAATGAGTATTTGTGAATTATATAAAGCTTGTTGAAGTGAAGTAACTCATATATGATTCTATATGTATATTAAAGAGTTGGATTATGAGTTTCGGGTAGCATTCATATATGATGTGATATATATTATATATATGTATGGCGACTGCTCCATCTACTTAGAAAAGATGTACTTTTCACTAGGCTATGCTTACTCACCCCTTTCCTTCTCAATCTTTTTAGGTTCCTTGGTTAGTGGATAATAGAGCGAGAGCGATATCGACGGGGACTTTTGGGAGTTGGATTTTTGGGTATGATTTGAGGTTGCATCCTTCGGGTGGAAGAACGGTCGTGTCACTCCCCCATTTTGGTAGGATTCAAGGTATGACATATTTTGATATCAGAGCTTAGGTTATGATATGTTTGGATTTAGATTCTATGAGACGTTGTGAGCTTGTGTGTTAGTTTATAACAAGTTAGTCTTTTGTGAGATACTAGGATTAGGATGTATGTTTCTTTTGGTGCAACTGATCATCAATTCTGATTTAGAGAAGCATGCTTCCCCTTGTAAGAGATAACAATGGCAAGCAAATGGTTACCTTTGATACGAGGACTGTATCTTAAGGTTCTCGATGAGCGATTTTGACATGGAGATAAAGAGGGTCATTTTGATTTGAAACCTGACTCTAAGGAAACAAAACAAGTTAGATAGGACTTACACTACCCAAAATATCAAATTTGAGGAGAAGGCAAGATGCAAATATCCTCTTTTGTTTGAAAGTTGAAGTTCAAATTTCAAAAACGAAATTTCTTTTAAGAAAGAGAAAATGTAAGTCAAAAGGGAAAAACAAGAAAACCAACGTTGAAAAGTCAAAAGAAAAAGGTTAAGTGGACTTCAGGCCGAGAGCAGCAGCGCGCACGGGAGGAAAAGAAAGAGAGAGAAAAAAAGGAAAGAAAAGAGAAAGAAGGGAAGAATAAGAAGAAGAAAGAGAAAAAGAGATAGGGTTTTGCGCGTATATGATACGGAGTCCTTGCCAAGTCGGATTAACTAAGTATTGCAACACCCTGTAAGTGCTCGAGCTCTTTGTTCTGTTAATCAGAGAAGTTTTTAAAATTATGACTTAAATTTGAAGTTTTGTGAAAATCAAACCGCAAAATCCGATTTTTGAGTTGTTGAGCTATGGGATTTCAGGAATTAGTGGATTATGGCATTGAGGAGCCGTGGGGCTTGATGGGAGTAGGTTTACAGTAATGATTTGGTCAGATTGATAATTTTAGGATTTCGCATGTGAGTTCTGCGTTGCGTTCAGATTTGAATAATTGCTTCGAGTGAGTAATTTGTTATTGCGTAGGATTCATTTTGTTAGCGTTCAAGTTTAGTATAGTTGTTTTGTAGTTGAAGTAGTGTTTTACTTGATTTTGACGTCGATTTTCGTTTAATTAATAGGATTACGAGATTGTCGGTTCGAGTGAACTTCTATGTTTTGTTTTTTTGGCTTTCCCAAGTCAGTGATGCTATCCCTTCTATGAATTTGTAAACTCATATCTTGAAAGCGATAGAGTTTCGATATTATGAGTTATGAAAGATCATGTTTGTTGCATAAAATATTGGATCGGGCATTTATTACTTTTTGATTATTTGTTAATGGTTTGAAAAAAGTTTTAGGAAAGTCGTTTCAAAATGTTACAAGTTTATGAAATGGATTCCGAAATGGTCGATGAATGGAGTTGAAAAAGATTATACGTTTGGTTTGTGAAATTGTTTTAATTTAATTCCAAATTGGCTTGTGAATTGTGAAAGATGTTGCTGTGAGTTTGTGTCGGTGTTCAATATCGTTGTAAGCCCATTGAGGAGCTTGTGAGTATGCATACTAATGTCAGGACATCCTTGTAGGCCAGCTACCGGCAATAAAGATGGAGACTTTGCCGGGGGGAGCTTGGTCACATTATCTTGAGGTGTTATGCATGATCATATTTAGATATTTGAACACGAATTTGGCCAATGGATGGACGATTGACATGTGATTTAAGATTGATCGATGGAATGGACCATTCAAGTCATTGATGTCTAAATTGAGATGAAAATTTTAATGAGTATTTCTAAATTGTATAAAGCTTGTTGAAATGAAACAATTTATACATGATTTGATATGTTTATTAAAGAGTTTGGATTATGAGTTCCGGGTATTGCTCTATACTTATACATATATATAGTAGCTTCTTGATATGCTTTTAAGAGATGTACGATTAATTGGGCTATGGTTGCTAACCCATTTCCTTCCCGATTTTTTTAGGTTTCTTGGTTGGTAGTCAATAGAGTGAGAGTGACTTTTGAGAGTTGGTATGGTTTGAAGCTACGTTTTTCGGGTAGAAAGACAATCGTGTCACTCCTCCATTATAGTATAGGATTTGGGGTGTGACACTATCAGAGAATAAATTAATTTATGAATCACCAAAGCTTTGGAAGCTAGTCATGCATTTGCCAAAAGTTGCTTACTGCCATTGTCATGTTGATGGTATGATCGTAGAAGAGCGATTATAAGAAATGAAATTGAGTTTGTCCGCGGTAGATTTTTTTTTTTTCAAAAACTAATGACGCAAATTTTTTTCACAAGCTCTTTTGCGACTATTGAGCAAAGGAAAAAAAAAAGTTAGTAATTTAAAACTAATTAATAAATAAAGGTCTTTAACTCAATGAATAAATTAGTATATTAAAGAAAATAATTACACATTCGTGAGTAACTCAAATGAGAATTGATAATCCAAAATTAATTGGTAAGTTAATTTGGAAAGTTGGTAAGTCACTCTAACTTAGGTCAGTAATTTCGCACAAGAGACAGTAAATCCGAAGAGTTAATAAGTTAATGCTAATAAAAATTGACAAATTATTACAAAAATCATTAATTTGCAAAATTTAAAGAAGAGTTGGAAAAATAGTCACCCGTCATTTTTTTTATTAAAATTTTTGGCACTTTCCAACACTTATCGAATCGAAATTTATCAGCACGAAAAAAAAAATCAGTATTTTTGGGCATGGAATGATAGAATGCTGCTTAATCAGAATGAGAAGAAACCGCAAGTTAATTTTTTCTGATATATGAGCAAGAATTGGTTTTTTTTTTGGGGTCGAAAGAGAGCTATCATTTCATTAAACCCGAGCCCACGTACAAGAGTAACGGGCATCAAAACACGAGATTTTCCAAAGAGGGGAAGGGGCGGGGGGGTTAGAAACCCAGCTTAGGGGGAGGGTCTTACTTTTTGAGGTCTTTACAATCCAGTCTATCAGTCTATTTGAGTCATGAGGGCGGAGGACCAATTCTAGAATCTTAAAAAGGGCCAAGAGGCCAATACAATCAGTAATAAGTGGCTCAACATCTCAAGGACAGAGCAAAGAATCTTTCAGATAGCTTATCAAAGTTGAACAATGAGACTCCGGCGTTAGTTTCAAATGAGGTCGATCAGCAAAGTGTTGGAGAGCAAGAATTGGTTGATCGTTGCTCTTTTGGTCTAGGTTATAGAAATCCATAAGGAACTCTAGAAGCACCAATCGATTGATTAATCTGATCAGCAATGTTTACAACCACATTAGTCAAATTTTTTGTTAGCTTAAAACAGTAGATCAACCATTTCTTGAATTTAATCATTCCTATCTTTTCTTTTTACTCAGTTTTTCAAACCTCTTAACTGCTCCCAGCTCCTCCCCATTGGCTGTTTAGCAAATACGATCTCACCCCACTTGAGCACAAACCATCAAATTCTTACATAGCGTTTCTAGAACTTAGGATGAAATGTGAAGGAGATCAACCTGACGAGGTTCGATTTAGGTCTCCCACTTTAGAAAAATGACTTTCACTGAACTCTATATGAATGAAGACAGCAGAGTTTTCCCAAACCAAAACATCCTTCTTGCCCATGTCGGCATATCAGCTCCTTAACCCACTGCCGATTGCAAAGTTCTAGCATTCAAAAATGAAGATTCGGGTGATTTCGAAGGAGATAATCAAACCATCGTCGGCGACTCCTTGTCAAGACCAGACCTACAGATTCTCTCTTTTAGATCAGCTTGCTCCTCCATTCTATGTCCCTATAGTGTTATTCTATTCCGCTCCCGAACCTGACCAAATTTTCGATCACATGAACATCTATGAGAAGCTGAAGACTTCTCTGTCAGAATGTCTCGGCTGCTTTTACCCATTGGCTGGTCGGATCAAGGGAGATGAGCACGCCGTTGACCTCGGCCAAGGAGCAGTCTTCGTGAGAGCTCGAGTTAATGCTCGACTCACCAAACTCCTTGCAAACCCAGAACTGAAATTAGTACAGCAGCTTCTCCCATTGGATCCATATAACATAAAATGTCAAAATGGCCTTGTCACTGCCATTCAGCTGAACCTGTTCGACTGTGGCGGGATAGCCATTGGTGCCTGTATCTCTCACAAAATTGCAGACGGCGCAACACTTTCGACTTTCCTTAGTTCTTGGGCGGCCAATTCTCGAGGTGCAAGTAAGATGGTTGCTCCATACCTAAACACGACCACAATATTCCCACCTAGAGATTTCCAGGTCCCTCTGCCAAACAATTTGATCAAGAAAGAGAACATAGTCACAAAGAGATTTGAGTTTGATTCAGCCAGCTTAGCCGGTTTGAAAACCAAAGCTGCTAATGGGTCATTATCTAAAAGTCCTACTCTTGTTGAAGCAGTGACTGCTCTTATATGCAAAGCGGCCATGCATGCCAGGACAGAAATATCAGGGAAGGGAGGGTCCTCAACCGTGATATCTCATGTGGTAAATTTAAGAGGAAGAATGAACCCTCCTCTGCCCGATCATTCTTTCGGCAATATCTGGAGATTCGCCATTGCAACCATTAAGGAGGAAGAAGAAGAGGCGGAACTGCACATTTTGGTGGATCACTTGAGGACGGCGATAAGGAAGATCGACAACGAATATGTGAGGAAACTTCAAGGTGAGGACGGGTTCCACTGGGCCTGCGAATCTATGAGAGAAGTGCACGAACTGATGTATAAAGGAGACGTGGAGTCCTACAGGTTCAGCAGCTGGGTGAGGTTTCCCTTTTACGAGACTGATTTCGGATGGGGAAAACCAGTCTGGGCGTGCATTAGCAGCGTCCCGATAAAGAACGTGGTGATATTGATGAGTAGCAGGTCGGGAAATGGAATTGAGGCCTGGGTGACACTGGATGAACAAGAGATGGCTAAATTTCAGAGCGATCCTCTGCTCCTGCAATTTGTTTCTCTGCCCCATAGTTCTCATAGAATCTAGTACTATTATCACTGGCTTGGCGTGTTTATAGCACATCGTAGATCATTTGTCTGCATGTAGATGTTGCTGTAGCTGTGTATTTCAGACGATTTGTTAGCTTATATTCTATACTCCCCGTTTATGCATATTTAGTCACATCCTCAGCTCTGCACTAGGCCAACATGGCCAATTCATTCTTCTGCAAAGCCCATGCCCCCCACTTCACAGCTGCAGCAGCATTTCTGAACTCAAGTTAAGATGACTATAAAGGAAGAAACCGCTCGAGCTTCTCCTGCTTAGCGATGACCTTGTTCGATATTAAATGCCCCAATTCGGCATACCTTGTCCATTAACATAAGTTCAAAAGGAGCATTTCAGTACTGTGCCAGATAAACTAACATTGACTCATTTCACCAAGATTTTAAGAGATTCTTTCACATAATATGACTGGCCTCTCAATGAAGCAACCCTCATGCACCTTGAGCCTTGGAACTCACATGACCCACATATGAAATATTGCAGTAATCTGAGAAACCAGTTGTTAAGATTCCAAAGGGAGGGACTACTAGCCGAGGCAATTCGTCAAAAAAATTATAAAACCACCATGTGCAACCAGGGGGTGTACTTCATGGAAGCTATCAAGCAGTTGCAATTTTATGACATTCTCTAGCATACACTAGAACGTATCATGTTCACGATGTTTTTCTCGACATTGGTCTGGGAGCACGGCAGACTAGTCTTCTTCACAAGGATTTCATTTTGTCCCCTGCCTCCGAATCCAACTTTCTAATACAAACAGAAGTCATGCATGAAACCATGGACCTGAGCAACTTTTCAACTATTCCATAAAACTGGATTTCACATCTCTGATATAGGTGAGCGCTGACCAAGAATGTTTCGAAGGAGAAGGATCAACCTGTGTCGCGTTTAATCTCACAAGACAAACTTCTCTGAGCTTAAAAACAACCAGAAAAAATTGGTGGATCTCTCAAACTCTCGAAGTCCAGAGACAAGTGATTATCAAGATATGTCCTGACTGAGAAAAGGAGAAATTTTCAAAAAATCTCTTCAACGAGAGAATGATCCCCATAATAGACCTCTGGTGAAACTGACACAGAGAGAGAGACAGACAGACAGAGAGGATTTCAAAATGTAAAAAAAAGCATGTCAAGAAACTATCCATCACATCTCGTATCAAAAACTCTTGAGATTATCAGAATCTATACAACCAGAAGTCATGCCAACGGGGAATTTAATTCTAGGAGTAAAAAAAAAGAATACTATCATACATCGACTTAATGGAGAAGTTAAATAGCAGTTTCTCATATACGACACAATTCATCAGGCATTCCCCGCTTCACCCCCCTCACAAGTTAACTCTTGGCAACTACCTCTCATTTCTCCATCTTGAATGGTGACTGACTCTCCTGAATAAATTCTGAAGTGTGGCTCGCTCATTTCATCCCTCCAACATTCTTGGCCATCAGGGCATGCCTTCTACCAAAGGCCCAAAAGACAATCGGATAATCCCTGAGAGCAGTCTCTAAGCACATTGACCATATTACGGTGCCTGCAGATCCAAAAAAAATTGGAACTTTTGACCACATACCCATCTCATATTACTGGGTTGAAGAAAATTGGCTGGGTAAAACATAAGGCACAAGTACTGCTTCGTTAGTCGCAGCTTTTGTTGCAGCAATGTCTTCCAACTGTTTCCATGTCGCTTCATGTTTCTTCTTCATATCCTCAGCTTTTTCTTCATCCTCCTGAAACTTCTGCAAGCACTCCTCAAATAGCTCTGGATCAACATCAGAGAATATTTTCCGAACATTAAGTGTCAAGCTCTGGACAACCTGGTTCCAGTGATGACGGCAATTTCTCTCCAGAGCAGGGAACACTATTGGCAGTATAACGCTTCGATTTTGTCTTATTAAGTTCTCAATATGATCATTGTTCCACAAGTACAAAGCCCTTTCTGCCACCTGAAAGGAGCAACCGTTTTGCCTAAACTTGCCATAGTAGAGAAATTACATGTATAATGAACGAAAAACGGTGAATTACACTAGACCCAAGATAATCAATGAATTATACTAGCAAACAAATGATTTAATTTAATTGTGCATGCTCTGAGAAAAGAATAGCGCTCCATGCATGACCAAGGTAGATACATCAGAGATGCTTTCTCTTGCATGGACTTACACAAATCCCTATATCTAGGCTAGTGAGCACATTCATTCTTCTAGCTAATATATTTGATTCTAATTGCATACTACACCCACACATCGTCGATGCTTACATATCCAAGTCACCATTTCGCAATGTTTATTCACCGGAAGAAAGATAAGATAATGTATTTAATTGCAGACCCCAACCTTAGCAGTCACCATCAGCCATCAGAAACCAAGCATGTTCCTGCCATAGATCAATTAACACCAGCCCATTTATAAGGAGCTAAGCAAATGCCTATCCAAAGAAAACTCTCAGCTTCAAGTCCTTTGCGAAAATCGCCCTCAGGTAAACATCCAGGACTGCAAGATTTTTGCAGCCTTACATACACAGGAAAACATCCACGAGAAAAGGAGTATTTTTGCTCTCAAGTAGGGTCAATATTCTTACGAAATCTATATTTAGAGGAATGAATGAGTACACTGTAGTAAGATTCGGATATTTTTAGACATGATTTACTTTTCATGAGTCTGGCTTCAGTTGTACCTAATGTAAAATGAATGCTCAAAAGGTTCTTTCAACTGTGAATCCCGTGATTTTCTTAAAATCAGGGAATAATGACTGCCCAGTTACTTTAATGTTGCAATAAAAAATGCAACATTTAGTAACAAAGATTTCAGTCATAAAGGGCCAGTTCCAGAGATTCTCAAACATTAAGGGTTATTTCAACCCAATCCCCCTCAGTTTAAAAATTGTTCTGGAGCATGCTTACATACATACATTCTCTGAACAAATTACAACATCATCTTGATCTTAACCCTCTAGGAAGGGGATTGCAGATCCACCACTGACACAGATAGTACCATCACACCCATCCTAACTTCACTATCCCATCACTACAACCTCCTCACAGGGTTCCAAAATAATACCACAGTACTATCATGGTATCAGCGTCTAAATGCCACCAAATCCATCTCAGTGACTACTCAGGGAACTACTGATCACAAGTGCTTATATCCACCACTTCAACTGGTCATCCACCACACCAGTGATCACCATCCAGTACATTTACAACTAATGCTTCCATCAATTTCATTGCATTCAGCCTCTTAGGGGAACATGTTTTTCCCATTGAATCAGATATTGGAATCGACACCAGAGAGCTCAAATTAAAAGCGAAATCATAAGGAATATTGCAACAACCCCAATCTTGGACATAACCTTAGTACCGATATCGATTCTTTTGCTTCACCTGAAAACTATCTACAACAGATCGTATGAAAAAGACACAAGCCCATCAACCGTGAAAAGGCTTGTAGAGGGATGCCCGACCAGAAAGTTAGTAGAAAAGCTTAGATCCGATCTTCAACAATCCAATAATGTGAAAACATTTCACCAATCTTCATCAAAGACATCTTCATAGCCCAATTTAGGTAATCATAATTTCATCAAATTTATCGCATCATCTTCACATTTTGATTATTCTTCTAAAGAAGGAAGGAGAAATATTACTTCATAACTAATCATCCTCAATATCATGAATTCACCAGATAATGAGTGCAAAGAGAACTGACCAGACAATGAAAGCTAAAAAAATCACAAATTCAAGTCACTACTACCCCTAATTCTGATACATGTAAGTATAGTGTAATTGCCTAAAAGAGTCATGAGCAGAACTTAGAAGGCAGTACTATTGGCATGTCCAAATCTATATTGTGAAAAACCAAAGATATTTTTTGCTACTATTTGTCCCCTGAAAGTCCCAAACACAATTTCATGATTCATCTTAATTTTCTATTGTACAATCTCGACATGCATCAGTTTAACTGCTTGCGGAATATGATTATCACCACAAACATGAGAGAGAGAGAGAGAGAGAGAGAGAGAGAGAGAGAGAGAGAGAGAGAGAGAGAGAATGGTTTTGTGCTACCTGAAAGTGTGAACTGCTCAAGCATCGCGCAATATTCCTGAAAAGGGGCACCATACATCTCTGGAATTCAGGTGGCTGAGTTGCTTCCAGTATTTCTTCCAGCTCACTTAAAAACATGACCTCCTTTGAGCTATTTGTCACAGGCCAATACTTAAGCAGACCCCTAATTAAAGTGTCCGCGAGTTTACAGTCTTTCTCCACAAACTGTGTGACGCAATATGACAATTGCTGATGGTACATTGGCAAGCATTTAGGTTTGTGCAAAGGAATAAGAGCCCTAACAAGGAATAGTTTGTGTTCTTCTTTCAATGGGAGAGCAAACCCATTGATTATGCTGCCCAAAACTTCTAAAAGTTCAGCAATCCCATTATGCTTCTCTGTTTCAAAGATGAAACGAAAGAAGATGTTGTTGATAGCTTTTCTGACAAACGGTCGATGTACCATAAACTTTCCATATATTCGATGCAGAATCGTTTTCAAATATTCTCTTTCTCTAGGATCCTCAGAATCGAAGAGATCTAGCAGCTTCAACACAAAAGAGTGATCAATATATCTCTTAGCCAACTTTGCATCTGTTTCAGGCGATGCAACAAACCTCAGAAAAAATTCATACACAATTTGCAAATGAGGCCATGCAGGGTCCATCAAAGGCTCTTCCTCTTCCAAGTCAAAAGCTTCAAATACCTTGTTCTCCCGAGGCTGAGGGGTGAATGGCCTAAACAAATTCACTGATACCATTTTTACAATATCTTGCATTGCAGTTTCAGTGAACTTTCCATTTGCAGAAGTGACGTAATCCACAAGCTCAAGCAGTGTTTGCCGTTTAATGTCCTTCTCCTTTATATTCTTCGTGGGATCAGTGAAGTCAAACAAAACACAACACATGTTTAACTTTCTAATAAACACATTCTGCTTCTCAGAGTTCGGTACGTCTCTAAAAGCAGGCAATGCTTCATAAGAAGCAGGTGTCACATTATCATACTTTGAATTCACAACTTGGGCAGGCTTACGTCCATGACCATTTCCCAAATTTGAAGCAGAAGCAGGACCTGGAAGAGACACATTGCTCGAGTTATCCAGTCTATGACTCGCAACATCGCCACTCCTCGAACCCCCGCTAGACTTCATAGACGAGGCGACCGAGCCTCCATGGTCACGGTTTTCGGACTTGGATGGCTTCCGCGGAAGTCTACCCAGTATCTGCTTGATCATCTCTCGAGTGCAAAACACAGGGAAACCAAAATATCTCCGGGCGAGCAATGTCCAGAATCTAAGCCACTCTAGCAAGAAGCTGAGAACCTCGACTTATCTATCAAGAAATAGCTCCAGACGCATGAATCCTGTCAAACCAAATGACAAAGCAAACCTTATCGTACGGACTGATCTCCCGCAAGCAGAGAGACACTTATGCAGGGCAAAAATTGACAAGCAAAACCACAGAAGCGCGGCATCAATCAGAGCTCGCGTCAAGGAGACCTTACATTTTTTGCCGCATCAAAACGCCTGGAGTGTCGGAGAACCTTTCTTATCACTAAGCAGACCCCCTCGACAGCCCCTCTCTCTCTGCGACCTAAATCAAGTCAAACTCCCGAAGCAACCCCGAAATCCACGCGAACGACGAACCGGGATGACGAATCTCGAAACCGGTATCTTCAAGCAGAAGACCTCTGGTGAAGTGATTGCCCCCCCCCGAATCGCGCCGCCCGATCAGCCGCGAGGCCGAGCTTCGGCGAACGGCGACGAGATCTGGCGCGATCTAGAACACACGAAGCGCGCATCCCAGGCACGAATCAGCACGAAAATGAAACAACCGTAGACTGTTATGGAAATCAGCCGAGCAAGAGTCCCGAGAAGCCAACTCGCTCGACCGAAAGCCAAAAAGCAGCGGAGCAGAGCATCAATGAGGGGAAATCGGAGGAAACTTCTCGACACTTACCGGAGCTATTACCGACTGTGGCTTCCTTCGGAGAGAAGAAGCAGCAGCAGCAGCAGGAAGAGACGGAGATGTTTCGCGTCTCGCTACTCGCTTTTGAAAGTTGAACGCACCGGAGCGAGAGCGAACCCGAGCGAGCGAGCGACCGAAAACAGCGAGGGGCCTCTTTTAGCGACGGAGTCAAAAAGGAAGTGGCAAACTCCTGAGAGTCCGACGAGAGATTGATTGAGAGAGAGTGCGCGGCGCGTGTGTCAATTCTCTCATCGATATGATTCGCTCTTGATTGACATCATGATGTTGAGTTTTATGATGCATACCATATGTCTCGCCCCACGCATTAGGTTCGAATTGCTTTTGGCCGCAAATTCGCACCTTCCGGGTGCGAACTCACGAGACGTGGGTACCGAATAGGAAACGTTCGTGAGTGACCGGCCAGGTAATAGAGAGCATCGGTAAGGTACACTTCCGAAGTACCCTCGTCCAAAATTTCCCAGGGGGGAAAACGAAGGGGAAACGAGAGGGGAGATGGGAACTACAGAGAAAATATAGAAACTGCGGAGCTACGATGGACACCTTTTTTCCAATCGCCAGTTCGTGTTTGAATTGAAATGAAGATTGCGGCCCCTTCGGTGGGTGGTGTGCTTTTATCGGAGATGAATAAGGGGCACGACATTTGCACGCATTATCAGACGGATTTCAACGATTTCAGCTGTATGGCCTCCACCACCATTATAGTATTGTGATCACACAGGCTCATACGCAAATTCAGTGCACTCGTCTCCTTTCTAGCTGTATTTTATATATAATATACATAAGTTAAAGGTACTTCCATGTTTACGAAACCCGTAGGTAAACTAACTTTGCTTAATCATCACAAGTTTGAAATTAATTGGCTCGCGAATGATCACTCCATCCCTGCTTTTTGATTCCTTCCTTAAAAAGCCTAAAGCTTGAGTATCCCGCCATGTCATGACGTGTGCAATCCCATCGTGTGATTTTTATTGCATTGATTTGCTGCTAACCGAGTTTATCTAGACGATGGCCGTAGCAGAAATGAGTGATTCAAGAACCTCCCCGACTCTTGATTCTGCCTCGGCCCATCCACACACACATCAGGATGGTGGCGCGTCCGTGCAATCAACTCGATACAAGGTAACCTCCTAGATCAGACACGGCAAATTGACTCGTGCCTGCGTCCTGACAAAGCACAAAAAAAGGTTGATGGTCAGTACTGACGTTTTTTCATTCGTGAGAAAATTATGGTTTTCATTCAATTTTCTGACAAGAAAGAAGACCGGAATTTTCAAGTTCCCATCAAGCTAGAGACTAGTAGCAGTAGGAAGACAGGCTCCGGAATTAAGACCCCGAAATTGTTCTGCCACATGCCAGGAACCACATATGTCAGGAATCAGGTGGTCCCTCTTGTAATAAAAGCTGTTGACATTGAGATGAATACGAGGGCAGATTTTTGGCAGGACCCCCGACTTTCCCTTTTGTAATACATGCCAATGCCATCATCATGAGATATGCTGAGTAAAACTGAAGAAGCGGACTCATCGCAGGACAATAGGGACTGTTTTTGCCTGGGCTCATGAGCAAAAAACGCATTGCTTCTGAATTCTGATTACTGAATCACAGTATATACATCGATCCAGATAAAGACATGCCAGCTCTCTCTAATCATGACAATCATTCATGTATGACGACGGTAACATCAAACAAAGCTGTCACTTCTCTAATAAGCATTGCCGAAAGAAGACCTTACACTCGGGAACAGAGTCGGATGATATGAGAAAGACATCTCTGATAACAAATGACTAGTGTGAATTTGAAGTAATACAAGACTTGGTTGATGCATTGCAAGGGCACGTAACCTCTTCTTTTTAGGTTTTTTTTCTAGCACGGTCGATTCATCATCCTCTTCGCAAGAGAAAAAGTGGCATCTATTCGAGGTTTTTAAACCGCTTGAAACTATGAGGGAACCCAAAAGGCAAATTATGTGCATTCTTCAAGTAGAAGAGCGAAAGGAGAGATATATCTGCTTCGTCACAAACCATGTTCTGCTCTGACATCGACAAAAGCCTGAATGGAGGGTTCTCTTCCGAGAAAATCGGAGAGAACTTCAATAGGATCCTTCGCACCTCCTGGAGCCAATACCTGAAAAGAAAATTATCAGATGATTTAACCATGGACCAGAAACGACGGACTACTTCAGAGTACTCCATGAGCACTAAGTTAATCATATCGACAGGCTCATTCAAATTTCAAGGAACCAAGTGTCTCCACCAGGTGGAGTGAGATACCAAAAATAGACTCCACTTGATTGAAAGCACATACAATATATATCTAAATGCCAGAGAAAAGTACACGGAAGGCAAAAGGAACCTCGACTTAGCGAGCAATGTTCACTTCTGAGAGAATATACACAGATAATCTAATTGAAAATTACAAACAAAAGTTTCATCGGCTGCTTTCCAACATGACCTACTTATGTCATAGGTAGATTGTTTTACCTTATTCCTAAACATCATTCCCATATTTTGGTTGAAAAGATCATCCCTGAACTTTGAGAGAAAAATATCAGTGGCAAATACCTGTCAATCATAGCGTTAGCATCAATATTAAGGAGAAAAAGGCCATTACAGATCAACCATCTTTGGAGCATTTTTAGGTCATTATGATGCTCAGATTGAATGTATATGTGCACTTGCATGAACAGCAAAGCAGCTGGGAAAATGAAGAGCTGGTAGAAAAGATAACAGATGTCTTATCAGAAGGGACATTCCATCAATCTTGTTCAGACAGCAAAAGAAATGCCAACCTCACTCCAGATTCTACTATAACAAGCTGCTTCATAACCAATTGCACAGCGTGGAAAACAGGTCGCGGGATTGGTTCCTTCCAAAATTGGCAATCCCAGCATCACCTAAAATAGTAAAGACAATTATAACATCAATTTCGTTAGACAACATCTCCACAAATACATCTACGGTTCAGCTTAGCTACCTTTGGATGGAGATGCTTATATAGCTCGGCAATATCGATGTCATCAGCAGAATGTATAATCTGATCGAAAAGACCTGACATGCAAACCAACGTGAGAAAGAAATGTTATTCACGCAATTAATATTGGATATCATGCTTGTCCCTGCGAAAGCGTTGACATGATTCCAATTGAATATCTTCTTTCCCTCTTCTATAGAGGCATCATACATTTCAATGTAATGAAGGTGACCCAGATTTAAACAAGCAGCAGCAGGCAAATAAGGCAAACTCTAACATTATTTTCACCAATGTTTTCAGGAGAACAAGGACCCAAGGAGGCTAGTAGAGCCAATTGGAAGAGGGGAGGAAACATTTGTGGACACAATTTCCTTTAGCCAAAATTAAGCTGAAGAATTTTCTTTTTATACTGTCTATTGATCCTAAAAATTTCAATAGTCCGAAAGCAATATTCAATCAAAAGCTTCTACCCAGCTATCGAGTATCCTCCTGCCCAGAATCCGCTGGTGCAAGAAAATACACACACTTCTTGGGCACATAATAGTAAATTCAACTAATGATACCAATACCACCTTAAGTGATCTTAGTAAGCCTCAGCGTTCTATTTCTTTCTATTAAATTTGTATGAGTAATAGGGCAAGCCAGCCCCTTCTAAACAGTTCCATCTGACAGCTTTTAATTCTATATTCCCGACCAAAAAAAAATTTGTACATTAAAAGTTTGAGGAACAGAATACTCACTATAAAGAATTTCTTGCTTCAATTTAAGTGCTGAAAAACTGTATCGCCATCTTTTTAGCGATCGGCACATTTCGTCGTTGACTGGCTTTGTCAAATCCTTCAAATAAGAAGAGTAAAATACATAACATTTACACTTTGCACAAATTGATCTGAAGACAATGTCTGTGCAACCATGTGACTAACTCACCTGATGGAAGCCAGATATCAACTTTAAGCAGAGGCTTTCATAACACCTGAAAGTTCTTGAAATGTTAGAAGCCGGAGTAATGCAAACATGGAACAGCATCATTATCAACTAACCAATTTTCAAACACTTGAGCCGGAATCTCCTCAAAATCCGGACTAACACGCAGCCCTGAGAATCTGGCAAATGATGCCCTGTTGCAGATATGCTGCATCTAAAAACCAAATGCCACAAAGAAAATTAAAGCCAGCCTTAACACTATTCCATCAGCAAAATCAATTTCTTGAATTATTACCTTTCTAGGGAAGGCATAAAGTTTAAAAGAAAAGGAAAGAAAGAAAGATCAGTAGCTTTACAATTCACTTCGTTCTTACATATGGAAGGACTTTGGGTTTAAAGTGTTTGCATCGTTTAATATTCACCGGAAAGGAAAAACAATAGTTGAGTTAAAAATGGAAGCTTGACAACGATTTCCCACTGCATCCCACCACAATGTCCTCGGCACACTCTTAGAAGTCAAAATTATTATGAACTACATTGCAAAATACAGAGATGAAGACATGGACCCCTAGAGTAAAAAGCAATTGTGTTAACTAAATCTGGAGCGCATGCAATGTACAATTACAAGTGGATACATTAGTACATTACCAAACAAAGGTATCACCAGATGCTTCAACATACCACATGTCCAAACTCATGGAAAAAGTTGACCACTTCAGAGAATCGTAGAAGACCAGGATGACCGCCAATATCCTTTGGGAATTGAGTTATTAGCAATACCACTGGTATCTAGCATAACAAAAGCCAGATCATGTAAATTATTTCAGCAGGAAGGAAACTTTTAGGCTGTCGACAGTAAAAGGATCACAGAAATACAATAAACATGGGAATTATATCATTTATCAACATATTAACGAGTGAAACCAAGCAGATGTTCATCATAGTTTGTTATATACTCTTTAGATTTTTCTTCAAAATCCCAATAAGCAAGACAATACTTCAGAGGAAGCTCCACAATGCTACACAAAGTCCTTGGAGAAGGCAGGCATCACACTGCACTAAAACCAGAATAAATGATGCGATGATCACATGACCTGCTTTCGAGCATTACTCAAGTGCTTATCCTAGGGATACGGTGCTCTGAAAGCTAAAGACAGAAGGACATTATCTCGATGAAAAAGGGTCAGCCAGAGGTTTTTTTTACATAATATGTTATTTGTACAAACCAGATAAGATGCCATATGACTTAAAACCGATAAATCTAACCTAAACCAGAATTTCCAATCAAACAAAAAGTTGAGAGAACTTCATTTGATGGCCATGCTTGGAGATCAAAAATAAACTACTTAACTAAGCTGCTTAAAGGAAATGATTGAATTATTGCATGATTAATCACAGCACATACCAATTGATGCACTGCTGAAAGGTATAATTTTCGTGGAACTAAGGCAAAAAGATACTTCCCAATGAGTTTTTGAGAGATCTTCAAAGGAACAATTTTCCCCCAAGTATAACGTACAACATACTACCTCAAATAAAAACATGCTCCAGAAAATAACAGATATTTTATGGCAAAGAGGAGTCTTTTCATGGGTTAAGCACCTGGGCAACATTGTTAAATGATAATGATCTGTTCTGAAGAGCAACCACACATGTGTGACCATACTTTTCTTCTCTGCAAAGAAATTCAAAATTAAAGTAAACAAAGAATTAATAGTAACCTAAAGCTTATAGATCAAACACAAACCTTTTATACATATCAAGGTAGAAATACCCCAGGAGATCACCGGAACTTAAGTCAATAACTGAAAATAATCGAACATCACAATGCCAGACCTCAGGGTCTGCAATTTCTTCAAATCTCAAGCCTGTCAAGCAAATGCATGGGTGTATAAATCCCACTGTATATCAGGACAAATAAAGGAGGCAGAGTCAATCAAAGTTACCAAAAAGGTCTTGGAAAATTTTAAAGATGCCTGATAGAACTAATTTGACTGGAAAATATTGCTTAATGGCTCCAAAATCTAGATCAAAGTGCTGCACTTGAAATGTCTTTATGTAATACAATAGATCCTCGATGCCAAAAGGGACGTCTCCTTCCTCTTTTCTCTGAAACCAAAACAAAGCACCATAAGATACTACAATTAAAAAAATATTACCATCCACCCTAAAAATGAACAGAGGATATTTGCACCTTCAAATCCTTCAACACTGTCAGTTCCCTATCAGCCATGTTTGTCAAACTGGCAGAGATGTCCTCTAAGAACTCAAAAACCTGTTGCATAATCCATATAGCACTTTTAATAAAGATTTGAATGGAGAGCTGCAGTACTGAAATGTATGGTCGTTCTACTTTAGAAATCTGACACATCTACCTTTGATAAATGTACATATTTCACATACCAGTAAGAACAATGTCACGTAAATATATGTTCCATATGACTGGGATGCAAAAAATGGTGGTCACTACTCCCTATCCTCGAGATTTATCTCAAAAGTGTATGTAAGAAGGTTTAGTGGCAATTCTCAGCCAAACAAAGCAAAAATATGGGCATCTGGAATATCCTTTCCACGAGAAGGTTTATGTCTTTTAGCTCTTTCATGCAGTGAGGGCAGCTACAACATTTATCATCCATATCCGATTCAAATAGTCTGATCTACCAGAAAATTTATAGGCAAGGGTTCTTTGATGGCAGCAACACAGACCATGCATTTTAATGTATGATATTCAGCTATATTGTCATTCAATGGCATCTAAGATAATGCCAGTGATTGCGGGGGAAAATACTTTTCAAACAATAGATAAAGGACGGACTGACATAATTTCATAATTTACACACTGAAATCATAACTATTTTTGCACCAAAAAGTTACCAACATCTCGACCCTCTGCCCAATACTTAACAAAACTAAACAGCAAAAAGCAATTCAGCCAAAAAGAACAAATATACAAGCATGACGGCTTTTAAGTGACAACTCCATGCACATACCTTTAATGGTTTTCTTGCCATTCTGCAGTCAAGAGCATATTCTGCATAATTTGAGTAGCCAAGTAATTTAGCTAATTTATGCCGAAGCTGGACCTGCATCACAAGAGGACATGTATAGTCAACTTTATATGCCAAAAGTCCCAACTGTAGGACCACAGTAATGCAGATTCAAGGAAAATTAAGACTTTTGTTAAAAACTCGTGCTCCTTCCACTATGTGCAGGCTTGAATGTGGTGTAACAGGAATCCAGTATATGAAACTCATTAATTCACTAATGACAAACTTCATTAAGGAAAAGATAGCAGAATAAACATAAATTCCATGACTTGTGCAACTACACACATTCACCCAGTGCTCACTATTCCAGCAATAGTGCTGCGACAGTGATGAACTGTCCTACTGCCAGCTCTTGGCCTTGAAGTTTCATACTTGTATTGGAAATATATTAATTATTAGGAAAAGGAGAGAGAGAGAGAGAGAGAGAGAGAGAGTATGTAATGAGAATCTATGGTTCCACAGTATATAAAGGAGAAATTTTGAATAGATCAAATCAGCTGATGAGAATATACAGATTGTACTATTGTTCTCAAAGTCAATAACATAATGATGGCTTTGTCAAGCCAACTCAGCTCAAAGCATTTGTTCCTATGCTTTTTGATGTTATGTCCATGATAAAGCCTTCAGAATCTAATGGGACAATTATGCAGCCGACACACTCTTGATATACTGAGCGTATAAGGATACAATGAATGCTTCGAAAAATTTGTAATTGAAAAGGAATCCCCTCACTCCCAATGTCACATTGAGTTATGATTGTTTGATGAATGCTGTAATCATTGTAACACTGAATAAAGAAATGTTTAGACTTTGAAAATATACTTGTCAACAAATCAAGATGATTTTCTACATCCAATATAAATATTTAATGCAGATGAAACAAAAACAGGGATGCAGCATGTACCAGATTTTCAAGAATAGACAGATTTATTTCCCCGCATCTCCTTCCATATGCTGTCGCTACTGTCCTCCTGGTTGCTCCCACCTTCACAATAAAATATTGTTAACTCTGTGAATAGATGGAACATAGACATAAGTTAGAAACTCCATCAGAGATCAACAAGTGGTTCATGTCAGGGAACAAAGAGGGATCCCCCAAAGATAAACAAGACAGCTAAATGACAGGGCCAACTGCAGATGTTTAGACGCTAATGCTTCTAGTTGTAACTGAAAAAATTACTAAATATCTGGAAATTATGGGTGAAGAGTCATTTTGTCTAGATTTTTTCATTGCACGGTACATTTACCATTTACTAGTAGATATTTTCCAGATGCAGTTCTTATTAAGCATGAGTGTTTTTTAGACACTCAATTGCAAAGATCTCAAGCCAGCTGTCTTATGCATCGCCATGTATAAATCTTTAGAGTTTTCACCGGAAAAAAAAAAAACAGGATCTCTGTTCTCCATAAAAATTGTGTACTAGATAATTTGTCCAGCCAGAGTGGAACAAACAATGATCAGCCGCTACAAGGAAACGATATGCTTGAGGAAGTGTAAGAAGGAGTGCATCTAACAAGCTTGTTGTGGCAGCATCAATCAGCAAGAACAGTTACATGGCTATCATTTACCATTGATCACGTCCCCGTCATGCAGACATCTTTCTAAGAAGAAACACACGCATTTGTCAATTAATTAACACAAAGTTCGGATGATGACATAAAAATTGTCAGAACTGACCCACAACCAGCTGTCCTAACATTTTATATCAAGTTTAAGGAGCTCATCGCGCTAAATACGTCATCTCTGCTAAATTAATTGAGTTGTTACTCTTTTGAGTACTTCGAGTTTCTGTATCTGAGGTTAGTAGACGTCAAAGGTCACGTCTAACAAAAGAACAACAAATGCTGCATAATTTGCACGGTACTATCTTTGTCTTTTAGTCCAGAAATGCCAGTCACGCCTCCATCTCAGCTATAATTGGCTCAAAGCTTCTTCAAAGAGCATTATAATTCAGGAAAAGAAAATGTTCTTAGCTGAAATATGCTCAGGTACCCAGTATGCCAAATATCAAGCAAGGAAAGTCTAAATAGAGCAATGAAATGGTCAATGAATAACAGCATTCAGAAGAGATGCCAAATAATTTACTCTGCAAATCCAGAAAATTATACCTTGCAGAGCTCCAGCACTGCTGCAACATTTTGACTTCTAAGAGAAACCCTGTATTTATCATTCTGAGCTTTGTCTAAATTCTACAGAGGAACATATTCAGCACAAATAAGAAGAAATAAGATAATACATAACATAAGGTGAACCAAAGTCCAACCAACAGTAGCAGAAATCAATAACCAATATATCCCATCATATATGTGAGAAGAAAGGTCAAGGCGGTTACAAAAGTTCTAGTACATCTTCCATTAAAAAGAGAGAAAGCTTAACCCATGCGCTATGATGAAGCCACACTGCACCACATAAATGGAATATTATGAAGCAACTGAAGCTTCAGTCTTTAAGATTCAGTGGGGGCAGTGGGGGCCATCATTATCGTGCTAACAGTTCTTCTAGTCTAACCTTAGAATTCAGTAATTATAAAGCCATGGAAAGAATTTCAGTTACAAGGCATGTATAACAAGTCAGAAAATCAAAAAGATGTCATCACACATTGTTCAAAAGAAATTATCTGCGAATGACCAAGCACCAGATGTGATGCCAAATTGTTGTAGACCCATTAACTGGATAAAGAACAACAATACTAACCTTAAGGAACTCAGGTGGCAATCCATGTAGCTCACTCTCACTGAAGAGAAGATAACTGCAATCATCATTAAGGTTTCGAATATATTGGCAGCTTAGTTCATCAATTTGAGATTTCAAGCGCTGCACTTCCTCTCTTTTTGCTGTAGCAAGATTCAATCCATTCCGCTCGAAGTCTCTTATCTGTCACTGATAGGAAAAACAATTAATATTTGGATTTAACAGTTAGTACAGCTCAAATACGTTCTAAGAGGATCGTACAACTTATGAAGCATTCGAAATGTGGAGATTTTACTGCAAATGAACTACAGATTGTGGATATTTCCGTACCAGGAACTGTATATAGCAAGATGCTTCAGGATTCATCCAATCTCCCCTCGTCAAAAGAGCTTTTACGACACGATACACATCTTCACGGAGACTGAGAGGCTTGCACAGCAGGGACCAAGGATCAACTTACAAATATTCAAGTGATGCAGAATAATGTCTTAACTGTAGCTGTTTCCAGGGTCCCTTGGAGGCCAACACAAACCCAATAATTTTTTTAACTAAATCTTCTAAAGACACAAAGCGTCTACAGGGACTGCCTCATTATGATACTAAATGTGTTATCTCCCAATTGTTCTACTACCAAATTGCATGCCAGAAAGAACTACAGATTCAGGTTTTCCCACTAATCAAATTGACAAAATGGGGATTCAATCACTGTCAGTTCAAGAAAGGTGTTAAACCAAATCGCTAAACCTCTGGCCCTTGTCCAACCATTTGTAGAACTTTGTGATTGCATGCCATATGACTCTCACCGTATGCATGTGACCAGGTGTTCTACCATTCTTAATTAAGAAAGAGGAACTAAACTGGGCGGCAATCGAAGCAGATAGAAAGAAATGACACGAATAAACAGGAGCAACCGACCTGCAACTCAATTTGTGTGCATCAATCCTACCCTCTGCTTGAGCGCTAGCTTTGCGCACATCATCCGACCCCGAGACCATCTTCGGGAATATACAAGACTGCACAAGTGGAAACTCTTCCGCCTCTAATTCAGCTAGCGGCAACACGACATTCGTGTAACTAACCTGCACATTCACAGATTCGTTAAGGCGAATAACCATTGACGCAAAGTCAGGAACAAAGCCGTGCAAAGCAAAAGCGAAATGACGGCAGCTCATAGCGTAACCATGCCTTGTCAAGAGGCACCGAAGCGACCACATCGTGGACCTCCTTCGACCTGGCGACTATCCGGTCCGCTAATTTCGATATTTCCCGAGCCGAGAGGCCGACTCGTACATCCGAGCCACGAAGATCTAGCGAGAAGTCGCAACGAAACGGGAACGAAATCAACCTTTCAAACAAGCACAATGCAATAGCAGAATCGGAACGAGTACAAAACAAAAAAAAAAACGAAAATCTGCCGCGCGAACAGTTCCGCGAGCGCAGGAACGAAGGCCGACGCGCACGAATCGGAAGCTTTTCGCCTCGAAGGCGCGGTCAGTACCTTTCCTCCTTCGATTCCTCCTGTGCGCCCTGACGGCGGAGACGGCGAGGTTGGCGGCGAGGGCGAGGGCGGCGGCGGCTCCGGTGAAGGCCAGGAGCTGATTCTCTCGCTTCGGCTTGCTCGTCCTCGCTCGGTCTCCCTGACCCTCCATGGTTCCGAGCTTTGGTCCGTGCTCTCGCTTCGCCGAACGGCACCTGCGAGGGAAACTCTTTTGGGTCTTCCAGAGGGAAGAAAGGGCAGATTTGACCTTTTAAAAATTTTAAAAAAAAAAAGACATCGTGGAAGATTCTAATTTGTTTTGTTTTTTTTCAAAAAAATAAAAATAAAAGCGAGTTTCCGGATTTGGGGAGGAATTGCGACTCGCGGCCGGCCACTGATTGCGAGGCCCGATACGATGTTTGTCTCATTTGGCCTTTTTGTTTTTTTTGTTGTTTTTTGGGGTCTAAATGGGTAATTTCGCGCGTCAAACTTAATTATTGCCTTCTTTTTCGACTTGGCCATTGTTAGCTTTTAATTTCGCCTCTTTTGCTTAATCAAAATTTGAAGACTTGCCTTTTTGACCCCTTTTTTTATAAATTCGATACGTAATTGAGACTTTCGCAAAATGTACGTGCTCACATGTAGATTCGTTTTTATTTTTATTATGAAAGAAGTAAACTTTTAACTTAGATGTTGATATGCGTATATTGTGAAGGTTTCGAGTGCTTTAGATATTAGACAAGTCAAAGTGTATAAATCGTAAGACTCGAGTTGAGCAAATTGTAGAGTAATACGTTAAATTTTGACGTAAAAATTTTAAAAAAAACTTTCTACCTTTAGTTAAGGGTAACAAAATCACAAGTATCAATGCGTGTGGAGGAAAATTCTATGATAAAAAAAATGTTTTTCGGGAAATCATATTCCAAGTAAATTATTAGTTTTCATTTATTTAGTCATATGTAACTGAAAATATATTTTGGTGTTTGGATTTCATTTGAAAAATGATAATGGACATAGGAAATTAAGGCAAAGTTCGTCCTACAAAGTTTGAAATCAGAAGTTGTCGAATAAAATTTCGAGGAGGAGGAACTCAGTTGCTTTGTAGAGCTTGGTGAAAAGCATCGTGGTCACCGTGTGTACTCGCAAAAGGGTAGGCAAGGGGTAGTCGCGAGTCAACTTCTCTTCCTCCGGAGCCGAGCGCACCGTGTGCGTGTGGCAACTCCACCGCACTCTACTTCTCCGATCGCCACAACCTGCGTGGGGGAACTCACTCGACCCTGGGAAAAAGAGCATTTGCAAGAGCCAAAAACGGCACGCATTGCAAAAGGAAGCCAAAGGTGACGAAGGGAAGGGAGTCGCAAATGCAAAGAAGCATGTCGACGCCATTGCCTCACTTTGCGGGAGAGTGTCTTCTCCTTCTCCTCCCTCGACTACACATGCGACTAAAGAGAGGAGGGCGAGACCAAACTCGCCAGACCCACTTTCTCGCTTAGCATACCGCACATCAGTTTAGTTCATCCTAACTTAATATGTCACTAAATATTTTGTCTTTCTGGAAAAATAAAATCTATCGTTTGGCTAGACATTCACACTCTAAGGCCGCATTTGATTCAGTTTTGAAATTGCATTGGGCATTGGGTTTTTAGTATTTGCAAAACAAAATTTTGTACCAAAAGCCTTTGAGATTGTGTTAGTAAATCCGAAAACTTTAGGAAAATTGTCCAAAAAGTTATGCACATTGCTAATTTAGTCATAAACTTTTCAATTGTGCCAATTTAGTCCTAAAACTTTTGACAACTTGCTAATTTAGTCATAAACATTTTAATTGTACAAATTTAGTCCTAAACGTTTTGACGATATTCCAATTTAGTCTTAAAACTTTTAATAATTTGCCAATTTAATCATTCAGGCTAATTTTGAGCGGAATCGCAAATACAATAATCTAGTCAGCACTGGCCGTCCTATATGGCACAACGGACCTTGACGTTAACAATTTTTGTAATTTTATATATTTTTTCTTTTTCTTTTCTTTTTTTTCCTTTTCCCTTTTTCCCTTCGGAGGTCACTGACCATCAACGAGGCCCAACATGGCCGGCGGAGAGAAAAAGGGAGAAATAAAAAAAGAAAAGGAAAATGAAGGAAAAAAAAGAAAAAAGAAACAAAATTCATAAAATAAAATAAAAATTTTCTACAAAAGTGCCGGCATTGACTGCGCCACGTAAGATGGCTAGTGCTAACTAGATGGCTACGTTAGCGATTTCCGGCCAAAATTGACCGAAAAGATCAAATTGGCAAATTATTTACATGTTCTAGGACTTTTCTGACAAATTTTCCCCAAAAAATGTGCCTTGATCCTCGAGGGCAGAGACTATGGAAATGCTCTCCCAAAGTCAGGGCAGTCAAAATGGTTTATAAACTCGTATTTTTATCCAAACTTATTTTGACAGAAAAATCCAAATTTATTGAGATGGATTATATATGGGTTACCCCAAATTTAAAATGTAAATCATAACGGGTTCCAAAGAGAAAAGCCCAAATAGTATGGGTTTTAACGGGTATGTTATAAACCTATTTTCAATCCACCCAATCAAAATAGTGAAGTTAAGTAAAAAGGTATCGATCCCTCTTCGCTATTTGCTCCTCTAATCTCTCTCTACCTTTTCGGTTCAACTAATTGTGACTCACGAGCTCTCTCTCTCCTCTTTGATCTCAACTGATCGGCGTTGCCGCTGACCTCGCCGCCCATCTCCGGTGCCCCTCTAAAGAGCTGAACTCATATGTCCCATAGTTATTGTATTTTAAGAAACGTGAGTGTCCCTGAAACTCGGAACTTGTTGAGGAGTCTTGTTTTCCATTAACCTCGTGAAAATGCCGATAAAAGGAACAAGTCTGATGGATTGAATCATGAGTGCGATGTGATAATGGCTCCTATTGTATTCTAATCCAACAGCTATCATCCTCAAGTTCTATAAGAGATTTTATATTGCATAAATCATGGATCCCCTTACCTGCCCATATGGAGAAAAAGTGTTGCAGGGAGAAGAGTGCGAGTGTCAAAGTCATTTTCAGTTTCTTCGGATTTATATTCATTTGAACATTTTGAATAGTCATTGATGTTTCACATGGAGAAGAATTAACATTGTGCTCTATTCGTAGTTATATAATATAACTTATATTCACAGTTGTAGTGAAGGCATTGCTCCTCACCTAGGCAAGAATTCACCGCCCTTCGTTTCACCACCTACTTCATGGGCCACCCAAACCTTGACCCTCGAGCTTTCTCATTGATTCAACCAGCCGATTCATGGAGTCGCCCATTCTTCGGAGGCAACAATTCAAGTAGAAAAATTGTTGAGAATGGAGCCCGTGTTGGGTCGAATATGGATTGGGTCCGGATCGGGTATTGGTCGCAAAGTAATTATTAGTTATTATTCAAATTCGACTCTTGAGCTTAAATTGCTTTGTACATCCTAAAAAGCCAACGAAATTTATGCTTTCATTCATCATGGAAAACTCGACGGGCCTCAAACCTTTAAAAGAAAAGGGAGAGAAGGCCCATGGGCTCCACCGGAACCTTCTGGGCTTTTGCCACCGTGCGTTTCGAACCCGCACCAGAAGAGAAAGTGGTCAAACCGAAGACGACGACGACGACGACGACGACGAAGGAGATACCAAAACCTCTCAAGACAGCCCTCTCAATCACTGCGAAGCGCTTGAGTTCTGGCTCGTCGATCGTCTCTCGCAACCGCGCGGCTCCGCCGAAAGAGACCAGCGCCCGTCGCATTCCGGCGAATCGATGGCTCCGAAGCCCAAGGACAAGCCGAAACCCTCCCCGTCCCCGTCGCAGCCGCCGCCGCCCATCGAAGATCTGTTCGCGTCTCTCAGCAAGCACATCCAACGATCTGAGTTCAAACAAGCCGTCAAGGTCGCAGATCAAGGTTCCGATTCCTCCCCGGCCGTGTACCGTCGCGTTCGATGGCTTCCTTCCGTCGCCCTTATTGACCTCACCATTCGACGTTCTTCTTCTTCTTCTTGTTTTTTTTTCGACAGTGCTGGGAATCGCTCCTGGGGATGAAGACGCGATTAGATGCAAGGTGGTGGCTCTGATAAAGGGCGACAGCATCGAGGGCGCGCTGACCACCATTCAATCAGCTAGGAACCTACCAATCGACTTCAGTTTTCACAAGGCGAGTGCTTAAATTATCGAAACGCGTGCTGGTGTTGCGGTTTCGTTTCACTTTCACGCAGGTTTAGTGTTCATTTTGCAAGGCCTTCGGGATTTCACGTGTTGCCATGCCGTCATTTTGATTGATTTTCTCATTTCTCGTCGAGGTGGAGTGCATGATGCTCCTGAAATAGCTGAATTGTGAATTGTGTGTTACTGGAAATGAATTTCCCTGTTGCATCTTTGTGGCTTTAGTCGAAACATTTGACTCCAAGAGGGGTTGAAATAACTCAGCTTGCAGATAAGCTAGGTGATTCTTATGGAGACCTGTTACATGTTGGTTTTGAAGTATTATCTGAACGAAGTTATAGGATAGTGGAGTTTTGGTCCCGGAAGAATATTTACTCGCAAGCAACCAGTAACGTCCTCTAGTGGAAGAAGGTCGTCGAGGCGCCCAACCCTCGCACTTATCAGTGGCAAAAGGAAAGAGAAAAACCCTTGCACTTGTTTGACTGAGGCCGTAAATGATTCACCGTGCTTGTACATATCTTTCTTACTCACCGTAATTGGTTATTTGAAGATTTTGAAAGAATTTTTGCTCCATCGCATGTATTCTTATTATTTTGACCCATATATGTTTTAGTTTAATCTCGAGCTTACCAAATGCATAACCGAGTCTTTTGCATGTTGAGAAAGAACAGTTCAGCTGTCTCTTTATTAATGTCCTTCTTCCTCCTTTGGCTCTAAATAGGCATACTGCTTATACAGACAAAATAATCTGGATGAAGCTTTGGACTCTCTCAAGAGCAAAGAAAGAAGTACTTCAACCATGCTCTTGGAGTCTCAGATTCTGTACCGCCAAGGCAAAATGGATGCTTGTGCGGATATTTATCAAAAGCTACAGAAGTCTAACGTGGAATCACTTGAGATAAATGCGATTGCCAGTTTGGTTGCGACTGGAAGAGCCTCGGAAGTGCAAGGAACATTGGATGCACTCAGGGTCAAAGCAACTAGCAGCTTTGAGTTGGCATACAACACTGCTTGTTCTTTAATTGAAATAGAAAAGTATTCGGATGCTGAACAACTCTTGTTATCAGCTCGTAGGTAATATACATGACCGATTCATTGCATTTATGTTCACAGGTTTGTCACTTTATTGGCGCTGACAGTGCAATTTTATGGGTGTTTATGAAGTCTTTTCACTAATGGTTTCTTATCATTTGGTCTCGGTAACCGATGTCAATTTACATGGTTGTACCTTTTATCCAGGCATAAGAACTCTTTGACAGGAATTTTCTGCTTGATCTCTTAAAGGTGCTTTACCTTTTATTTTCTGTTTGCCAAATTGATGAAGCAAGGGCTTTTCTGTGGAATACATGCCTTGAGCACTGAGTACTTTGTTTTCACTGAATTTCTAGCATCTCATCTTGCTAATGGGGGGCAAACTTTTACCACGTGGCCTAGCATTTTTCCCTTAAACCAATATGCAGTGTTTTAATTGGAGTATTGCGATTATTTTGTATTTTTTTTTTATGTTCACAATATTCAGAAGTGATGAACAAGACTTTAATTTTCTTCTTGCTCATTTTTCTATATGTGCTTTCAGGAATGCGTTACACGAACCATGATGTGCATTTGCACCATTTTCCCACCTTAACTCTGTCGTTTACCTTTGGAAACTCTTTATGCGGTTCTCCCCAGTTTTGCGATAGACTGGTGTTGTAAAGTAATGAACTAAGATAATTTCTTGTTTGACTTTGTCCAAAAAATGAGGGTTTACTCTGGAATGCATTCGGTGTTGTTGGCATACAGGGGCATACTCCTTTCACCACTTCAACTTTTCTTTTGATCGGATTTCGCATCTCATCCACTTTTTGTACTTCTTTAGGCTCTATGCCGCCTTGCTTCTGAAGTGAACAGGACAATTAGAATGCTGATGTATTTGAGATCTTGTCAGAATTGGTCAGGAAACTCTCCTGGAAGAAAACTTAGATGCTGATGAGGTGGAAATTGAATTAGCTCCTATTGCTGTCCAGTTGGCTTATGTTCAGCAGGTAATTGAAAGTTAGTTAATGCTTCTGCTGTTGTGGAGGAGGGCTCCAATCATTTCTTATAAATATCTCTTGGCATGTAGTTCTGAAATGACACAACTATTTTATTTTTCATAGATCTTTGGACGCAGACAAGAGGCCATTGAAGCTTACACTGGCATCATTAATCGGAATTTGTCCGATGAATCATCGCTTGCTGTGGCAGTGAACAACCTCATTGCTCTGAAAGGGCCAAAAGATGTCTCTGATAGCCTGAGAAAAGTTGACCGCCTAAAGGAGAAAGATGCCCAGAACTTCCAGCTTTCTCATACAGTGGAATTGAAACTTCTACGGAAGCAAAGGGAGGCAATATACACTAACCGGGTGCTTTTGCTCCTCCATGCGAATAAGATGGATCAGGTCGAATCCCATATTTTCTTTTGTGCTTCTATACCAACTGTGCATTTTTTTAATTGTGTAGTTAATGGACTAAGTCTGCCAACTAGTATTGTTTTGCTTATATACTAACCTTGTTCTTTCTCAAATACTCAGGCCCGAGAGCTTGTTGCTTGTCTGCCCAACATGTTTCCTAACAGCGTGGCACCAATATTGCTTCAAGCTGCTGTGTTAGTGAGAGAGAACAAGGCTGGCAAAGCTGAGGAAGTATTAGGGCAATTTGCAGAGAAGTTCCCTGATAAGTCCAAGACTGTTCTTCTGGCAAGAGCACAGGTTGCTGCAGCAGCTGGCCACCCTCTTGTAGCGGCAGAATCACTGAGCAAGATACCTGATATCCAGCACATGCCTGCCACTGTCGCGACCCTTGTTGCATTGAAAGAGCGTGCAGGTGATATTGACGGCGCAGCTGCCATTCTTAACTCAGCGATCCAATGGTGGTCAAATGCCATGACTGAGGACAACAAGCTCTCTTCTATAATGCCAGAGGCAGCTTCCTTCATGCTCAGGCACGGCAGGCAAGAGGAAGCTGCACGCCTTTACGAGGAACTTGTGAAAAGCCATGGAAGCATAGAGGCAATGGCTGGGCTCATAACCACGGTCGCACGGGTAGATATTGGCAAAGCTGAAGCTTATGAAAAGAAGTTAAAACCGTTGCCTGGGTTGAAGGGCATTAATGTGCAGAGTTTAGAAAAGACTTCTGGTGCGAAACAAGATGAAAGTTCTCTTCGTCGCGGACTCGCTGAGGCACATGAGGAGAGTAAGAGCAAAGAGAAAACCAAGAAAAAGAGGAAGAGAAAGCCAAGATACCCCAAAGGTTTTGACCCGGCTAATCCAGGTCCTCCACCAGATCCAGAAAGGTGGCTTCCTAAGAGGGAGAGATCAAGTTATAGGCCGAAGAGGAAGGATAAGAGAGCTGCTCAAGTAAGAGGCTCCCAGGGGGCAGTAGCTAGAGAAAAACATGAAGCTGGTGCCAATTCAAGTGCTCCTAATGCGACACCAAACCAAGCAAGCAGCTCCAAAGGGGCCTCACAAACCTCAGTTGCGGAGAAACCCAAGCCTTCTAAATCATCGAGGAAGAAGTCAAGGAATTGATTGGCAGGTTTCCCAAATTTTGTCAACAGCTATCCATCTAATTTCGGTTCAGAATTTCTCTTTTCATCTATTTGCGGATCACAAATTTCTCATAGTTAATGCATTGCGTTCGATTGAATTTAAAGTCACCAGGACTTGCAGAGCGTTCCTTGAGAAGAATTTATACAGACGGCATAACGTTGCTTGGGTCTTTGCTCAATAATTTCTTTTACATTAGTCAGTGTGTTCTTGGATATTCCATTCCTTGGAATGTTTTTCACATGCGAAGTGCTCGTTCTATGTTGGATTGTTATTCAATAGCACGCATCGACTGCGTGCATACCCAACTTGCAGCTAGGACCAGGTAATGAAAAGTAGTGCAAAATCCATTAGAGGGAATTTATTTCCTTGATTTGCTTTATTCTTGCATTATCTAGAGAAGAAAGTGGATGTAGATTTGCCTTTCGAATGCTAAAGTAATCTGTTCGTTGACAGTGGAATTTTTTTTTGCATGGATCTGTCTATTATGGATCGGATGAATTTCTGTGTCTATTATAGATTTGATTGGTCTCACATGGCTCCACATCATCCGATGGTTGTAATATATTTTGGGCCTCGTCCTCACCTGATGATGAACCCTTTCGAGAGAAGTATCCATTTTATGCTTGATATGGCCACTGATGACCGATGAGAAAGCTTAGTATGACAATGAAACTAACTAATTCTTGCTGGAAGAACTGATGGAAAGTACAAGGGAGTCATTTTCAAGCTCTTTTGAATCGAGGTATGAACTTTTGCCTGTCGGAAGAACAAACTTCACTGGTTGAGAAGGTAGGACATGGAGGGAATTCCATTTCTTGTAATGAAAGCTTGTAGGCACCAAAGAGGTTGATGTGAAATCATACACGTGCAATCGCGCATCTAACATCTTTTCCCACTAGCACGGAAAATGACCGATTGATTGTTCCCTGAACACGTCGTAAAACACCCGGGAATTTTGATCAAGTTCTGCATCTAAATCTTACGAGAATGATGCCCCAGCGATGAACGCTCAGCAGAGGTCCACAAAAGCTTCCAAGCAGATTGACCGTTGACGGTAGTTGATGTACATTGAAGCCATCACTCTTGTACTTATCAACTTAGGGCTCTTGGAAATAAAATAAAAAATTATCATGATGTAATATTATTTTGGTTAATATCACGAAAAATCCTAAACTGATACACATGTGATAAATTTACCCCAAACTAATTTTTTGACCACGAATGGGGTGTTGCGAAAGCCCCTTCCCAAAATGCTGGGGTGTTTGGTTCAGCTTTCATGCTAGCATTGGCCAAATGCTAGCATTTGGAATGCTGAAAGCCCAAAGCTGGTCCGGACCAGCTTTGGGCTTTCAGCATTCCACAAATGCTACTGTTCACGTCTTTTTTTTTTTGAAACTGTTCATCTTCTTCACCAGGCAGCCGGCGAGGGCGGCCGGCGAGGGAGAAGGGCCGGCGAGGTCGCCTGGGATCGAGCGACCGCCCGTGCGATCGCCTGAGTGCAACGCCGTCGCTGGGTCGCTCGACCCGGGCCGTCGCCCGCTTGGGTCGCGCGACTCCCGAGGCGGTGACGGCTTGGGTCGAGCGACCCCAGGCGGCCGTCACCGCCTGGTCGCGCGACCTCAGGTGGCGACGGCCGCCGGCGCCAGATCTATCTTGCCGGCGGCCGGCTCCGGCGATGGGTAGGTTGGTTTTTTTTTTTAATAAATAAGATAATTCTCAAAGTCCATTTGCAAAAAAAATTCACCAAACACTATATTTTGGCCAAAGTAGCTTTACAAAATATTTTTACCAAACACCATTTGCATTTCCTCAATGGGCTTTCACCCAAAGGTATTTGGATTCTCCCAAGTAGCATTTTCAAAGTTGAACCAAACAGGCCCGTAACCCCTCAAACCGGTATACCTGTGATAAATTTACCCTCCGTTAAATTGGATTAATACCATTAAAAATTACAAACTGGTAAACACGTGATAAACAGAGGGGTAAAACCTTAAATTGGTACGTCGGTGAATTGCTACGTATCATCCAACTTAGCAATTTAATGACAAAATTTAACGGAAATTAATTGATGGTAAATTTATCATTGATATATCAGTTCGGGTTTTTAGTGATCAAAAAATTAGTTTGGTAGAAATTTATCGCATGTATATCAATTTGAGATTTTTAGAGTGTTAGCCCACATTATTTTTATTCTTTATTAATTTAAATTTTTCATAGCGGTTCGGTACCCTCGTTTTTTTTTTCTTTGGTCGAACGGTACCCTCGTTGACTAACCCGAATAATTTAATTTCTTTTTTTTCCCGACTTTTGAAAACTTTGGCAGGAAAAAACCCAACCCCGACGTCGATTTTCCGTTTCCCTCTCGAAGGAGGATCATTCCCGATTGTCGAGACGATCTTCTTCTGCCAATCAAAACACTCTCTGCTGAGTTCTGAATGTTCTCCCCTCTCTTTACTTCCCTAATCACTGATTAAAAACTGCTCACTAATCGCAGATTAGTAAATAATCAGTGATTCCGTTTTCACTATTCACGCTCCCACGAAAGCTTTCCATTCACGCACACCTCTCTCTCTCTCTCTCTCTCTCTCTCGGACGGCTCTGCAAAGAGGCCAAACGAAGAAGAAAATGCAAAGGAGCTGAGCTAACTCTCTTCCACTCCACTCCTCGCTGATTCTCGGGCGATGGTTCCTCCGCCGCTCCCACCATCGCCGCCGCGTCTCCTCCGCCGTCCCTGAGCCCTAACAGCCGCCGCCGCCGCCATTCCCCCCGGGGAAGGAAGCCCTAACCTCGTCCCGCCATGTACTTGTCCGAGAAGCCTCGCCCGATCGATTTCTACAAGGAGGAGTCCACCCCTCGCGACATGATCATCGAGGTCGTCTCCTCCAACGGCGACATCCCCCCGCCGCCGCCTCCCCACCACCCGCACCAGCACCAGCTCCAGCACCAGCCGCCGCCGCCGCCGCCGCCCTCGCAGCCCCAGTCGCACCACCAGATGATCCTCGGCGAGAGCAGCGGGGAGGACCTCGAGGTCAAGGCCCCGAAGAAGCGCGCCGAGACTTGGGTCCAGGACGAGACCCGGTGCCTCATCGCGCTCCGCCGCGAGATGGACTCGCTGTTCAACACCTCCAAGTCGAACAAGCACCTCTGGGAGCAGATCTCGTCCAAGATGAGAGAGAAAGGGTTCGACCGTTCCCCGACCATGTGCACGGACAAGTGGAGGAACTTGCTCAAGGAGTTCAAGAAGGCCAAGTACCAGGATAGAGGGTCGGCAAAGATGTCGTATTACAAGGAGATTGAGGAGATTCTGAGGGAGAGGAGCAAGAATGGTCAGTATAAGAGTCCGGCGGCCTCGGCTTTGAAGGTCGATTCCTACATGCAGTTCTCTGACAAAGGCAAGTATGAATATACTGTTTTACACTTTGTTAACTAAGTCGAATTGGGAGGAATTATTTGGGCGTATGTGTTGTGTTGGTGGTGTTTGTGATATAGAAGCTAAATTGTAGCGATCAAAAGTTGCCCAGTTAAGCTCCCTAAGCTTGTATTTTCTCTTTCCTCTTCTGTGAGATAGGAATTGCGAATAGGCAATGGCTATGATCTGTCAAGGCGTGTCTTGAGTGTGAAAGATTTTTCTGGAAGTGTTAGCCTTTGAGTAGGAATTACAGGGCGTCAGCTGAAAGTTTGTAATCATAAATGAAATTACTAAAGAACAAATTTCTTCTTCTTAACAAGTTCATTAGTAGGTAGTGAATGAGGGTGTTTGTTGATTGATTAGTACGGAAGACGAGTTTTCGCAGTCGCCAATGTGATTTTTGGGACTGTTACAATAAGGAATTGTCTTTCATGTACAGCATTACTCAAGAAGTTACCAAGTATTTGTGGACTCGAGTTTGAAGTGCGAACTTTCTTGTAACAATAGTTGTCCAGCTGGGGATGAGTGTTTGTTTGTGGGACCTAAATTGAAGAGTTGGCTAACTCCTATTGAGGGGATGCATTCCATCTTTCTTGGCTTGTCTAGCTGGTTTCTATTTCTTTCCATATGGTGGTGAAGGTCGCCATAGCTTTTCAAGAGTTAATTTCGTCCGTTCCAGTAATTGCAAATGCACGTGCGTAACACTTTGTTTGTTTTACTCACTACATTCTACCTGTACCAAGTGAACAATGTTCACTTCACGATGTCCAGTCATCGGAAGTATTCTTATAATTGCAAATGCACGTCCAATCACTCATACCACCATGTTTGCCTCACTATTTCATTTCATGGGCTATTCCCTGTATTTACGAGGGTAAACAAAACCTGATGACACTGTGGTTTGGTATAATTGCAAATTCATGTGTGTAACACTTTGTTTGTTTTACTCACTACATTCTACCTGTACCAAGTGAACAATGTTCACTTCATGATGTCCAGTCAGTGGCAGTATTCTTATAATTGTAAATGCATGTCCAATTCACTCACTTCACCATGTTTGCTTCACTATTTCATTCATGGGCTATTCCCTGTGTTTACAAGGGTGAACAAAACCTGATGACATTGTGGTTTGGTATTTAATCTGTTTCTTCTAGGAACTTGTTAATACAATGCGGAAAATATTTTATTTTGTGAGATGAATCTTTCTGTTCTGTTTGATTGGCTAGAATGAGACTATCGAAGTTGAATAAAAAAATATTAAAGAAACAAGGAGTCTGAACCTAGATCACCACATGTCTATATCTTGAAACTGGTTGAGTCAATTTACGAGTGAGGATTTATTATACATATTAGTAATCCATATGCTCATCGTGCCAGGGTTTCTTCCTTATAGAAGAGACAAATTCGATGAAAGACAATACTTTAATTTATCTCATTTTTTTAGAACTAGTACTTTGGGAGACATGCCAATTTATGAAAAGACGAAGTGACTTACAGTCATAAAAAAAGATGAAATGAAATTGTGAATAGTTCAGTGTACTTCTAGTTTGAAGGAAAAAAGGGACAACAATTTGTGTCATCAGTAGTGTAAATAAAAAGCTTTTAATACGTTTTTCCTCCAAAGCATGGCTATTCTAAAGTCATATTTAGTGGTCCATCTAGCAATTTTCCTCTTGTGTCGGATTGTGCTCGTTGATAAACAATAGAATCCATAACTTTTTGTTGCGGGTATGATTCATTTCTCTTTATCTAAGTGACCAAATGCATGACGAAAGAGATGAGGACCTCCTCGCCATTCCGCTGAATTTTGTGTCTGCTAACCGATCAAGGCCCACATTCTGTTCAATGTGGATGTTGCCTTGAGTAGGTGCAATGTCGGGAGAAACTTCAATCCATTTGATATCTGATAGAGGGCATGCAACTGGTCGATGTACATGTACCTGTGAAATTGGATTGCTGTCTGTTCTGGCCCTTTGCGATCTTAAACAAATTTACACATATCACATATGTCATAAGTACTATTGAGTTTCTTAAGTTTCATTAAGAGCTTGAGGTATGTATGCACCATTTCTTTTTTATCTCTTTGGGTTCTATTCATGATTAATGTTCCCTTGCTTTAGAGAACCAGTAGAATCTCAGTTCAGCATGCAACCTTACAGAAGACAGGCTGGATTTCAACAGTATATTTTCTTTGATTCTTGTGTGGTTCGTGAATTTATGGTTCATTCTCTTGTTCTCCCTGTCCTTATTTTAATGGATACAACCTTTAAAGAAAAGAATGTCACTATTGCCCTTAGAACTGGAACTCAACTCCATTTGAGGCACCTTTCTTGATCTTGCCTTCTTTTTCACATTTATTGGACAGGCTGCTAGGGACTTTTCCATTTATTTGTCCCATTGCCTTGGGATTACAAAGTAGGGAGGGACTTCTTTTGTACTTTCTGTGCATTTAGTTTTGAATTATACTTTTGTATGCAGGCATTGAGGATGCTGGGATGACTTTCGGACCTGTAGAAGGTAAGAAAACTTGGTTTTCAACTTAGTAATTATGGTTTATTTGCTTTGCTATTCTGCACGATCCATTGCATAACTTTTTTGCTTTGTGGCCATAAGGGTTATTGGTTTGTAGGTTCTCCAATTGTGCAGCTGAGCATCCACTCTTTATTAGTCATTCTCATGTCCTGTCACATGGAGTTCCCTTCATTTTTATAAAATATGAAGTTGGCCAAATCTCATTACAAGATTAACAGAAGAATCAGGCAAATCTTACACCGATGATGGCAGACAATATAAAGTGGTGTCGCTGTTTTGTTCAAATTTGTAGACAGATGGTACATTAACAAAGGAATGAGATTTATCACCACTAGACCTAAAATTTTAAATCAAAGAGCATAATATTGCATTCCTATTTATCAAAATGCTAGCAGAAAACTGAAGAAGAAAACTTGGCCCTGGGTATCTGAGACAATGCATTATTGATTTTAAGAGTAAAGTGATGTCCTGATGTTATTATGTCCCCTCCTGCAAAATTTAGGACCTGCAGCGCAGAGATGATTTTCTTATATCAATGCCATGTAGTGCCAAGTGTCTGAATCCATTAATGGCAGACCATAGGAATTGCTCCATATGTATCGGAACATCTGCTGATTAAAATATTATGTTTCAAAATTTTGTCCGAACGGGCTTCACTTTATGAATTTTTCGCATGGGGCTTGGATTCTATTCTTAGACCTTGAGTTGATGGGAAACACATCTGACCTTAGAAAATGTCATTTCTTTCCCTGCTAAAGAGATGGTAATCATTACCTCATATTTTTAGCACAGGAATCGATGGAAACTTCAATATCTGGAACATTTATGTCTATTGACTAGTCTGGACTTCTATTGAGGCACAAATTACAAGTGGACCTCTTGCATCTTTAGTTATCCCTAAAAAGGCCCAAATGCATGCCCCCTTCTCTGGATGACCTCGTCATATTTGCTTTTTTTTGCTTTTCAATCAATTTTTGGTGAAGCATTCCACCCAAAGTTAGTTAGAACTTCTGTTTGTGCGGATTTACCATTCTAGTTTTTATTGCTCGACCTTTCAGTTCAAATTATGATTACTCATGTTAATTTAGACAGATGGTCTCATGTCATTTAATTTTCTTGGTGTGCACTGTGCAGCAAGTGGTAGGCCGACTCTCAACCTTGAAAGACGTTTGGATCATGATGGGCATCCTCTGGCCATAACTACTGCTGAAGCGGTTGCGGCTAATGGAGTTCCCCCTTGGAATTGGAGGGAAACCCCTGGAAATGGTTGGTTTATCTACTGTAATATGATAAAATGATTGTTATCGACTTTGAGGACTTCTGCCCAAGCATATGAATGAGTTGCCAATGTCAAGTGCTACCTGCTGAAGATCTTTGCTTTCCACCTCACATCTGTGCCTAAAACCTAAAAGCCACCCCCAACATCTTGAGTTGATAATGTTTCCGAGTTAGCAACATTTTATTGATGATACTGTGCTTTCCCTTTCTCTGTGGTTCAACAGGTGAGAGTCAGTCATACGGTGGGAGGGTCATCTCAGTCAAGTGGGGTGACTATACCAGAAGGGTTGGTATTGATGGCTCTGCCGATTCCATTAAAGAGGCGATCAAATCTGCTTTTAGATTGAGAACCAAACGTGCATTTTGGTTGGAGGATGAAGACCAGATAATACGGAGCCTTGACAGAGATATGCCTTTGGGAAATTACACTCTCCAGCTTGATGAAGGTAATAGCAGCACATGCAGGTTTTGGAATGGGCATAGCCGTACAAATTATGAAATTGTTTTGTCATGACGCACACCGCCATCTGTTAACACTTCACTACACTACACTGACTATATGGACTGCTTATGCATAGATCTATATTTTCAGGACTGGCCATAAAAGTGTGCCTTTACGATGAGTCAGGGCACATTTCAGTCCATACAGAAGATAAGATTTTTTACACGGAAGATGATTATCGTGATTTTCTTGCCCGAAGAGGGTGGACATGTTTGAGGGAGCTTGATGGGTATAGAAACATTGATAATATGGATGATCTACGACCAGGTGGAATATACCGTGGTGTGACATGAGGCATGCGGGCTCCAATGGGAGGGGGGGACTTTGTAATTTTGTCCATGATGGAGCTGAACTGTGACGTTTAATTGTGTATAGCCCATCTTGGCTCGAGATGTTTATTCAATTAGCACTGTGCTTGAGGCATTTCAAAAATGTATATATCCACTTCTTTTTGGTCTTTGAAAGAGGCAACTTGGTTACTCCCGCCGACGATCTTTTCTTGTCTTCATTCATGCACTGCCCGGATTATCGAAATGAAATTATTACGCACGTGAAACTGCTTGGATTACCGAGATCCTGTTGACAAAACTGCCTTTTTGGCCCATAACAATGTTGTAATTAAACTACTGAGATCATTATTTTGCTTTTCTACCCTTTTGAGAATTCTTCCTTTTAACCTGCTGAGGTCACCTCAAGTCCTTTTGACAATGAACAGGAACGCCATGATTTTGTCAAAAGGGGACAGACAAAGGAGTTCAACAATTGCCATATTTTTCGGGGTGCATTAACAAAAATTACAGAATTGGTAGATTCGTAACAGGAACTTAGGACATTGTTTCTCGGGGTCATTCCATTCAAATCGTACAAAATGTGAATAAAAGATTCACAATATCCCGTTTAAGACGCAAGGGAAATTACTCCTCATCCCATTCATCGTTCTTGTATGATACAAGCGTGTCCACCTTGTGTATCTGCAAAACATCAGAAAGACATAATGCATCAGAAGGGCAGAAGAACCGACGATAGCGAGCTACTGAAGTTCATGTCCAACTTAAGACACACCTTGAAAAGAGAAGAACAAAAGTATATGTCCAACTTACCTTTGTGTCAAAAGAATGCAACTTAACCATCTGTGGATTGGCAATCAACTTAGGGTCGCTCTCAATCCACGTGAACGGAACCGCCACGTCCTTATCAGTGTATGCTAACACATCGAATACACCTACAAAGACGAGCGAGAAAATTTCTAAATCAAACAAAGCCCAGGAGCATGTGAACTGTATTACCTAAATGGTCGCCAGACTAATCCTTCGTACAGGGTTCATCAAGGCATGGCAAGTAAGTGATGCTCGAAGCAATCTGTCGCATAATTGCTTGAATCTCCCTCATGATCTCTTTGTCGCTCTTTTCTCTCGAGACTCTGTAATCAAAGCAGAACGATGCCACCACGTGTTCAGTGACAACAACCCGGAAGGCAAACAGAGAAAACAAACAAAAGCTAACTTGATTTAAATTACCCCTTCTCGACGACCTCGTCATCAGTCTCGATGCTGAAGTTCCACCTCTCTAACACCTCACCAGTGGCCTTGCTCATTATAACAAGAACAACCCTTTGCAATTTGCCAGCTTCCAACCATTCTTTCGAGCAAAAATTTGACATTCAGACTCATCAGATAATTGTAGCAGACATCATTCCAAGGAAATTAAACAGAAGTTCTCCTTTTGTTGTGTTTAGCGGTCGAGTTTTGACACAAAGAATACGCCTTTTTTACATAACAAATCAAGCCCCGAGGTCGAACCATTCAACTCACAGTCCAACACTCCTTTTTCGCCACCCAATGAGCGCAAATCGATCTTAACACATTCCCTAACTCTGCATTGTCTACAGAAGCAAGCATAACAGCAATAGGGGGGGAACTATCTAAGTTGCAAAAGTTGAATCTTTTCTTACCCGAAAGCTGAGCATTTAAGTTGGCAATGAAGGATTTGACACCTTCATCCTGAGTAAGCAGCATCGGAAGCCCGTACTTCTTCACCTTCGCGAAACTCTCCTCCGGATACACCCCGCGATTGTATAGAATACTGAAAAAATCAAAACCCCCCAAAATAGTTTTTCATTACTCGATTCTCAATCGATAAACCGAATTAGGTCTACACTTAGCCTACAGAGCAAACGGGGATCATGCACAGTACACACCGCCAGAGTCCCACTCACCTGTTTGCAGCATAACCTGAAAACGAAGAACCAGACGCAAACCCACGAAATCAGCAAAAAGGTTACAGCAAAGAAACAACGAACGAATCTCGAAATCGAAACCAAGGACGGGCGGCGAACGGACCGAAGAACTCGCTGACGATGGCCGCGGAGCCGCGCAGCGTGATGATGTCCTTGGCGACGGTTTTCGCAGCCATGCTAGATGAGTTCGCCCCCGCCCCCCACAGAGATCGAACAAACAAACCGACCGGGCAGTGCAGCGGCGAGATTCCAAAGGGAGAAATCGCCCGAACCGACCGTGGGAAAGAGCGCAGAGCCGCGAAGCGAAGGGCGAAGGGCGAAGGGCGGCGAGTGAGTACGACGGACTGCGAAAATGGCTGATTCGAGCGGAGACTCGTTTGGAAAGATTTGATCGTTCTCCTTTTCTTTTAGGGGTTTGAGCGTAACGATTCAAAAAGGAGCGAAGGATATATTTGCAGCGATAGCGTAACGGCTACTTCTCTATTTTGTCTGGTCCTTGGGCGGCGACTCCCCTCTTTTCAAAGTGGCTCCTTCAACGGTTCGTTTTTCCACTTTTTCTCCCAACACGAGAAATTGATTTGTCCACGACATTCATAAAATCAACGGCTGCGATGCACTTTGGTTCGATGGATTAGGATGGGGGTGAAAAAAAATTCTCTTCATCCAAAGGATAAATTATACTTTTCCGTTCCCTACTTTCGAATTTTCACAACGAATTTCTGCGCTTTTAATTATTTTAATCGAACAGACGAAATTTAGGGTACGTTTATTTCGCGAAAAATGAACGATTTGGAATGCATTTTTCAAAAAGATGACCATCCGTGTCGCTTACAAAAATGAACGAACGGAATACATTTTCATCATCCACAAACTATTTAAACATAGATTATTGTTGATTATTTTATATTGATTTTTTTTATTTCAAGAGATATAATTAGTTATTTTTAAAAAAATATTTTTCAAATCATTCATTTCCATGAAACAAGCGGAGCTTTATTAATAAGAGATTGGTTTTAGTTACTTGAAATTACTTTCGGTCTATGATCCAATATCGTCACTAGCATCCCAATCTTTACCACTTGACATACTAAAATTAGTCAACCTAAGTTGCAAAATGAAAAATGCCGGAATCTCTTAACTCGTTCCCAGTCCAATTAAGCAGTTAGACTAGTCGATACGCAATATATTCTGAGTAGACAATAAGGGGGAAATAGTTTGTTTTCTAAATTCACACATGCATATGTCGAGAGAGGAGGAGGAGGAGGCGGCGGCGACGACGAGAATCGAGATGTGCATCTTTGATATCCTTATAATCAAGAAGGATCTTTATTCCCCCTCTCCTTCTTCTTTCCCTAGGCTAATAAAGTACGTACGCATACTCGGGGGACAAACAAGAATCAACAAACCGAGCCGCAAAATTCAGAGTTTATATTGAATTAACATAACATTTAGCACAACAAGGTGTCGTGGTGTAGTTGGTTATCACGTCAGTCTAACACACTGAAGGTCTCCGGTTCGAGTCCGGGCGACGCCAATTTTTTCACATCCATAATTTTTTTTTCAGCCGGCCATGTCTAAAACGACATCGTCTCCCCACCCAAGGACATAATGGGAATTGCAGCCGGACGCTCTCCCCTCATCTCTCGCCCCCCCTTCCTCCCGCTACATACGAACTCCCCAGAGGCACCTTTCCCGCCAAATCCCTGCGTAAACCCTAGACAGAGAAACCGCGAGCGAGACGGAGAGAGAGAGCGAGAGCGCGAGCGATGGAGGAGGAAATCAAAGCGAAGCTGAACGAGAGCGGCTTCACGCTGGACGAAGCAGAAGAAGAGGAGGTACTCCGCAAATGTAAGGCTCTTCTTTGACTTCCGAACTCGACCGCATTTTACCCGCCCCAAATCCATCTCTTCGAGGCGCGCGCGTCTCGAAAAATCTGGCGCTGACGGATTCGGTTCCGCTTTGGATTGATTCAGGCCTCGCGTTCTGCATCAACTACAAGCTCGGTCCCTCGGATCTCGTATCGAACTGGGAGTTGTACTACCTCAACAGGTACCCTCATCAATTTCCCATGTAATTCAACGGATCTTGGCGAGTGAAGTGGTTTGGTAGCTCGATAGGAAGCTAGCGAAGGGCCAATATCGATTAGGCGAAAGCTAATTGTCGTCGTCCGGTTGTTTTCCTCGTAAGCGTGCTCGTTTTTCTTCCAGCTCAGTTGACTGGGGAGGTCCTTTGTCTCCTTCGTTGCGTCGATTGACCTGTTGTCTTGGCGGCAGTTATCAGCTCCAGTGTTTCGATATCTCGGGGGAGCATGCTGTATCTATCTTGCTGAATACTGATCCGTGTCAAAGTTTGCGAATTCCCGTGTTTTTTAATTGGTGCGGCTCTTGAATCACGTGGCAGGCAACTGAACGAGTCCACGGTGCAGGATGCGGAAATGGACGGGTTCTTGCTTCACCTGCAAAATAAGGTCAAAGAGGCGGTCATCAAGGAGGAGCCGAATTTGCACGTTTACTCGAGTAAAGACGTGGACATGTGAGCTTTGCTTAGTCCTCTTGTTATCTTTTTTCTGATGACTCGTGTCAATATCTTACATTGAAGTAATGGCATAAGGGAAATCTTTGAGACTGGGAGTTCCCGGGGAATCTTTATTGTGATTTCATTTTGGGTTCTGTAGTAAAAGGGCTTTGGTGATTAAGGCCAGCATCTCATTTCTTGTCAGAGGAGGATCAGGGAAATTGTACTTGGCAATTCAGTTGATAATAATTTTTGGTTGGATGCTGCTCCTGCACTCTTATATAGTACTCTTGTTGTCGAAATACTTCTCCTCTGTTTTTCAAACTTAATCGTCACGTTCCTTGCATGCAGGATTTTGAATAATGAAGATGAATATTCGAAAGAAGATGACATCGGCACTCCGACACATAGATCCAATCTCTCTCCAGAGCAGTCTGATCTGATGCATCAAACAAGTGGGAAGGCTTATTCTTCTGGGAAAGCATCAACACTTATCACGCCTTTTGGGCAACGAACGGAAAAGTTTGCTGTGAGATTCAGCATTAATCAGCAGTCGGGAGGAGAGAATGGGAAAATGGAACACGATATTGAGAGTTCGGAGGATGATTTTATCAAGAAAGTACAACCTCACAAGAGATGTTCCTTGGCGATTAATGTAACAAAGCCGGAACCTGGGTGCAGATTTATGTATGATAGAACTGAAGACAGAGTTAGTAATATTTTTTATGGCACAAAACCACTCCCGAGTCTCCTTCTTGTCTATACAACTGACCATTCTCATTCTTGTGATGTAGTTTAACGCGCTTGAAAACCGTATTAAAAGACATGAAAGTGCTCTTGTTGCTTCTGGCCTCTATGAGGAACCAGTAGACCCTACTCTTGCTTCACAGGTGATGTGGCTCCCCAGCAAACTTCCCCTCTTTCCATTTATATTCATAGGACGATAGTGGTCCATACATGCTTTCTTCTCTATTTCTTATTGGTTCACAGTTGATGTGAACTTCCGATTTTTTAGCCCATATAAATGTTGATAAAGGCTATAACTGTCCCTCTCTCGATTTCTTTTCTCACTTTTTCACAATGCATTGATGGTATTCTCTGGTCTCAGAAAAGCATATTTTCTGTTGGTATGATCTGTTGCGACGGAGAAGGCCACTTGAATGATAAGTCCATCCTGTTGCAAAGCAGGTATTGCAGTTTGAGTTATCCTACTTATCTTAAGCAGTATCTTATGAGTACTCTGATAGGAAGTTAATATATGTTGCCTTTCTACTCTAAAAGAATCATTAGACAAGTAGTTTAGCTCAGATTTGTCAAGCTCATGGTTGCTAGGGGCTGTAAGATGTAAGGCATTCCTAATCCAGTTATGATGCTCTTCCATTGGTTTAAGTCTGCTTTGAATTTTGACCCACCCCCCAAAAAAAAAAAAAAAAAGGGGAGTGCTTTGAGTATTTCTTTAGTATCACAATGAATTGTTGTTTCTCACTGAATATCCGTGACAGTGTTGAACACTCCAGCGGGCAATGTGTCCGCCTGGACCTACAGAGATTGAGCCAGTTTTCTATTTTCCCAGGCCAGGTAAGAAGGAAAGAAACAGTGTATAGATGTAAGCAATGCTATTTCAGTGTATGTGCATTCAATAAATCAAAAACCTCCTCATTTTTTGACAGATAGTAGGAGTTGAAGGCAACAATCCTAGCGGACACTGTCTAATTGCATCCAAAATTATAGAATCTGTCCCCGTGAATGCTTTGGCTGATGTGATTCCTCCTCCAGCAAAGAAGCAAGCTCTGGAACAGGAAACCGTTTCCACTGGTCCAGCTTCGTCATCCCAAGAGCTCTCTGTGGTGCGTAAATTGGGAGTCTTTCATATACTTTCAATATCTAGATCAGCTGGTGTCATTTGACATTTCTTCTTCTTGTATTTCTTTTATCTACATTTTTGTGCATTTTATTTCTCCACCTGAAGCACTACCATATCCACAATCCCAGCGCTTTGGACTACATGATATAACAAAGAAAAGAATTACTTGGAAATAATTTGTAAGCATGGAACTGGAAGTCGGAAATCTTCAACTTAAATGTTAAATCGGAAAGATGAGAGTTGCATAGATTGGATTTGATATCACATTTCATGCAATCTTCTCTAGCAAGAAGATATGGGCTTTCTGGTAGAAGTAAGGTCATAATAGAAAGGGGACTGGAGACCAAATTAGAATGGGCTAGAAAGTATAAAGGCAGAACTTGAGTATATGAATCTTATAAAGGATATGGTTCTGGGGTACTGAAAACGGCATTATGTCCTCGGGCACATTTAACCAATCACATCGGGAAGAAAAAACAAGTGATTCTGCTTTTTAATTCATGCAGATGCCATCTTCTATTAAAGCAGTGTTGAACTCATTATGCTTGTTACTAAAAGAACAGGGGAATTGGCTCATCTTGCTAGCTTAGGTGCTTAAAAACTTACCTTGGAAAACTATTTTAGTTTTAGGAGGAACTTCTTCCGTGCATAGTTTCCTTGTCATGGGTGGCGTTTGGGTAATACTCTGATAAACTCCTTCAAAGAGGGATAAGATTGATAGCTAAAGAGCTCCCTGTAGAACATAGTTAGAAACACCAAGCCATCTCCTTTTACATTCCAATTGGTGATGATACCTTTGGGCATTGTCATCCGTGATGATGTGCATCACTCGTGGAATTTCTAGCCTACAGTGCGTGATACAATCATGGTCAAAATTTTCCACGGTGCAAAGCAAAGGAGGAAAGCGCTGTTTTAGGCAATTCCACTAAATTGCTACAGGACAGAGTGGTCCAACAGGAATGAACAAGCATTTGAGTTGCAGGGGTTACCACACTCCCTCACCCTTCAAGCCATTCCTTTTTGTTCATCAAGGGAAGTGCACTTGTTTCTGCTATTAGATTGCAGCTTCCTCCATCCCACATGGACAAGCTGACAGATCACTCTCAAAAGTTGAACTTTCGAGTTATTAGAGAGTTACATAAACTGCTTGACAATGGATATATGCTTGGCAGGCTAAAGAGTGCCGTTTAATTTTGCAGCTAATCAATCCTGCTTATGTTATTTGAACAGATTATTGCAGCAGGTCCTTTTACTACAACAGACAATTTGTTCTTTGAGCCTCTGACCGAGCTGCTTGCATATGCAAGAAGAAAGATGCCTCAGTTGCTTGTACTGGTGAGATAGCTGTTAATTCTGCAATCGTGTAGAATATTCCCCTTCACTAGGGAAAAAGGATAGGAAAAACCATGTTTTGATTGAACTAGATTTGTTTCAGCTCGGGCCATTTGTTGATTCGGAACACCCCGAGGTTAGGAGAGGAAGTATTGACATGACCTTTGACGACATATTTCACCAGGAAATCCTAGGAAAGGTATACTCAGCAAAAGGACCAATGGAACTTGAATGTTCGTTGTTTCTTTGAATCTCACCTTGGCGTTTCATCTTTCAGTTGCAGGATTACGTGGAGTATCTGGGTGATGCTGCTCGTGTAGTTCTTGTGCCATCCATTAGGGATGCTAACCATGACTTTGTTTTCCCTCAGGTGATTATTGGCATACTGGAAGTGTTTGATTGGCTATAGCTTTTCTTCTTCATTTGTTTCTTTTAATTTACCTGTCCCTTTTTGTGCAGCCTGGCTTTGATATTTCGCCTTTAGGTCTCAAGCATCAGGTACATTTTCAGAAGTTCGTTTATGGTATGACCATATGAGGATTTGTTCTTGACAATTTCTTTTCATTCTCTCATGCAAATGGGTTCTTTATCCCAGATCACCAGTCTTACAAATCCAGGGATTTTCGAAGCAAATGAGGTAAATACTGAACCGTTAATGATGGCAACATTGTTCATAGTCGTGGTTGATGCCCGTATCTGTGGGTTTTAGACGCTATAAGATATGAACCAGAGGCTTTACCTAAACAATTTGAAATTTTAGGTCACGATAGGGTGTTGCACTGTGGACATCCTGAAACAGCTTAGTGGAGAGGAGATGTCACGAAATCCAAAAGATGGCATACCAAGTGATCGAATGAGCAGACTAGCATACCATATTCTTAGTCAGCGCAGGTACCAAATGCAAAGAGAATTTTTCTCAAAACCTTTCCTAATAAAAAAATGTCATTTTTGGTAGGTTGTGTAAATCAATGACTTGTGATATCTTTTGGGCAGCTTCTATCCTCTATATCCACCAGCAGAAGGCATTCCTTTGGATCTTTCACTTGCTCCTGAAGCCCTTCATTTCTCTTTGGTTCCAGATGTTCTCATCCTTCCTTCGGACATGAAGTACTTTGTAAAGGTGATCTATTCTCGCACTTGCCTCGCATATTCCATGTCTCACTGGAAGATCTCGACAAGCTGTTCCTTTCAAATTTCACTGTTGATATTCTATATGAGATGATTACTGATTTACATGCATCCGTTGTTTAGAAGTAGAAATGATGAGGTTAATGCACTTAGGTGGTGCCTCTGGGTGGAAGAATCGAAGGAGAACCACAGGCAAAGTGCATTTGCATAAATCCAGGAAGATTAGCAAAGGGCGAAGGTGGAGGGACATTTGTGGAGCTCAATTACCAAGGAACTCCCGACAGAGCAAGTGCTTCTATCATCGGGATTTAATTTTCTGATCAGAACTGTTGCTTTTAACACAACTCAAAGATCGTAGAAGAGGAAGCTGCAGGTGTAAGCATGGTAAATTTATGGCTTGAAATATGCCCCTCCGGTGAGCATGGGCTTTCTGAACTTCTTCAACTTGCGCGGTAGAGGTGTGTATCAGGAAATTTGGAACGGAATCCAGCGCTAGAGCAGAAGAAGAGAGAGAGAGCAATTGGATGGACGTGGGCATACAGACGTACCAGGTTGGTTCACATGTCAGAGTTGATGCTAATCTTATGTAGCTTGTAACAATAACTGTCTTTTAAATCCTGATGATTACTGCAAGTTCGTTTTCTACACTCTTTCATGCCACTGCTTGGGGTCCTCATTCTTATTTGGTTAAATACTAGAAGCCAATTAGATGAGAATATCAGTAGCTGGATCATAGCAGATATCACAATTCAACCCCACCGTGCAAAACGTAGAAATCATCGAATTAATCGATTACAATCAAGAAAAAATGCTGGTTCAACATGTACAGCCGCCCTTCGGCACCGTGACTATGAGCACCAAAGAGCAGTCTTGAAAGAAATTCACAATTCACAGACTGACTTGTGACTAACCCCATATATGTCTAATTCTTATAAATTTCAATTGGAGAAACTAAGTAATTACGGCATTAACGACAATCCTGACATGTCGTGTGTACATGTACACTTCTTGATTCCCAATTAATCCCATCCAAAACCCCATTCAATCTTGTATGTACTGAGAAGAACACCAAGACTCCCCAGCCTCTTACCCATCTTTTTTCTGCACATCGAAGCTTCTGTGATCCCGGAACCAGATTTTCCAGTTATTCAGGACCCAGAGCAAGCTCACCAATATCCCACTCCCCATGATCACAACCCAAGACACCCAAGCCCACTTGGGTATCGAATCCTCCACATCCTCCATTGAATAGTACATCACCAGGTCGCACACGTAGGCTGGCGCCACCACGCCCCGCACCACCGTGTAGAAGGTGAAGAAGATTGGGGACATGAGGCGGAAGAACCGTGCGGCGAAGGGCGCCTCGGCTTTCCGGGTCTTGGCGAGGCTCCAGGTGTTCTGGCAGGGGCTGGTGACCTCGGCCAGGATGAGGAGGAGGAGGATCGCGTGGGCGCCGTGGGCGACGACGTAGCGGCAGGTGAGGAGGACGAAGAGGGTGACGAGGTGGTGGATGATGAAGAGGACGTCGCTGGGGAAGAAGACGAGGTAGTGGATGAGGTCGATGAGGAAGTAGGCGATGCTGAACTCGAGGGCCGTGTCGTGGAGGGCCGTGTTCGGGGAGGAGTAGGCCGCGCGGCCCCACGGCGGCAGCGGGGAGCCACGGGTGGCGATCGCCGCGGCAACGGCAGCCGGGATGCCGTGGGCGAGGGAGGTGAAGCAGCTGGAGGCGAAGGGGCGGCTCCGCGGGCCCCACCGGCCGAAGAGGAGGAAGTAGCCGAAGAGGTAGACTAGGAGGAATGCGAGGAAGAAGGTCTGGAGGGTCGCCCAGGGAGAGATTGCTGTTACTGATTCCATGACACAGACAGAGAGAGAGAGAGAGATGTTTGTGTGTGTTTTGCAGGCGTTGACCTGAGAAGGAGAAGTTGGAGGAGATGGAGGAAGAAGAAGAAGAAGAAGAAGAAGAAGAAGAGGGGAAATGGAATGGAATGTGGGGGAGGTTGGACTGGACGTTGTTGGGAGTGTTTTTCCTTTGGTTTTGGCGTGGAAGTTTTCGGCTGTTGTCTGAATGAAGCAAGGTCGAAGAAGAGGAAGGCTGTTGGTTCCGTCGTTGCCGAACGGCAGCGTTTGGGATCGGAGTTCCGGGGAATATCAGGGAGATTGGACGGCGTGATACTTTCGTCTTTGTTTGTTCCCTCACTCGTTTTACTCGCTCTTTTGGGGCCTTCCTTCTTTGGGCCCTCCTAATTGGAAGCTCGCGCAATTACTGACTCCCATGATGTCGGCGCACGTCATTAATATTAACCTGAGCCCATGCGAGAACTCCTCTATTGAGAGCACCCCATGGATAAAAATATAAGTAAAGATTTGTTCGTTTTCGACTTCGCGTGACAATTTTGGCGGGCACGAATGAAAATTTACTTGAAAGGATAAAATCTCGCGTGACTTTCGAATTGGGAGGGTTGCCGATTTTATCCCACGGTTGGCGTGCGGGAGGGGGAGGGGGAGGGGGGATGAGAGGGTTCCGAGAGAGGAGGGAGAGGATGAGAGCGCCCCGTTCGCGTATTGGCCACAAGACGTGCGACGACGCACGTCACGGGTTAGACGCACGTCACGGGTTAGACTCTGTAAGACGATATTCCTTAGGCCTCCATCGGATATTCTGGTTGCACTCATCCGAAGCGTCCAATATTCTTGTCTGGCCCACCCAAAACATCATTTTTAACACCCGATTTGTTTCATACGCAAGTTTAAATGATCTGTGCATCCTAATTCTTCTTTTTTATTTATTTTATTTTTCTGGCCACCAACGATCGACGCCTGGAATCAGGAATTTAGCACGAACAAGACCCTCGAATTTCACACAAAATTAACCGCATTCGTCTGTCTGAATGCTAATGAACACTTTCGATTTCTAAAAACCTGAGGGACGGCAGTTTCGTTTCCTAGGCAGCCAATCCAAATGTTTTGGCTTACACATCTGGAAAGCCGAGCGGTGCGTCCATAACCGTGATTTAGCGGAGGAAGTAATTCCTCATGATATCTGACGTCAATGTGGATATCTTGCTTTTGATGGATCAGACTTGAGATGGGAATTCAGTTTAGGATGCATAATTTGGTCTGATAAGCGAGTGATCCATATAGAAGGATGACAAGAGATCCCGTACCCTCATGCCTTAATCTGTCTGATTGAAAGATATATGACACGTGTTACTGATTTTTCGAAAAAGGAACATGGAAGAACTAGGCACAGAGGACCTGCATTCCAGGCAAGTCCTTTTTTCTATTTGGGTACGCAAAGAGATAATCAAAAACCGGCGGCGTTACTACATACAAGTAACCTAACCGTATTGAAACGAACACTGCACTACCCTGTTCGAGAGGCTCCTCATCAAACAATCATTCGACCAGACTACAGTGCAAAAAAGGTTCCAAGGAGTGGTCGCATTGTCATCGATGATTTTGGCAACTTTACGTGCCCGTGATGAACTGGGTCTCATCATGAAGCACAAGCCAAAGAGTCAACGGATTTAACAAAGTCAAAATTGAAATTTAGTAAAACGATGTTTCGGATCCGTGCAAAATAATATTATATTTGGACGTGAAAACAGATAACATAAATAAATAAAAAAACCTGAGAACCAGAGGAAATACATAGCAATTACCAAGGCTCCAGTTTAGCCACTCGTTCCGAGTGATTCCACCCTGAAATGTATTGTCGTCTAGACAACTCTCGTCTCGGCGACACTCTTCTCTGCTATTCTAAAAGGGCACTGTCTTAATCCTTTTATTGTCTCCATCTCAGTCACCAAAACTACCCGAGGCTGCTGTTACTATGCAGCATGGCAAATTCTGATTGCATCCTCGAGGAATTCTTGAAATAAAAGCTTTGTTTGGAATACGTCGAAAGGCAATATCAATCATTGATCTACATTACCATTCCTCCATCGATTGTGAACACCTGCAAATGGAGAGAAGAAGTAGATATCTAGGTAAGAACTCATGTGCAGAAAAGAAAAAGAGAGATGACCGCAGCAATGTAGCGTTCGATTCGGCACTGATAAGAGACATCAAATATCAAACACCATCACACCCAACCTAAAAATTCAAAGCTATTATACACGGATTTAACTTCCTACAACAAGCCATACCTATGTTTAAAAGTTGCAACAAAGAAAAACATGCAAATATTAGGCTTTACCTGTCCAGTGATGTAACTGGCTGCAGGATTGATGGCCAGGAATTCCACAAGTCCAGCTACTTCTTCTGGCTGACCGTACCTCCCTGCATATGCAACAGACATGATCACTATCAGCCTGAAATATCTAGACACATTATCCCGATCCCTCGGATCCTCGTATTCGTTAGCATTTTGTTGTTTTTATTGGTGTGGAAGACGGTAAATGAAGAGTTCATCATCTTTATTGAACTCCTGAAGGCCTTAATCAGTACGATGAACTGCTGTATCGAGCTGAAAAAAGTAAGCAGGTCCTTTTTACAGCACGAACCAGCCGGCAACCGGATTGACTCAAAAGAAAATCAGAACCACTGATATACGAAGCCTATCTAATTGTCTCACCTAAAGGAAATGTCTAAACAAATAACACGTGTTAACAATACGCAACAGACAGTCTCCTTGAATATCTCACCTAAAGGAATTGTCTCCAAGATTTTCTTCTCCACATCTTCCCCAAGTTTGGCAGTCATATCAGATGCAATGAATCCTGGAGCAACAGCATTAACCTAGAACATTTTCTGTTAGATGCAAACAGAACTGCCCAATGGAAGTAGTTTAATATGGTAAACAAGATGGGAAACTGACATTTATGTTTCTGCTAGCATATTCTTTAGCAACAGTTTTTGTTAGCCCAATAACCCCTGCTTTTGCGGCACTGTAGTTGGCCTGCCCGACATTACCAACCAGACCAACAACTGATGCTATATTGACTATCCTTCCCTGCAAAGCAGATTTTTAAATGGGATTGGAAAAATATAACCATATTGAAGCATGTCAACTTTACTGTAGTTTAAACACTGGGTCATAGAAATTAAGCATACTTAATGGGCTAAATCTCAGCATAACAAAGAATTCAAAGGCTGGGAATGACATGTCACCTTTTTCTTCTTCATCATGATTTTAGCTGCCGCCTGCATACAGTACAGGTTCTCAGTTCTGTGTTAGAGAAACCGGCAACTTTTTTTCTCCAATTTAAAAGGAAAATATTCGAACACATACCTGAGTACACAGGAATACACCAGTAAGATTCAGATCAATAACATCTTGCCACTGAGATTTCTTCATTCTCATTAATAAGCCATCCCGAGTAATTCCTGAAAGCACGATGCATGCATAATTAGACCACATATAGCAAGTAATATAAAGATCAGTAATTTCATATTTACAGCTACGAGTCACCTGCATTGTTTATCAAAACATCAATTGTTCCCCATGCATCAACAGCCTGCACATGAAACAACCATGCAGCATAAGAAGTCATAACAAGAGCATCAAAATTAAGCAAGGATAGAACCCGCCCCACCAAAAGAAATCCAAAGAAGAAGCAAAACGAGAAACGTGGCTTACAGTTTTGATCATAGCTTCCACATCAGCTTCTTTTGAAACATCTCCTCCAAATGTAAGAGCTTGACCACCACATGCCTCTATCTACAAGTGCAAATGCAAGTTATAGGCAGACTAATAAGGCCTTTGGAACAAAAAAAGATGACAATAGCTTGCTCAACCAAATCACCAATCGGTTGCAATATTGCATTTAATTATTTTACTTTGAGCAGATTGTCAAGTTTCCTTTTTGCTATTCCATGAACTATCAGGAGCAGTCCACAAAATCAAAACCACCAGAACAAGAATCAGTAGGAATTGAAATCCATATATCGGAAAGCAGGAGGAAGTTATCACAGTATGCACGATTTACCTCCTTTGAAACTTCCTCAGCCTCCTGTGATGACCTAGCATAATTGACCAGTACCTGCAATAGGTCGAGAACATGACCATTCAGAATGATAATAGGCAATAGCAATGATAGGCAAAAGAAATTCTCACGGGAATTTTAGATAAAGACGATAAGAAGTGAAAGTATCTCCCAACCTTGCAGCCGGCTTTTCCAAATGACAGAGCAATTGCTCTACCAATACCTCGAGATGCTCCAGTCACAACAACTACAGGGGATTCTACATTACGTGCTTCTTCAGTGCTTGGTTTTTCAACAGTGGCAACTTGAGCTCTGACACCTGCATATAAACCTTTACACACATCAAATCTTCTCTCCAGCAATAACCAGCCATTTCTCCTACAAAAACTCGGAAAGGGCTCAGTACATCTACGCAATGGTAGGGGTACATGCCAACACCGTCTACCTGATGCTGAAAGAGTGTAAATTTTCACATCTTCTTTCCAATGTAGGTTGTTATGAGGACCTTAGGAGGTATTGCATGTTTCTCATGACACTAAAATCTTCCATCCTCCTTATCTTATACCAATTTATTGAAGCCAAGCAAACATGCTATTCTGATAAGTTTCAAAAAGTATCTCGAAACAACTGTTTTTGTATCCACAGTGGCTTAATTCTGCTGCAAATTATCAAGTGGGGTATACACTCCCTACCAGATACTAAGCAAATAAACAAAAGTTGAAAACATTATTTAAAAACTCAAGGGTTAAGTTCACTTTTGATCCCCTAACTTGTTTGATTGTTGTTAGCAAATCCTCTGATTTACTTGATTTGTGCAATCAAGTACTCGGTATGCTTACTTGGTGCAGTCGACTCCTTTCATCGTCCGCTATTAGCATCTCCATCCAAAAGTGGACTTAACCCCAAACTAAAAGAGAGACCTAAGCAAAGTACCTACCAGTTAGATAGAAACACATATCTTCATTTTTTTCAAAGAATCACTGCATGATGAGTGCCAATGATGTGAGTTAATTTACTTAGATCAAGCAGCCTTCCCGTAACATTCTTCTTGATGGTCTGGATCTTATTCCATCCAGCAAACTTCTCCGGTTCCACATATATCCCTTACTGAAGTTTTCCTAGTCTAAATTATGAAAACAAGTTATTAGCTCACTCATATACACCACAAGAGTTGCAACTGAAGAATATTCTGATCCTTTGCTTCAATGCGACAATCCCAAAACCAAAGAGAGTCGCCCTAGGGCATTATAGCCAAATTTTCCAGCTAACCCACAACAACAACCGTCATATGAACTTTGACTTCTTGAAATATCTTGTGCTAGCAGCAGCAACAGCAGCATATCATTTGGAAATGCATTAACAAAAAGATCAGACACCGTTGATCCAAACTTCTAATCACCCCTCGAAATTGCTTTTATGTAAGCGCGGAGCTAATCGCCTGACCTGCCATAGCCTATCTTACTTCAGCTATTCCCTCTACGTACCGGTGAAAAGCAATCAATCAGAGCGGGTAAACGAAAGCTCAGCCTCTAAGCAAAGCCATCAAAAGGAACCGCAGCGAAACCGCGCATAAGCACGAACCATCACCGCAGCGAAAGAGCGTGATCGATCATTACCAGGAGCAGCAGACGAGCTCCGCGGCTCGCACTGAAGACCTGGGAAAGTCCGGAGCCGGCGAGATCCGACCCCGCCGATGCGCGGCGACAGCTGCCGCGAGAAGGAGAGCCTCGGCTCGCCGGAGGAAACTCCGGATGATCCGAAGGCGACGAAGCTCGACGCGGAAGCGGCGGCCATCAGAGATCCGGCGAGCCTCCGGAGGGCGAGGAGGGAAGAGGGAGGAGGAGGACGCGCGGCGAAAAGCGAAGCCAGCAATGCGAAAAGAGAGAGAGAGAGAGAGAGAGAGAGAGAGGAAGAAATGGCGCTGCCTTTTGGGAGTTTTCCGAGTACTGTTCGTTAGTGAGGGCGATGGAAACGAAGAAGAGCAGCGCGTTTGCTTTCCGCGTCACGATTCGCGACACTTTAGCAGGTGTGGTGCTTTTCCTGAATTTGGCAAGTTTTTTGAAATTCCAAAAGTCCCCCTCAAGTGGAGCCAGCTTCTTAAAACCACCCCCCAAACATTTGATTTTGCTCCAAAAAACTCCTCGACTTGATTATTTTGGCTCAATAACTCGTCTATTGATATTAATTTCTCCCGACACAATAACCCTCTCGAGGTCATCGCCGTTGAAAAGAATGCTTGCTAAAGGACGCATGCATCGTCGAGTGCACGGTTCATCCTTTTTCTCGATGGCCTTTTGGTCCCGAAGATAGCACATTCCGTTCATGTCACTTGCGTGCACCTCAGAAATGTTAAAATTTGTCCAGGTTTTTTAATCGGAAAAAAATTTAGGATTTCTTGAGCATGGATAAAAAAATTGGAGATGGAAGATCACTATTGATGCGAAAGGAAAGCTGTAATGAGAATTTCGTGGAGAGGAGTTCGAGAAACGAGCAATACTTCAAGGGGTTTATGAGTGATCAAGTTTAGGAGATATCCAGGAACAAAATTTAGGTCCACAAGAACTTTAAGAAACGTGTGTCATTTTAGAGGGATTTTAGTAATTTTCCGTCTTTCCTTCTTCAATACTGTTTTCTATGCGAAATGAATCTACATTATGTACTACAATTACAATTATCCACATATTAAGCTAAATTATTAAAACAACAACACGTTCGAAAATAACAATGGCAGTGAAAAACCAACTCTCATTTTACCCGATTTAACATTGAAAGAGAGCATGTTTTCCAGTAAAATTATAATTTTCATTTACACTCCTTCAAAACTCTAAATTAACTGCTTTCGAAATTCAAATTAACTTATACCGCCGCCCGTTTACCATCCGCCCAACAATCAAACAAAACCTGGAGCAGATATTACCATGCCAATTGCCAAACCGCAGTACATTTGTCAAAAACAAATTCTAAGATTTTCCAATGACGTTGGAAAAAATAACTTCAACCCATCTAAAACTTCCGGTCAAACAATGAACCTTTAGAAAAAGAATATTGCTGAAAAGAACTTTTCAAGTAACGTCCAACTTCCGGGAAATAAAAAGGACCCGAATGTCAAGTATATTGAGCTCAGAATTTCAAGAATTCCAGTTCAAAATTTGGAGAATCCGACTGCATCTTGACAGGTTTCCAACCAAACTCACCAGAAAAGAAATTAGCAAATCCGCCTACGCAAGTTAGGTCGGTTTGTTCAACCATATCTAAAACTGCTCTCTCTCTCTCTCTCTCTCTCTCTCTCTAATGGAGCAAGCGTAGTTTAAGCAGTTGGGCTCCTCTGCTCCACAAGAACAAATGTGATTCCACACCTCGCAATGATCGCAAAAGAAGAGAGATGGCATAATTACATCACGCACCAGCATTCTGCCCCTTGATAAATGAATAAGACCTCGCCCGGTTGTGTCATTTGAATTCTCTACGTCTTCAACAAGGTTCTAGCTCGATAAACGTCAAGAAGATGATCTTCGACTGTACAGAGGCCAACCGGCGAAGTAACTAGCGAACAAGGCAGTTTTTCATGCACCGTTTTGAGTTCGCCGTTTCGAGTTGTTCTTGCGACGAATCTTCACCAAGGCTTTGCCCAAATCCTGAATACAAATGAGATGCATTAATGAATGAAATTAGATATGTTTAACAGATAAATTCAAACATAACTTCTACAGATGATGAGTTTACAAGACATACTGAAGTTCTAAGTACAAGTTTAATCTGGCAAAGCACCATTCAACATTTAATAAAAGCAGACAACTTCATGTTCAAATCTCACCCGTTTAATCACTCACTGCGAACAGCGTATTCTTGACATGGATTTGGAGAAACCCACTTTCCATTGTCAAGTGACAATAAGAATATCCTCCAACACATTGAAGAGAGATAACATCATCTTCCAATCCAACCAGTCAAAAGGTGTAAGTAAATGAGTTACCTTAGGTCCACATGTTTTTTGATTGACAAAACTTTAAAGGAGAAAAAAACCAAAGCAACTGAGAAGGAGATATCTAGACATCCTAAAGTCATATAAGGAGACACCTACACATCCTAAAATCATCTAAGGAGATAGGAACCTCTTTTATCAACCCCATGACCATGTAGACGAGATTACAGAGTATTCTTAGTATCTCGCTCATTCGCCATTCTACTGTTTCAGCTGAGATTCTCTAAGACTTCACCAACTGTGCATGTTTGCGGATTTGCATACATCAATAGAATAGAAGTTATAGAGAGGTATATGCAGTATGCATACAAAAGAGACATATCTTGGCAAACATTGTTTTTACTTCATGAATGATCTGTCGACATCAATAATAAAGCACAAGATTTGAACAGTAAGACTTGATCTCAGACCTCAAAAAGTACCTGAATCGAATCCTCTTGGAGGGTCTCAGTCGTCAAGAGACCATCCAAGTCATAATAAGCTCTAGCTTCTTCATCAAGAGCATGAACTACTACTTTGCCTATAGGAAAAACAAGATAGTCATAAACGTAACCACACATGAACACAACTGATGCAACAAACTCCATTTATGATAATCTCTCGGCCTCAATGCAAAACACACAATGCGATCTCCACTATTGACAGATAGAAATCAAGCGGATGAATACAGGTATCCAAGAGGAGTCAGTTGTGACGAGAAAAACAATAAAAAGAAATGTCAGCCGATCAGAGTCATGGCACGAATTATCATCAATTAAAGTACACACCAGAGTCGACGACAACCCACTTTCCTTCCTTTTCTTCTTTCTTTGCCGAAGATTTTCCCCCACTTGACATTGACCATGACACGCTCGGCAGAATCAGTCTTCGAGCTCCCTTTTGCTTTTGTTTAGCCTGCATTGGCCAAAAGCATCTCAGCACATAATGCTTGTTTGGATGGACTCCCAAATGGTTAGCAATGGACAATAACTTCTCAAGAATAATAATTTCCGAGCAAGATTGCAGAAATCACCAACTCGATCGCACACTATGGAAAGGTTCCTCTTCCTTGATAATCGAACATATAGTGTATAGAGCTCTAGTTTTGCGCTCGACGTGATCAATTTTCTCAAAAGTAGCTAAGCGCGAAGATCGCTTAATGGAACAGAAAACAGACTCCTGCCCCACAACCAACAAATCCTAGAGGAGACTGTTCTTAGAGATCGAAAGGCTAATCAAAGCTCGAACGCAAGAGTCGATCGAGAGCGATGGACATGCCTTGTAAAGAAGGGCTTGAGCGATGTTCTTCACGTGCCAAGAGGACCTGCCGGTGGCCAGCACGATGTAATCGGCCCAGTCGCGATCCTGGCGACCCGGGATCACCTTCACGTCGTCCGCCCTCACGTCGCTGAGCACCTTCTCCACCTCCTGCAGTTCCAGTATAGACCACTGATCGACGCCGGGCGCGGCGGGGGCGGCGGGGGCGGCGGCGGCGGAGGCGGAGGTGGAGCAGGCGCGGCTCGCGCACGGAAACCCTAGCCTCCACTGCCGCTGGTGGAGAGCGAGAGAGGACGACGGCGCGAGCCGCGAGCGCAGAAGAGCCGACCACATGAGGCCGCTGCACCACCTCTTCGAGAACGTGAGGCTTCGCCGATTCAGTCGGAAATGGCGGACTGCTTTGCCTCGCCTTACTGTCGAGCGAAGCCGGTACGCACTGTGCTGACCAGAGACGGGAAGACGATAAGCGGAGCCGCGTATACCATCGCGATTAATTTAGGAAAAATTTCAAAAAGACCCCCAAGTGAGACCACCGTAGCAAATTGGCCTCCCAAAGCGGACTTATATCTCAATTTGCCCCTCCATTTTACACATCTATCCCAAACAGTCCCTACTCGAACTCATTTTCCACTGGGAACTTTCTTAAGGTTTTGGCCATTCTTACTATTCGATTAGGACTTTGGAGTATTAAATTAAGGACTTTGACCCAAATGCATCTGATTCGCGCGTATCTAAATCATATTTTCACAAATCCTGATAGAAAATATTGTTGTCTCTGGCACGGATGGACACGTGCAAGTCGTGCATCCGCTGTTCGGCTAATATTTTGGTTGCTCATGAGGTGGAGTTGTCTGCGACATATGTGTCTAATGTAAGGGTTAATTGAGATAAAATTCACTTTAAGGCTCCGTTTGGAAAATGGGGGAAAATGAAAAATTAAATGGAAAGTGATGAAATTTCAAACTTGTTAAGAGACGGTAAGGAAGAGAAAATTTAGCATTTTGGGTGTTTTTCTTGCAAAAGGGTCTAAATTGTAATGTTGTTTTGGATTCTATTGAAAGAAATAAATTGAGACTAATGCTAATTTTTTTGGTCGAAAGAGTAATGCTAATTGGAATGTCCTTTAACGTGCATAGCTCAAAATCAAATAAGAGAGTGAAAGAAAAAACGTATTAATTTATTTATTTTAAATGGCAATCCTCGAAAGCCTTTCGTTCGAACGGATTTGGTCCGATTAAAAAAAACACAAAAATAATACAGTTGTGTACCGTATAATATGAGTAATTGTAGTTTGAAAATTTGATCAAACTAGCTAAACCAATGACGGTTGATGTAAATTGTGTAAGATACGAGCTGTACCTTAACTTTTACCCCAAAAAGAATATTTGACTTTTTGAAAGGTTAGCATTATTTACACTCCATAATTACAAATTACTAGACAAACATTAGCACCTCCATCCCCTCTTTGCATAGATAATTGGTAGCCTAGCGGTAAAAAAAAATTTCACTTTTCATGAGATCACAAGTTCGAGCCATATCATGCATGAATCCCAGTTAAATTGTGTCTTGAACATTTGCTAATTTGTGTGACGAGAGTTCCCGACTTTCCAAACATAATCAATTAAGGCTACGGGTAATGAGTCTGTCGAGTTAACCCTAAATGTTTAAGTTGTGAATAAATTGAGTGGCAGTGATTAAGTCGAACGGTTTGCAACACGTGTGGAACACTTACAGCTTGCACCAATAACCTATTGAGACCCTATAACCAAGTCAAGTCGAGCTTAATAGCAAATCAATACTTTATTGAACTCAAGTCGCATTTCAAGTCTCGAATTTGCAAAGTGAGTTGAGTTAGGTTTAGCAGTGTATCAACTTAACTCCTGTTGACTTGTGGATACGAAGGTAGCCTAAAAAGATGGGCAAATATGGTAATTAAGACCTTGTTTTGATCTAGATAGATAATTTATTTATTTTGAAAAAACTATTTTGGGCATTACAAGATTTCATTTATGATTTTTCATTCGCAATTTGAAATTAAAAAATCACTAAAAAGACTACGCTAATTTTAACATGCCAATATTGGAATTATTTAAAAAAATTTCTAGTGTTTCAGGTTTAATAAATTTCAAAACACAAGCTGAGCAAAACAACAATACAAATCAAAAGTCCAAAAGCAAAGTTTATGATTTTCACACGTGTAACGCTTTGGCGGGAAATCGAAGGACACACGCGTGCCAATTTGTTCCCGGCTCCATCTTCTTCCTCTGCGCGCACCTTGACTCGCTCGCTCACTCCCTCTTCCAATCTCCCATGGACTCCGAATCCGATTCCGACGGCTCTCACGTCTCTGCCACTCCTCCACGCGACGACATTTCGCCGCCGCCGCCCCGGCCGCTCAAACAGAGGGCTAGACCAACCCCCTCTTCACGCTCCTCCGCCAGAGCGGCCGCTCCAAAGCCCCAAAACCACCGTCCGCCGAAACCCTCAAACCTTCCCTCCCAAGATCCGACTCCGGTGTCAACACCATCTCCACTCTCTACCGCGCCTTTCCATGTCCGTCGTCCGCTGGATCCACCGGAAACCGTCGCCGCCGTCGATTCCTTCCGGATTCTCGCAGCTGGCCACTTCTCCAAATCCGCTTCGTTTTCCAAACTTCAAAGATCTTCTCTCAACTTCGAGAATGAGGAATCTAATCTAGCCGGAACCAAATCGGAGCTCAAGAGTGAAACTGTGGAGAGAGACGGATCAGCTGTCAACTCCACAAGTTCAGTGAAAGCTATGCGGAAGAACCTGAATTTGATTAGAGGTAATGTGCCTCTTCCTCCGGCGAAGCTGCGAAAGAGTGGTGGAGAAGGCAATTTTGTTAGGCTTAATCTGAACCACAACAACTACCGGCGCAAATTCCTCAGCAAAAGTGCGAGGAAGAATAGCCGCTCATCAGGTTTTAAACGATTCCCGAAAAGAAGAAAGGGGAAATCCAGGGCTGAAACTGAGTCTCAAACGGAAGGCGTTTTTGAGGAAGAAGGACTGGTCACAGATTCCACGAAACAAAAGGATAGGCAGGAGAGTGAGAGGAAGAAGTTCGATAGCGAATTCGTTGAGGGGGCTCTTTCGGCTGTTAGAAATGACGCTTCAGATGTGAATTTGGTGAAGCTGTTGAAATTGGTGTATGGTTACGATTCATTCCGTGATGGACAATTGGAGGCCATCAGGATGGTTCTTGCGGGGAAACCAACTATGCTGGTTTTGCCAACTGGTGCCGGCAAATCCTTGTGTTATCACATACCTTCCATGGTCTTACCTGGGATTACCCTGGTAGTGAGCCCTTTAGTGGCTTTGATGATTGATCAGCTAAAACAGTTGCCTCCGTTGATTAGCGGTGGTCTTTTGTGTAGCAATCAGGCAAGTAGTGGGTTGTGATTTGTCTCAGTGTTCCATCCTATGCTTCTTGGAATTGAGAGACTGTTTTCTTTGTTTCAGACGTTGCAAGAGACATTAGAGACACTGAGGCTACTCCAAGAAGGTAGCATTAAGGTGAACACGTTATGAATCTAATTCAAGTTGATCGTCGTATAGTTATTAATATTTTGGTATTCTGCACAAAGTTTTGGCAGTCTTTTTTCTCTCAAAGGTGTGCATTACATCATTATGCGGGTCATTTACCTGCATCTGCAATTGTGTTCCTAGAGATTTTTATCTTCATATTTATCTTATCATGTATATGCTCTGAACTTTGTCCATACTCCCTTTTAAGAAGGCAGGCTCGTCATTAAGATTCTTGCTTTTCCCTATTTTTATGAGCTGAAACTTAAAAAAGATGCTCTTTAGGTGCTTTTTGTTTCTCCAGAAAGGTTCCTGAATGAGGACTTCATGGCAATATTTTCTACTGATCTACTTGTGTCACTTGTGGTGATCGATGAAGCTCACTGCCTATCTGAATGGTAAGTCATAGAGAAACTAGTTTCTCATTCTGAGACCATGAAGCTAGTCATTCCCTTTGTTTAGACTCTAATGGCTCTCTCTTGCATACAAATGACACTTTGAAAAACTATTAATCTGCTATTGTATCTTCGCACAGGTCACACAACTTTCGGCCTTCGTATACCAGACTCAGGGCTTCCCTGTTTCGTGTTAGGCTCCATGTTAATTGTATTCTTGCAATGACAGCAACAGCCACTTCAACAACTTTGGATGCAGTAATGGGCGCATTAGAAATTCCCTCTTCCAATCTTATCCAGAAGGTCCCATTAAGGGATAACCTGCAGTTATTCATCTCCTTGAGTCATAACAGGTGAGTTTCCTTCTCCATATGTGTTTTCTTGACCGGCGTTATCATTCTCGATTGCTTAATCTATTGAACTTGATCGTCAAAATTTGTATATGACAGGATGAAAGACCTGCTGATGCTATTAAGGTCATCTCCCTATTCAGAAGTTCAGAGCATCATTGTGTACTGCAAGTTTCAGGTTCATTCTCAAGTCTTATAATTATCTACTAAATTCTTCATAAGAGGATGAAAAAGTTCATACATTTTCGGTTAGACAAATGCGCACTCCTCTATTTTAGCCCCTGGTTTCGGATTTATTTACTCTATATCTTATTCAGTAGCTGCAGAGCACAAACTGTCCTTTGGGTCCAACTAGTTGTTTGGACATCTTGTTTCCATGATTCTGTACTTTGTAATGTATGTTCCCTATGATTGGATTCATACACTATTAAGATCTTCAATAGAACAGTGAACTATACGTATTGACATTGCAGTCTGAGACAGATCTAATTAGCAGATATTTACGCGACAACAATATCTCTGCAAAGGTTGGTATTCTTTATTTTCATACTTAAAGTTTCTTTTCACTTCTTTCCCGATTTTACCTTCAATTGCTGAACTCAAGTTCTAATCTAACATAGTTGTTTGGAATTGTTAAATAGAGTTATCACAGTGGGATCCCTACAAAGGACCGAACCCGTATACAAGAGTTGTTCTGTTCCAACAAGATTAGAGTGGTAGTTTTATAACACAGTCCTCGATGCATCGACAATCATCTTACAACTCGTTGTTTGTCGTTACTATTTATACTAGCAATATTCTTGTTTTGGGCTGTAGAATTTCAAGTAATAATTTGGTTTCTTGTGTGAAGATTGTCGCAACGGTGGCATTTGGCATGGGACTTGATAAAAGGGACATCGGAGCGGTAAGAAGAAAAACTATTGCTCACTTTGACACGCAACATGAAGTGGTCCGTGTCATTACATGAATAGCAATAGATGTATTTAGTGGCATGGTAGACTATTGATACATGGATGCAATAGCCCAACCTGTAGCATATAAACAATTCAATGAACATAGTGAATCCAAGCAGCCGTTGTACGCTTGTAGCCAACATCAACTGATGTGGAGTTTTGGGACTTTTGTACTTCCACTTGCTTGAACTTCATCGGAGAAATTCTTAAGGAACTGGAATGAATATCAATAAATCTCGATCCATGCTTAGACTTATTTAGTTATACATGGATGAGTGCATCAACTTGCACCTCCGAGCCAAGATGACATGGTGCAGTATCTTTAAGGATTCCCACAGTTCCACTTAAAACCATATTCTATAGTTGTGCTATTATAGTCATATTCACCTTAGCTATCCATCAACTCTCTTTCTTCGTGTCTCATCAAGATTTCTTTGTTCCTGATGTCACTCATATGCACCTCCTCCAGATAATCCATTACAGCCTTCCCAACAGCTTGGAAGAATATGTACAGGTTAACCTCTCTCTTTATTTCTTCATTTCAAGATTTTCATTACAATAGGTTCCCATAAATGATGAGCTTAGAGTGTTGTAGGAGATTGGCCGTGCTGGACGAGATGGGAGGGTGTCCTATTGCCATCTCTTCTATGATGACATGACATACTTCAAGCTGCGTAGTCTCGCTCACAGGTTAACAAATTTACAATCCTATTGTTTGTTGCACTTTCATTGAGGGACATCAAACATCTAGGGCTGACTTGCATAATGGATTTGCACTGTCTCAGTGATGGAGTGGATGAGTATGCAGTGGATAAGTTCCTTTGCCAAGTTTTCAACAATGGCACAAATTTGCATGGCCGAATTTGTTCAATCGTGAAAGAATCGGCATCTCGACGGTTTGATATGAAGGAAGAGGTACCTGCCTTGCAATTTCACTGCTACAGATGATATTATTGCTAGAGAACTTACTGAGAATAGCAGAAGCTATGATGTACTGAAGAACAATACTCATTTTTTCCATACTAAATCTTATATTGTTACTTTGGGGCAGAGTCCTACGCTAGTTCGATGTTGTTTTGTGTCCCTAATGCTGTCGGTAGTGTTGCCATAGCTTAAATTTGTTTCTGTATCGGCAACTGATTATTACATGCAAGTGGTGGGGGGACCAGTTGAATTTATTCTTGTTTTCATTTGTAAGCAGTTCACATGCTCAAGAAGCAAAAGAGAAACCAAATGTGGCCAACTAACTTCACTATGCAGACCTGGTTATGTATTGTTTCTGTATTAGACTCTATGTCGAAATGTAGTTCTTGATTCTAGTGATCTCTGAAAATTCAAGTGCCTCTGAGATTAACCAGCCTTGCTCTGTATTTGGAGATCTGCAGAATTTGTTCTAAATTTTCAATGTTGGCAGGTAATGCTTACAATTTTAACGCATTTGGAATTGGGTGAAGTCCAATACTTGCAGTTGCTTCCGCAATTAAATGTAACTTGCACTCTGAACTTCCATCAGGTACATATAGATATATCTTCTTAACTGTTCATTACCTTAGAAGCAGGTATGCCTTATATGAGCTTGAGGACGTATCCTACTACTTCTCTTACTTCTTAAATTGTATCGGCTTTTTGTTGGAGTTAGTCAACATATATGAGAGGAAAGAAATAGGTTATCTGTTACTTTACCCAAAAAAAAAAGAAATAGGTTATCTGTTCATCTGTTTGTCCAAGTCTGGCTGCTTCATATTATATTACTGTATAGAAGTATGTGAAGATAAAATAATCTAATGGCATAAATCGACTGAACAAGTGTGTTTGTTTCATGGCCCATTTAATTACTGATATGCAAATGTAGTTAATAACATAACCTGGGCTTCCTTTTTAACAATACAGATTTCGCATTTGTCTTGATATGGAAAAACTAACCTAATTGTACTGGCTATTGAGATGGTTTTAATTTGTCCTTGTGCAGACTCAACCCGTGTTGCTTGCTGACAAGGATATTGTAGTTGCTGCAATTTTGAAAAAGTGAGTAAGATCTCAAATCTGATAGGTCCTTAATAATGTATTTTCCTACTAGATTCACGGTACAGTTGAAATACTTTAAGCCCAACTGTTCACAATTAGCTTCTTTCGACATTTACAGGTCAGAACTAAGACAAGGGCAATATGTGTTTGACATACCTACTGTGGCAAATAGCATTGGTGTCACAGCAGCAGAATTAACTAATCGGCTACAGCATCTAAAGGTTTGTTGCCAAAAATCCAAAGACGTAATGGTTACATACTTGATTTCATACTAATATCATTTGGCCTTTTACCACAGACGCCTTTTTCCTTGCAAATTGAGGAGAATCCTTTCTTTGGATACATGACCATCTTGAAAAATGCTATGCTGCTGAATTGATTTGTTGGATCAACATTAGATGCATCAATAGCAATTGTCTGTTCATATTTTAAGAAGTTAAACATTGGAAATCTAAAAAAACAAAAAGCACGTGTGCAAAATTTTAAGAAACAAAGACGAACTAAACGTGGTTATGGGTTTGACTCTGATCCATCATCGAATATCATCAGCAGTTTGGATTTTGGAGCATTTAATCATTTATCTTCCTACAGCATTATGCCTCAGTGTTGGTTGCATCTTAGTAGAGACTGTAGCCTGCACATTGGTTTGCCAGATGTCTAGCTGTTGGTTCTATCTTTAAAGTTAATGGGAATCCTCGACTCTTTCCCTCTCATCTCATCTAATATTCTTTGGAATGTTTGTCAGCTAAAAGGAGAAATTACATATGAAACGAAGGATTCAGCTTATTGTTACATGTTAGTGGATGTTCCTGAAGATATTTGCTCTCTCTCAGCAAACGTGACAAAATGGTTATCCGACATTGAAAGTTGTAAGGTATTGTTGCTAAGTTCTTAGCTATAACAAACGAACCAGAGCCACCGAATGACGAACATCCTTTGATGTCGGACCAAATTAGGTTTATAAACTGGATGCCATGAATGGTGCTGCAGTCTTTGCGTTGAATACATGCGAGAGGACCAATGGTTGTTCCAGTACCCAACACACATGGTGCTTGCAGAGGAAGATTATGGATTACTTTGACAAAGATTACCATTGTGATATCCCTACTAAGATGACTCAAAGCAGGTAATGCAACATTTGCTGTCTAAATCTGACGTACATAATGACCTAAGCACTCGACTTAAGGAAAAAACTTTTATGTTCAGATTTTTTCTAAATATTTGATTCCATCATGAGCTTGTGAAATAAAATCAAGATATCTCCTTCCACTGATAGAACTACCGTTGATCTTTGCAGCACCTTTTTGAGAGCAGATATTAAGGTATGGGGAATTTTGGATTTTGATTATGTTAGAGGATTTTTGTGCTTTCCAAGTGCTTAGATATTTATTATTGGTTCTAGGTTTTTCTACAAAGTAATTCACAGGCAAAGTTCACACCAAGAGCTGTTGCAAGGATATTGCATGGCATTTCAAGCCCAGCCTACCCATCTATGAGTTGGGGCAGAACTCATTTCTGGTATCTAGTCCACTTTCTTTGTTGATTGCTTTCACTGGATCATGTGATTAAGACAATGTTAATGTACTGTTTGGATAATAATTTGGATGAGGAAATCCAATTTGATATCCTCCTTGATGTCAGGTTCCTGTGGAAATGTCTTTCAAAGAATCAGAATTATTTGGGAACGATTTTCTTTCTTGATCTCCTTGTTTGATAACTTCAAAGATGATTTCCCTGTGAAGATTTATAGACTTAACTGGGTGATGTGTTTATCATGAAGAATGAATCAAGTGACGTGACGCAACTTAGTGTCTGACAAAATCTTGTTCACTTTGCTAATTTGTATAATTTTCTATTAAATTAACTGGGTGATTTGACCGGACAAAAAAAACTGGGTGATTTGTTATATCGTAAAAAATGAATCGAGTGATTACACTACTTAGTGTCTGACAAAATCTTATACTCTTTGTTTGTTAGTTCGCAATTTTTTATTTAATATGCCCATCAATGTAGGTAATCATTAATTGCTTTCGGTTTTTACCCATTTCGATAAAGTTACATCATTATCCTGTTTATTCACGACTCCTATTGATGTCACATGCTTCTTAAAGGAACATGCTGATGGGCCGAAGTTTTGATTCTTAAAATCAGGGGAAGGTATATGAAGGGGGACTTCCAAGTTGTGATGGAAGCAGCGAAGGCAGAGCTTATGAACTTTGTCGGAAAAGACACTGTCTAGTCATTTATGGAGAGGTATATTATGTCTACGACAATCAAACTGGAGGGTGTTTTTCAGGTAAGTAAACTCCCCAAGCGGTATCAGATTGAGTACCCTTTTTCAAGCAAAAAGGAAAAGAAAAGAAAAGATAGAAGTACTGTTGTTCGGTGATTTCTCATTTGGAAAAAATGGCTAAGTCCCAGACTACTGCTCTCCTTTGCAGGCTTTGGTGATTGACAATCTGAAACTTGACAATAGCACTCTTGGATTTGTATAGACTAAAATGAACAACACTTCTGGTTAAATGGTTGCAGCCATTTAAGTGCACTTAGGTGGGTTGACTATCTCCTCCTATTACTGACCTTCCCTTCTGGAATTAGGCAGCTTTATTCTGGAGATTTGTGTGAGGAAACTTGCTTGGTAAATGCTTGTGGGAGTTATAATGCCAAGAAGAAGGTCTTGAATGGATAATGGATGTGCTCTGTTTGTCTGACTTGAACAGATCACCAGCAATCATTGTACCTGACTTGGAAGAAAGTCGGTGAAACTTTGTCTTCCAAGAGTGGGAGTGCTTCTAAGCTTTGAGGTCTTTGACATGGTAGCGAATATGTTTCAAAACCAGTCGATTTTCGTTCCATGTTACAATCTCCTGGTTGGCTAGCAAGTGATCATTTCAGGCAAGTGCACATTAATTCATTCGCTGCTCTTTTGAAGTCAAGCTATGAGAATCTGTGCCTCCATCATGACATGGTTGCTATGTGATTCTTTCTGATGGGAAAGTAGAATTTCACACTTACGGAGAGAAATGCTTCTGGTTTAAGCTGCATTTTTAGTCTCGGGATGGATCACAATCTATTGCCTCCAGTAACATTTTGCCATTATTCCAAGGACCAAGAAAGTGGAACAGATGTAGGGGTCATTTAACCTCTTGATGGTGTGATCAATTTAGCCGACCCCACTTAGTGGCAGCTGGCTTCTCTAGTGGGATAAGGCTTAGTTTGGTGGTGCAAATGCATGATACTGCTTAAAATAATGGAGAGAATCAGGGGTTCGTGGAGTAATTAAACAAGTCACCAATCACCGAGCATCATGTGTTTTGTCGGCTTGTGTCTTAAAGGAGGAAAGGAAGTTTGCCAAATGAGCTTCTTGAATTTGTTTTCACCGCAATCCATTGATTGATGACACTTCGGCTCAACATTTGGTAAGACGAGGAACTACACTCCCTTATTGTTTCTTCTTCTAGATGGCAGCAGCGAAGGATCATATGTGCAAGCTTGCCTCCATCTGCCTAACAAGATGCTAGCGGCAAATTTGCTAATAGGACGGATGATTTGAGTAGTTATTTATTATATTCAAGAGGTAAAATTCTACTGTAATGACTATGAATGCTCTTCTGATCACTTTGCACTGGGGATGGATCTGGACAGATCCTCATCCTTGGCTTTTAGAGTCCAAAAATGTGTAACATGCGTAACTTCGGTATCCATGGAAAATGTTTTGCACGACGAAGGACCTGTACCTAATCAATCGGCTATGTATGCACGGTCACTTAACCCTGCTTTGCCTCAGGACGTACTCCTAGTCCTCATCCTGATTATTGTTAGCCTCTTACAGCAGTCCTACTAGAGGGTGGTCCGATCACTCTGTAGAAATCGCAATGTTTCTAACAAGTTTCTAGGTTCTGATGTGGACCTCACGAGATCTATGGAGTGAAATAATCTGTTTAGGGGTAAAGATTGTGCGGTAATTGCTTTGTTCATGAAAAGAGAAGTTGGCCCGTTGCAATTTCAAGGCTATAGATTGATAGGTAGACAGTCACCCACGGTGGAAACTCGAGCATTTCCAATCCAAAAGAAAAAGGGCGGGACATTTGGGAAGCAAGTACCTAACACCTCTAGTTAAATGGTGTTCCACTGCTAACCAATGACCAAATGGAAAAGTTTAATTTGACCACGTTCTTCGTCAGTTTCTCTTCATTCGTTATGTGGTCTTAGGAACTGAAAATTTTAGAGAGAAGGAAAGGCATAATTTGTTATTTCTTTTCTTCTTTATGGGTGAACTTCATGATTTTTCGTTGCTAAGAGTGCGACAAGGATGGAAGGACCTGCAGACCAGAGAGTTTTTTTTTTTTCCTTTGATAACCGAATTTCTGAAATGATGTGATCGAGATGAATTCTGGATTAGTATCACGGCATTCTTTTCATTCTTGAAAATGGATCATATCATGCCACGTCCCCTTCTTATGGAGCCCCGTAATCTCATCTCTTTGCTAGTTCAGTACACCAAGAACCGGAATTGAGAAGAAAGACTACAGAAACTACTGGTTAGTGTGCTAGTTATTCAAGGAGGCAACTTGTTGGTTGTTGGCGAGAGTCGCCTAAGTTTGCCATCTCGCCATCTCAATATTGGCGGGAGGGGGTGGCCATGCCCTCACCCCTCCGATCTCTCTCAAAATTGACTTTCTGAACTGAAACCTGTTTAGAGAATTTGGTTAACATAGAAAAGAATCGACATCTTTGGTTTTATTTCCGTAAAAATCGAGAATATATTTAATCCTATTAAATGAAACGATGTAAAAAGCGGTGTCGTATATGCACTCGATACATGATCACGCGAGTCTCCCGTGGCCCGCGCACGGCTGGGATAAGCGGGGCCGTGCTGCATGCAAGCATTTTCTCGCACGCATTCACGCCAAGGAGTAGGAGGGGAACCCGCCAGAAATCGTTGGAAAGATTCCGCGAAACGGAATTTTCGTCGATGCCTTTAATTCTCTACTACACTTCACGAGACCCAGAAAGAACGCAACAACCGCCCCAGAACCGCGACGTTCCTCTCTACCGCCCCGCCGCCCCCCGCTCCGCTCGAGCGCCAAGACCCATTTTTCTTCTTCGATACGGAAACTCCCAGCCGGAGGCCGCGACGTGGACGAGCTCACTGGTCCTCCGCCGCCGCCTCGCCGATGTCTTCTTCATCGTCGATCCTCATGAATTATCCCCTCGCTTCCGCTCTGGTCGCGTTCGCGATCTCTCAGTTCACTAAGCTCTTCCTCTCCTGGTACTTTCGCTCTCGCTTTCTCTTGATTTCGAGTCATTGCGCTTGTGTTTGGGTTTGTGCCGTTACGTTTTCCATCCGAGCAACGTGGTGAGAATGAGAACTTTGCGTCGCATTGTATTTCTCGCGAATTGTTTTAACTGCGTGATTGGTTGCCGCGAGACTAATATTGGCACATATTTGGAATGCCAAGGCCTGAGGTTGCGTCAGGGATTAGTATCTAGATGTTGATTCTCTTTGAAATGATTATCTTTTCAGTATACGATTTGCTCGATGATGATCCCGCTCTCACTGATTGCTCTCCCCAGAACGCTTTCCTTCTGTTATTACAACCTCTGGTTTTCGCTTGTTTATTCGCGCTTTTGAGTCACTTGTGAGCTCGCGAAAGAGAGAAGGACAATCTTAAAAGCACAGAGTAGTTTTGCCGTAAGAATTTTTATCACGATTGTCACCTCTGAGAATAGTTTGCTTTTTGGTTGCTGTGCAGCTGTGTCGCATAATGAGCACTTATCTCACAAGGTTTCTCATTCATTTGGACCCTTAATCTGCTTTCTATGCTTTTCGCCCAAAACTGCGTACCGGCTTGTTCATCGGTTGAGGCCTGCCGGACTTGTAGAGATGTGATTTGCTGTTTGGGTGAAATGGTTTTGAGTCTGAAAAATTGGTTTGGTGTTGGTGGAGTCATGTCTACTTAGATCGGTTAGGTTAGTGGTTTGGGAGTTTTTTTCGTTTCGACAGAGAATTGGACCATTACCATGTGAAATAAAGGGCAAATAGTTTCTTTAAATGATCGGATGAGAAAGATATCTGATCAAACCGTGCAGAAGACTTGTGTTTGGGAATGTAGCTTTATGCTTCAGAGGAGCAGAACAATTTCTAAAGTTTGTTTAGACATTTGGTTTATTGTGGTTTTATCCGATTCCTTGAAAATTTCTAGTTTGAAATATGAGGTGTTAGATTAATCCTGGAAATTCTACACATGCTATTAACTTGTGTGGATGAGTAGTATAACCTGATTTCTGAGTCTTAAGCTTTCATAGACGCACAGGTATAAAGAGAGACGACTGGATCCCAGGCAACTCGTTGCATCAGGTGGAATGCCATCATCTCACTCTGCAACTGTCACTGCCCTAGCTGTGGCCACTGGATTTCAAGAAGGCCTGGGAGGATCACAGTTTGCAATCGCACTAATCTTAGCATGCATCGTAAGGCTCAGAATTTCTCTGTCACGTGATAATAGGAAAAGTGAGGATACTTTGCATTTCATGCGGAAAGTATGATTGAGCATGTCATACTATGCTTTTCCGGGCATTGTCTAATGGCTTAGCTATCGAAGTGAAAAAAAGAAGAAGTAAAAGATGTCTAATTTATTGTTGTGATACAAATGTGAAAGATTTCTAATGTAGAAATCTGGTTGCAGGTGATGTATGATGCAACTGGCGTAAGATTGCATGCGGGTCGTCAAGCAGAGGTGCACTATGCTACTCCTTTGTTCTCTTTTGCAAACTGGCCAGCCACTCCCTTTAAGTTCTGTCTTTTGGTTTGGGCTTGTAAGTTTGTAAAATCTTCTGTTTTCAACCTTTAGTGGCTTGATGTAGGTTTTAAATCAAATCGTGTATGGACTTCCTGCCGAACATCCTCTGGCTGAGAGCAGGCCATTACGCGAACTCTTAGGCCATACACCTCCTCAGGTGCTCTTTACAACATTTTCTTATCTTCTGTATGGCATATTATCATCTATTTTACCCGTTTTTTCTTAGTGAGACATGAATTGTTTGATCAAGTTGTTTTTCAATTCACATCTAGCTGAGTAATTTATTGCTCAATTGTTGGTTTTGGTGGATTTGCATACAAGATTGACACTTCACGGTAAAAGCAATACCTTTTTTTCATCATGATCCAGTTGACAAACTTCTACAATTAATTAAATGCATGTAGATAAGAACCATACATGAGATTTTCTTGTCATATGGCTTCTACTCTACTTGTGAGCACTTATATGGTCGTGGAGGATGCCTATATTATGCTAAGAAGTTGGTGAGATTCGGAATATACCATGTTGGAAGTTCTACTAGATGTAAAGGTAGTCGTAGAATTTTTTGAATGTCCTGGTGTTGGCGAAAGAAGTTGAAAGTCCTGGTAAGTGTACCAATAAGGCCTGAGAAAATCAATATGAGAGTGCCTATAATTAAATGGTCTAAGCATAGCTCATTTATATAAAATGATTGGTCTTGGTTCTTTTTATGCGCGAGTTCTGCAGAACTTGGGACATTCAGAACAGAAAAATAGCATTTCAGAGCATGAGGCCCTTGCATGCAGCCTGGCTATCATGTGCCTGTGATCATGAGCTCTGGGTCACAATTCAACAACCTTGTTGGTCTCATGCTCACCACTATACATACGTAGACAATACTCATTCCTTCATTCACACACATATCTATGCATATTTAACATACATGTACATTTACGTACACATATACATGTTCTCGTTTTACTTAAAACTCCAATTACTTACTTTTCCCCCTAATTTTGGGGGTAAGCTGCTTCAGATCTATTTATACTTTAGTAATGTGCGAAGCATATGATTATGCTGCACATCTTTGCCTCAAGAGCAATTGTTATCAGTTATCCTCTGAGGAAAAGTTGGTTTACCGTCGCGAAATGAATCTTATAGGTTATTGCTGGCGGATTGCTTGGGATTGTCACAGCAGCTGTTGGTCATTTGATCATTGTTACTTTTAGCTGAAATTGATACAGAGGTAGAATTGCGGGAGTTCATTCTCGCATGTGGTTATCCTGTAAAGCCCCATTGATCGGTTCAGACTCAGTGACAAAGACTTGCGGATAGGTGATAGTGAATATTTTTTTCCGGCTTCATGGGTAACACTCAATCAGAGAAAGGGAACCTCATCACTTTTTAAAAAAAATGCTCGGTATATCTAATATACGGGATCTCGGAAATGAAAACTCTAATACGTTTGGTAGTTGGGATAAAATTCAGGATATGATAAATTTTATCCTATCCTGTGTTTGATGTTTGCCCAAGATAGAATAAAGTCGGATATATAAGGGATATAGCCCTGATAAAATTATCCCATGGGGGAGGCGGGATAAAGGTGGATAGGATTTTTAATATTCATAATATAAAAGTTAATTTTGTCGAATAAAAAACTTGTTAAATTAATAAAATTAAAATAATATTTGAATATGAATAATATATGAATTTCAATGTAAAAAATTCAAAATAACAAAAAATAACAATAATTTCGTTTTTTATTTATTCTTATTTTTATTTATAGATTCAAAATTTCTTTATATCTTGCGATATAAATTTCATGTATAAATCAATACTAATGTATTTATATTTATTACGTATTTTAGGTATATTAGTATAGCTTACTATTTAATAAAAATTTATTAGAGAATGATGGAAGGGGAAAAAAGAAATAAAAAAACAAAATAATTAGAAAAGAGAGGGAAAAATAATAAAAAATAAGCAAATAAAAATGAAGTAGGTAAGAGTGTCGAGGGAAAGATTTTTATAATCTCTGTTTATGCAATTCTTGGGTTCATTTACACTAATATGACGTTTATAACAAATAATGAATATGGTAAAATGTGAAAATATTTAGCTTTATTTCTGTGATTCACCAAACAATAGATATGATACAACAAATCTCTTAGATTTTAAATCCTATCATATTCAATCTTATCTTAATTAGAAATTCAGTCGATCAAATGCAGCCCAATGGTTAATAGTTGGGCCCCCGGGATCCATTGGGATCTTCATGTTGGTTCAATCATTACTCAGTGATGGAGGCATACTTGCATCTTCTTCTTTTTAGGTTAAGCACACTGTTGACATCGACCAGACGGGACCTAAGAACAATTTCGCCCCAGGACAAGTCTCAGTCGCGGGTGGGTCCGGTTGCTCTGAGGGAGCCAACACGGCTGCATGTGATTTTATTGCCCCAACAGTTTTCTTCTTCATTTCTATTCAATCCACTGCGATCACTCGCTGTCCAATTCGTACCTCCATGTCATATACAGTCCAAGGAGTGAAGTGAGAGCGTCCAAACTTGGTCATCAGTCGACCCCATTTTTGTACCAACTAGACGGGCCCTCGCCCTCGTCCACGTGATTGGTTCAGAGTCCCCTCATCGACATTCCGATCCCCACATCCACCCAGGCCCCACGCCCGACTCCCCCCGGATCTCCCGCCGTCCGCTCGTCCACCCTGCCCTGCTCGACTCCTCGAGCTAGGGGTGTCAATGGTTCGGTTCGGTTCGGATTTTTACGAAAACCGAACCGAACCGAACCGTTTGAATGTGTGCTTGCTCCGTACCAAAAGGCCACACGAACCGGATATGATCCGAACCAAAAACGCGATTCAGTTCGGTTCTTTTCGGTTCGGATCGGATCGATTTTCGGTTTTCCTTCTTGTTTTTTCTGCGCTTCTTCCCTTCGCACCCTCCACTTCCCGACCCAGCCCGGTGACATGGCCACGTTGTCCTCGAGCTCGCCGTCGCCCTCCGCCGCAGCCGCTAGCTTCCCCAAGTACAAGAGGCGGTGGTGGCCGAGAAGTCCGATGCGGCTTGCCGAGGCTGCTGCCGCCGCCACTCCTCTTCTTCTTCTTCATCGCAGCTCTGGCTCTCTGCAAGAAGCACCTGCAATTCCTCTTGCCGTACTCGCTCAACCACTCGTTGAAGCTCCCGACCACCCTTCTTCTTCAAGTTAAAGGGTGTGAGGAGAGAGATTGCAGAGACGTGAGGGGCAGAAACAGGAGGGATCATGTGAAGTGATGGGGGCGAAACATCTCTTTAAAAGATCAAAGCCAAGAAGCTTGCTGCAGCTGAAGAAGAGAGCGAAACAGTGCCTTTTGCTCTTTCTCTCTCCTTGGGATGCTGAATTATTGCAGAGGGAGAGAGAGATGGTCTGTGGCGTCGCTATCAGAAGGAGACGCAGAGAGAGAAAAGTGAGTGGGAAGAGAGAGAAAAGGGAGAGAAAGTTGCGGTTCAGAATCATGAACAGTGAGTGAGGAGAGAGGGTGTACGTGAAGGGAAGAAAATAAAAAAGAAACCGAAATTCGATCCGATCCGATCCGAACTTATCCGAACCAAACCGAATAATCAACTAACCGAATTTTCTTACTTATTATCCGAACTGACATCCGAACCGAACCGAAAATTCATGAATTTTCGGATCGGTTCGGTTCGGTTTCGGTTTCGGTTCGGTTTTCGGTTCGGTTTCTGACACCCCTACCTCGAGCCAACATTGGGCGCGCTAGGTATGTACGATATCCGTGCGACGCAATTTCTAGATTAGCTGGATCTCACACGATCGTCACCTTACGTGATTTCATAGTTACAAATGGGGTTCTCATATGAGAGAACTACTCGCTCTCCACCAATGATGCGAGGAAAACCGACTCTAATGGCTTAATTCAATGGGATATGATAGACACAATCATCCACGACATGATGACAAATCCACATCAACAAAGTAATGAGGCTTTTTTTTAGACAAAGAAAAGTTTGAGGCAGATTTGGACTGAATCTAAAACTTGGGTTTTTTTTAAATTAAAAAAAGTTTTTTGGGGTGAATTTGTTATTGTCCCTAATTTTCATATTCTAGAACGATTTTATTTTGGAGAATTTCAATAAATTTTATTGGGTTGGATTTTGTCATCGAAGTGAAAATGCGACGTCGATCTGTACCTATTGCCCAATTACTTTGTTAATGTGGATTTGTTATCGACGTGGAAGTGCCATGTCAAGTTGGGATTGGATTATGTGATATATTTTTAAAAATAAATTGAAAATTGCTGATTTTTTTTTACACAAAACAAAATTCGGGGCATATTTGGGATTGAACTTAAAGCTTGGGGTTTTTTCTGATAAAAAAAAAGTTCGGGGCAAATTTGGGATTTAACCTAAAATTTGAGGTTTTTTTCGAGATAAAAAAAAGTTCGGGGCAAATGTGGACTTTGATATAAAGTTTGGGGTTTTCGTGGGATTTCACCCCCGTTTTTTTTATGGGACTTAGTACGGTTCTTGAAAATTATCGATATTTTATCGACTCGATACAGTAAAAGGAAGTTCGCAATGCGCAGTACCCTTTAACCAGTTACCGTTACAAGGACAACCGAACCGTTTCAGTGAGATGAAACTCACTCTCCGGTCTCTGGGGAGCAGCGCCGAGCAGAGAGAGAGAGAGAGAGAGAGAGAGAATTGATGCGCTGCCTCAGATTCCGTCGAACGAGTGAGAAAAAAGTTGCAGAACTCGGCAGTGAGTTGCATGTTACCTGTACAATGTACATGGCATAAATCCCAGCTTTATTAAATTCTGCTGTTTCCCAGGTAAATACTTATTTTAATGGGACTGTCATCGCTTTCTCTTTAGTTTCCTTGTGCTACTGCCAAGCGCTTGTCCGTTTGGTTCTGTCACGCATCAAGGACCATGCAAATGCGAGCATGTGTGGTGCAATTACTTAAATAATGTGTGGTGGATCTCGACTTCATCGTCCCCTCGTAGCTCAGCGAGTCCCCGAAACAATCCATGCTTGTCAAGGGGTTTCTCGTTCTCTGGCCAAAAAAGGGAAAAGCTCATCTGCCATTTCTGCTCTTCTGAAGCCGCATTTTGCTCTTCGTTTAAAGATCTGTATTCTCATTGTGATTTAAGCAGGTACTAAACCTCTCTCTCTCTCTCTCTCTCTGGGAATTGAATGATTGGTGGGGGGGTTGGGGATTTCGAAACTTGAAGATATTTGCCTTCTCTTCTTCTAGAGGATAAATCTGAAGTGGGTCCCTTCCAACAGCAATGGAAACTTCATATCTTGTTGTGTGGGTTGGGGGGGTTGCTTGCCGTCGCATGCTATCGTTGATGCTCATCTGGTTTTTCAGTTTCTAGCGGTTTGTGCTTAAGCAGCTTGCAAGAGGCAAATCACCTGCTTTCTCAATTTGTCCTCTTGACAAGATACTTCTGATTTTGCCTTTTCTTTTAAGTCGTTTCTTCACCTTCTCCCTCGTGATCCGTTGAAGTTTGTCACGTCATGTTCAAATGCGAGGCCAAGCTCTTGTAGTTACCAAGAAATGTGAATTGTTCTGGCTTTCAGGGTGCAGAAGAGTTGATGAATCTTGTACAAGCTCCTTCAATGCAGATCTGATCTTGACCAGCACGATAAATGTGAAGGATCCCAGGTGGATATAACTCAGAGCTATAAGTAAACATCTGATCTACTGAGAGAGAGAGAGAGAGAGAGAGAGAGAGAGAGAGAGAGAGAATGAAATCTCCTGTAGAAGATAAGAGCTGCTACAGTCAGGGACCAACGCCGGAGATCTCAAATGGTAGTTCCATGGGCTTCGAGTTTCACCGGGCGAATGGAACCAATCGAGCTTCCCATCATCATCGGACCGCTCTAGGCAAACCGACCCCGTCCAAATGGGATGATGCGCAGAAATGGCTGGTCGGGATTTCAAGAGTGGGAGGAGACAAGAACCAATCGAAAACCAAACCGAGAAACTCCAACGCTGACGACCGGAGATTGATTGCCCCGGTCCCGCCCGAGCAGGAATATCCCAGCGATGAGGATGAATGCGAGTTAGAGCAAAATGGAGGCATGGACCATGGAATGGCAGGTCACTATGAAGTGGAGACGAAGAAGGTGGAGTGCGATGAGTCCATCTGGCGGATCAATAAGCCGGTGCAGAATTGCACGCCAGCTGTACGATCAGTATGCGTGAGGGACATGGGGACTGATATGACCCCGATCGCGAGCCAGGAGCCATCCAGGACCGCTACTCCAATCAGAGCCACAACTCCTGCCGCTCGAAGCCCCATCAATTCGGGATCTTCTACTCCCGTCAGGTGTCAACATGGGGTTGCGTCGATGGAAGGCAGAGGTGGGGTCGCTCCTTCTGCGAACGGTCCACGCGTGATCGGTGCCCGTATGCAAGGTGCGCGTGCTTGTGAGCTGACTGGGAACATAAGTTTGGATCAGGCAAAGAAGTTGAGTCCTCTGGAATCGCGAGCAGTGGCTTGGGACGAGGCGGAGCGCGCCAAGTACATGGCCAGGTGATTCTAGTCAGAGAGACCCTGGTTTGGCACTAGCTAACTGTATTTTAGACATGAAAATGTCCTAACGCTTTTCTAGTTGAGGATTGAGCAGTGTCTCACTATTGTCTCGGGCATTGCCGGACTCGGAAATCAAAAGATGATTAATTTTTGGTATCATTCCTGCTTGTAGGTATAAGCGCGAGGAGGTAAAGATACAAGCCTGGGAAAATCACGAGAAAAGGAAAGCTGAAATGCAAATGAAAAAGATGGAGGTACCATTCTTTGGCTGTTATAATTATCCACATTGACAGATTGTTCTTCTGGCAGCGACACCGAATAGCTATCCTCCTACTATCCATCGAGAAATTGATGCTAGAAATATGCTGATTCCCTGGGTTTGTGTGATTGATGAATCTAATAGTATTGCCTTGTTCTGGCTGGGCTCCTGAAATCATTCTGTGAGTATAGTGGGAACACTGCTATGTCGAGCGTTTTTTACTGTTATCAGTTCCAAACCATGAGAGACTTGAAGGAATACTTCACTTAACTGTGTCCGAGGAAAGTGTTGAAGAAAACACGGCATTTGTGCGCGCCTCCTTCGTCATGGTTTCTTTCGCAGCTTCTGATGCGTAGAAAGGGCTTGTCTCATCTGCCCTGCACATCGGGAGTGCTCAATGACAACCATCGAACTGCACCATACTTCTGGTCCCACCCTTAGTTACTCGAGTCACCATCACAGTAGAACTCTCTCCAAATCAACAAGTAGTGATTCTGGGAGGGCTTTGAGTAGCTTGAATTCATGGAAATTGCTCGGACATTTCTTTGCGATCGAACAGTGGACTTTTCTTCCATGATTTTAGGACCAAAGCAAAAGGAAAGCCCAGAGAAAAGGGAAGAGCAAATAGGTTTCATATATCAATCTCTATGTGTATCTCCGAAATACATGACTTGATGTAGCATGGTTAGATGGCTCGTTTTGAATCTTAGATCCATTATTCAGGGTTTGAAGATATACGTACTGTGCAGTTGATGTCTCTCTCCGAAACATCATACATTTTGCAGATACCCCACGGAACACGACATGCATCTCTAGAACAGCATTTCTGATTCCTGTTGCTCCTTCTCCAGGTCAAGGCCGAGAGATTGAAAGCCCGCGCGCAGGAGAAACTAGCAAACAAACTCGCTTCCACGATGAGAATAGCGGAAGAGAAGCGAGCAAATGCGGAGGCTAAGCTGAATGAGAAAGCCGTGAGGACGTTGGAGACGGCAGACTACATAAGGAGGACTGGTCACTTGCCCTCTTCGTTCTCGCTCAAGCTTCCTTCCTTTTGCTGGTAGAGCTTTAGCAATGTATCTACGTCCTAAAATTTTTTCCAAAAGAGAAATGGTTATTTGCACGTCTCATTAGTTTATGCGAAACTTCATGGATTCAAGATTAGAGTAATGGTGATTGTTCCTGTCATCCGTCTTGTGGAAGCAATATGCATAATTCGATATGGAGGTAGAATTGACAGCAAACGAAGAAGATGAAGGTTAGTGTGGACGGTTTGACATAATTCTTCCTTTTCACAAGTGGTTTGATCATGGGGTTGATTGATATGTGATGATAGGGTTGCCGTACTATATCGTACAATTAATTCAATACGCTGAGTTAGTATTTTAACGGCGAAAGCGAAAGTCAATTTGTGTTAATACAGATTTTAATAAAGTTGGGTATCGTATAATATGAGTAATTATAGTTTGAAAAGATTGATCAAACTAACTAAATCAATGACGATTGGTCCTACGTGTCGATATTAAATATTTTTTTTTAATTTTTAATTTTCATTTAAATCTCCACGTCCACAGAGTTAGTGAAGGTAAACTTGTCCCAACTAAGATGTATATAATTTTACATCACCTTGTGGTAAAAAAAAAAAATTTCACTTTTGGACGGTTTTCAAGCGGCCGGGATGATGTCCAATTGTCCATTAGCAGGAGCTTCTAATTATTTTTTCATTTGAATTAATTTCCCATGTCATGATATAATATAAATAATGCATTTAGCCTTGATAATAATAGTGACTAGTCACGCAAAAATAGCTACAGTTTTGGTTCAATTGTTTTTAATTTACTTTGAATTTGCGAATTCTCTAAATAATAGAACTAAAGCCAATCAATCATCATGTCAACCACATTGGTTCCCTTGATAATTACTCTCAAGCTCTCTATCTATTTCTAGGGTTGTGCAAAATGGACTGCCCAAACTCAGAATCACCTAGACCAGACCGAACTGGCCGATTGGGTTTGATTTCCGGGAGTGTCGGTCCGGTTCCCAATTTAAAGGAGGAATCATACCAACTACATATACTTTTTTATATTGTTTTTTTATTTTCTCAAAGAAATCGATAAAATGTAAACTAAACCATAAATGAACTTTATTGACATAAATTCATTAACAAAAATTAATAAAATGTGAACTAAACCCTAAGTGACCGGTTCCATTAGACCGGACTTGACTAATCGGTCCGGTCACCAATTCTCAATTTTGGGAACCAGTCATCCCGGACCGGGAACCAATCACCCTCTATCTATTTCTATCCCCTCCCAAAAAAGATATCGATTTATTGGAATTTATGCTTTTTCCCCTTACGCGCAGGCCCATAAATGAAATCTCACTCGCCCGTCCCGTAATTATCGCCGACTTTACCCGCCATCAATTAATTCCCGCTCCTCCCAACCGCTTTTCTTAACGTGGCGCGAAAAAACGTCATAATTTCAGATATCCGATATCTTCAGTTTCAGTAAAGCTCTTTCTAATTCAGGCGCGAATGGATATATCAGGCATTATTTCAGGACGTGGTCGTCTCAGCAGTTTCCAACTTTAGGTGCAAAATCCAATTGAAGGGGCTGAAAATAGATCTCCATGAGTGCCAACCTTGAGCTATCATCTCCATCGTTTCAACCATTCTCCTCCAAATTTCTGTAATGCTTATTTCAAGTCAACGCGGTCAACGGCAATGTTGTGCCTAGGAATCTTCCTTTCGACATCGCACCGCACACAGGAGGAGGAGGAGGAGAGAGGCCCATCATCAGCCCATATAAAAAGTCGCCGCGGCCAATCATTCTCTCTCTCTCTGTTACTCGCTACTCTCTCTCTCTCTCGATCGAGGCCTCTCTCGCTCTCGCAGAGCGGCGGCTCGCCCACCATCTCCTCCTCTCTCCGTTCCTATCTTCGCCGCCGGTGTGCCATTCGACGGCGTTTCTCCGTCCGCCGTTCTCTCCCCGCCCCCCCCCCCCCCCTCCCGGCGATCGAGGAATCCGGAATTTTCCTCCGGGCTCGGCGTTTTGCGGCGCTTCGGATATCCCTTAGGGTTCGGTGTTCGAATCTCGGTGTCTCAGCGATCGATCTGCGGCTGAATTTCGCGGTTCCTAGCCGGGGTACATAAATTCACGGTCTGTTGTTGCTCCGTTGTTATTCAACTGTTGAATTGGGTTTGGCATTCTGGTTATTCCGAATTGGGGGTGCTTGGGATTGGGATTGGGAATTTTTTCTTCTTTGTTGTTTTTCAGTGGAAAATTGATAAAAAGATTGGTGTATTTTGCTGTTTCTTTGGGTAGAGGTGCAGTTCTGTTAGGGTTTTTTTTTTTTTTAATTGAGCGTGTCTCTGTGGATTTATATATGGCGGCTGGGAGGCATGGGGGTTATCGTGACAATGAGTTGAGGGACCGTGAGTCTAATTTGTATGCGTCGAAGCGGGATTTGGGTTATTCTAAGGAGGAATATGACCGGAGTGGGAGCAGTAATCATGACGAGGAGCGAGTCCGAAGTCGTAATGCTAGAGATAGGGCTAGGGTTAGGCAGAAGGATGTTAAGGAGAGGGAAGTGGCAAACGGCGGGCACCACTCCTCTTCGAGTAGGAGTGACTCTGGGAGTAGTGGAGGTGCGGGTGGCGGTGGGTCTAGGCATCGTGGTATTTCAGTTAGGACCATGGATAGAGAGCCAGGTGAATTGTCCAGCGAAAGCGGGTCTGAGGACGCCATAGAGTCTGACACACGGGTTAAGGACGTAGAGGTTTCTAAGACGGCAGAGAATGGGACCCACTCCCCAGTAGTGGAGAGGAAGAGGAAATTCTCACCTATAATTTGGGATAGAGATGATGATGAATCAAGTAAGGCATTGAAAAGAAGGGCTTCCACCACAGTTGCTGCCCTTCCTCCTCCACCTCCACTTCCAAAATCATACCGTGAGATCCCTAATACTTACAATGGGGTTGTGCAGATATCTTCAGTTAAATGTGATTTAGGTCAAGAACCACAGCCTTCCTCACCGGTTACTGAAAAGGTTAATATAAGTGGTGAATCTGGGGCTGAGTCTCCAATAGAAGACTCTTCAGCATTTGCTTTACCTTCAAATCACGATCTATGGGGTAATGATCAGGAGGCAACACAGGTAGAAGATGAAGATGATGTGCCAATGCATAACATATCATCTTCCAGATGGGCAGCAGGAGATAGTTCTCCAGTTGATGAGGGTGAGATAGTGGAGGATGAAGATTTGCCTATGAGAAGAAAGAAGACACCTTTGTTGGAATCATTAGGAGTCAGAGGACGTGGCAAATCAGTCAGTCCTGAGATGGGGAAGCTTAAGAAAGATGGCTCAGACAGACTTAGGGGCAGGTCTTCTGAACCTGATGGGCGAGGTGGCACTGCTGGGTCATCCAGTGATAACCGCTATTCTGACCATGACTTTGATAAAAATGATTACATGGATGTCGATGAAAAGAACCGAAAAGGTGATATGATCAACGATATGTCCGACACTAATTCAGAAAGCGACGATGATTCTCGAGGAACGCCAGAACCTGCTGGTCTGCCTCAGAGAAGTGTAAATATGCTGCAGGGTTGTAGAAGTGTTGATGAGTTTGAGAGGCTTAACAAGATTGATGAAGGGACTTATGGTGTAGTTTACAGAGCTAGGGATAAGAAAACTGGAGAAATTGTAGCACTGAAGAAGGTAAAGATGGAAAAGGAAAGGGAAGGTTTTCCTTTGACTTCTCTGAGGGAAATAAATATTCTGCTATCTTTTCATCACCCGTCGATCGTGGATGTGAAAGAAGTTGTGGTGGGGAGCAATCTTGACAGCATTTTTATGGTGATGGAATACATGGAGCACGATCTTAAAGCGCTGATGGAGACAATGAAACAGCCTTTTAGTCAGAGCGAAGTCAAATGTCTAATGTTGCAGCTATTAGAAGGTGTGAAGTATCTTCATGACAACTGGGTGCTTCATCGGGACCTTAAAACATCAAATTTGCTTCTCAATAATCGTGGTGAGTTGAAAATTTGCGATTTTGGATTGGCTCGGCAGTATGGAAGCCCATTAAAGCCTTACACTCACTTGGTAGTTACTCTTTGGTACAGGTAAGCTGAACAGTATCTGTCACTCTTTGTTTAATTCGTGATACTGGCATCTGACATCTTATTGCATGCTCTGTTTTATTGTTAGCTGGTTTGTGTGCTTTTCCGTAGTTGTGATGAAATATCGGTTTGTGCAAGTCCTCCATACCAGTAATCTAGGCTATGGATTGTTTGTCACGCCTTAGTATTTGTTCTGCAGGGCACCTGAACTCCTGTTGGGGGCAAAACAGTACTCAACTGCCATTGACATGTGGTCCCTGGGCTGTATCATGGCTGAAATGTTATCCAAGGAGCCACTCTTTAATGGGAAAACTGAATTTGATCAACTTGACAAGGTAAAATGCCTCAATCTACTTATTTTTGCTTTTGTACTGTTGCTACTGCTCCAGTGCTTCAATGGTTTTTGATTTGGTTACTTGGAATCCTATCTGCAGATATTTAGAACTCTTGGAACCCCAAATGAGACTATCTGGCCGGGTTTCTCCAAGCTCCCTGGTGTCAGGGTCAACTTTGTAAAGCACCAGTAAGTGTACTTTTTCCATGTATAAATTGCTTGAGTTTACTTGGCATCCAGATGTTCACATCCTTGATACCATTTGTCCCAGGCTTCCAGCTTTGGGTGATTCTGGTCTGGGTTCTGGCCTTCATGGTGACAACTTCAGTTCCAGAGTATATTTCTCGTTTATTGATTGACAAGTGTTGTGTTACTTTCAGGTACAACTTGTTGCGGAAGAAATTTCCACCAACATCTTTCACAGGATCTCCAGTACTTTCAGATTCTGGTTTTGACTTGTTGAATAAGCTTCTTACTTATGACCCTGAAAAGGTAATTTTAGATCTACATGTAGTGTCATGCTTCACTTGTTGTATTTGTAGGATGACTTACTTGGTCTTTTATCCTTAAGCAGCGAATAACTGCAGAGGCTGCCCTTAATCATGAGTGGTTCCGTGAAGTGCCTCTTCCGAAGTCCAAAGATTTTATGCCTACTTTTCCTGCTCAACATGCTCAGGACAGGTAACTTGTCCAAGCTTGATACTTTGTTACTTGGGGGAGGCGTTTGGGCTGTTTTCAAACTTTTGTGCCTATAACGGTTGTCTTTTTGCTAACTTATAACAGTCCCAGTTTGTTGTCCTACTTATGTACTTGTTGTTGTATTTTGCGTTTGTGATTAGGCGCATGCGAAGAGTTATGAAGAGTCCAGATCCTTTAGAAGAGCAGCGCAGGAAGGAATTAATGCAAGGCGAGCTCGGGGGTGGAGGTTTGTTTGGCTAAATGAATAGGATAGCCTGTGAACCTCATGCTGCAGTCTGTATACACAAAATGGACATGGTCGAGGTGAGAGTTGCATTGACGGGAGTTGGGAACATATTTATCTGGAGATCATTCATGTTATTTTTTAGCAGGCGCCGTGCTTGGGTGGAGAAGTTTGTTCTTGGTCTCCATTAGTAAGCCAGATGTCTCGCAGGTTTACTTTGTTCACTGGCTTTGATCACCAATAGATATGCATCTGCGACCCTGCTTGCATCGCAAGGTGTGGCATGATGGCCTTTTTATTTTACTTTTTAAGGAAAAATTTCAGCGTGAACTTTTGTATGTAAAATAGCATTGACTGTACGCTGTAACCATTTTCTTTCGGTTTGGATTTTTTTGGCTATTACAAGAACTAAATTGCTATTCATCTTTTCTATCTTTTTGATATTGACGCTGTGTTTGCAAGAGACGGTGGTCTGAAGTTGAAGGACGTTCTTTTCTTTACATACAGGAAGAATATCACAGTAACGAGTAACCTATATGTTTGGAAGGTAAACTACCAATTCTAGATTTGAGGGTCCATGTCTCGATAGTTTCGTTTCTTTTGGGACAATATCTCTTTGTTTGATACAGTGGATAATGGATCGACATGAAAGATTTCATGAGCTGTTTAACAATGTTCAAGACCATTGTTGTCGTCCGATTCTTTTCTTTGCCATGGCATTTTAAAACACGTCTGCCTTCAGCATTGTGTACATGGAAGTGAGTCTGATATAACAGATTAAAACTCGGGGAAGCCGTTTTTGACGAAGATGTTCTATTGTGTAGCTGGTTGAGAAGTTGCTTATACATTTTGTAAGAACTTTCTGCTGGCAGCTTGAACCAAATAAACGCTCATAATATGGCAAATTCACTATCATTCATGTTCCGTCATGTTCAGCGCAATAGACAATGAAGATTTAAGCCTTTTGAAGCAACTAGCTATATTGGCCCTTTAAATTGGAATTGCAAGAACAAATTATAAGGGAACAAATTTGCCGGTTTACTACTGTTTTCTTTAGTTTGATCACAATCTTTGTTGAGGACCTGAGTTAAGTAGAGAACACGAAGTCAGCCAGAGCTATGTAATATTTTTGATACCTTAAGGAAATATCATTCAAGAAAATTTTCTGCTTTATTGAGATGGCCTTTCGACTTCTAACTCTTGTTAGTGGGAACGATTGATATGTACTCGATTGCCTCGAGACATGCGGATATAAGGAATTCATTGATCGTCTTTATAAGCTGGCTGCTGGCAAGTTATTAGTAGCTTGACTAATGAGATATCTCCTGTTTGTCAATGCTTATTGCGTTTGCGGCTTTTTCAGAAGGACGTGTATGTTTTGCCCCATTCGCTTGAATCCAAAATATTGTAACTACGTGACTTATTTTGTGACCTGGGAAGCCCTGGAAATGTCCTTATTGTGCTGATGGCATGTGATGGTGTCGAGATTTCTATAATTTTTCAGAATTTTGACGTTTGTCTGCGGCTGTCACCTGCAGTATCCAAGTTGCAAGCAGGTTGAGGAGTTTACCTTCAAATTGGATTATAGAACTTCCATTAGTTGTTCGTTCAGGCTCATCAGAGGTACCATATAACTCTTAGTTTTCGCTTCGCCATATTGACAGTATCATGTCCAGTTTGGTTAAACTAGATCTTGGTAATTTTTGTTAATATATTATACTTCACCATAATATAGTCAGAATGTTGCTGGGTATAAGAGTTCCTTTGAGCTTCTGTCAGGAATATGTGCCATTACTGACGGGAAACATTATCCCTCTGCATCATGCTTTTGGTGGATGAAATTTTCTTGGCTAATTGGGTATCAGAAGTTGATAGATGCTGCATGCTTCTTGAAGACTTAAGTTTATTGGACAGGATTAAAGTCTTGGAATTTGTCTTTCACTAATTGCAGCTTCGCTTTTTTATTGTCTAGTGGAGTAAATTATTCAATTATTCACAACAAATGCCTTTTTGAGACGTGCGTAGTTATTTGCAAGCTATCAGTTGCAACGTTGTGGCAAGTGCTTTAATGCTGACTTTTAAAGAGTCATGATTCCTCAAGTGTTTTTGGGTTCATGTCCGTAACCCTGTTTTTTATGTCTTGCCATGTGGAATTTGGACAAAACTGAATTATTTTTAGGCTCAATAATGGTGGAGTTAAGGATTAGGTTCTATTTCCTTAGCTGGTTCGACCTTATCTCTGCTTTTGTTACAACCCTGGCTCTATGGATGGAGCATTTCACGGTCAAAATTTTTTCTGCTTGCCCGATTTTTCATGACATTTCCTGTGGAAAGAACTTTGGTTGGGAGAAACTTGGAAATGCTATTATGATAGGGAAATATTCTTGCTTAGACTCAAGTCCATGGACCAGGTGCTTAGTGGTTTTTCATGTGGGAGACCCATATGTGGAGCGCATGTTGAACCTACACGATCTATACGGTTGTGATCGATCCGGTCCATGTTGGCTCGGGTGCAGGCGAGAAATTCCCACTGTCATGGGACTTATTTCATTTTATTTGACAGTACTTATGTGAAACTCTTCCACCTTTAAGTGAATATAGAGAATTGGCAGGCCTTGAGAAAATATGATGCATTCGTCTTGGCATTCATTGTTAGACAACGTTCAATCTCTGGTGGGCATTTTATATTGGATAAGTTTATAAAAAATAAAAATGGTATTTAAGGTTTTTTGTTTTCCAGATTTGCTATGAAGTTATTCACTTTACCAACTCCGAGATAAGAGTTTCATTTGAAGCGATGAAAGATGATGCAACTTTTTGAATCTATTGAATTGCATTAAAAGCAAAGGGACAAAAATTGTGTCGCTATTAACTGCGTTCCATGGTCGAGTTTAGTAGGATGTGGTTTTCTCTTGTTTCTTTTGAGTCATGGTCGAACCTGTTGTGAGTTGAGAATTGTATGTGCAACTATGAGGAGTGGTTGATGTGAAGAAGAGGTTTTTACATTCAACTGTCTTGCTTCGGGTGAAACAAGAAACTTGTATCGGCCATACATGTATTTTTGTTTTTTTTTGTACGCCTGTTCTCTCTTTTCTCTGGTGTCTCTAGGGAGCTATCCATTGTGGGTAATACAGAGGCAAGAAATTGGCGCCTTGAAGCCTGGATTGAGTTGTAATCTAATGGCCGACGGTCACAGAAGAGAAACTTAGATGATGGAGGCTTCTTCAAGCAGGTTTATGGCCGGGTTCTTTTAATCTTCTGTTAATGTTAAATCTATGATGTGCTCCGGCTCAAGAGTTATTATGCCTTATCGTTTTTATTCATCAGAAGAATATCGCACTGGAAGCTAGTGTTACAATAACACTGCGAAGCAATAGGCGGAGAAAAAGATGATGCAGTATAGGAAGGAAGCGACCGAAGAGTCCATCCCTATCTTAGATTCGTTTACTCTGCTCATGGGCGAGGACAGTAAAACGTTTCTCAAGAGGATTATTTCTCGAATGACAACCGATGCAGGAGTGATACTTGCACGGATAATTGCACAGTGATTGGGCATGTAAGCAACGGGAAATGGTCGCGCATGGTGCAGATTATATGGTCAGTTGGGAATTGCCATTGGGCACTCCCGGCGATATAGAATCGAAAAAGTTAAAAAAGTCCCGAGTTGCTCTTCAAAATCTTTTACTTCTCGTCCTTTCACCATCGAAAAACTTAATTTACTCGAACTGCTTCGAGTCTGGGAAGCATGCCTAACTTGTTACGCTCTTCTACAATTTAAATTGGGGTTTTAATCAATCAATGATCCAAATACCCACTTCTCTAACCCTCCGTGGTAGTGTTAATGTCACAAGGAGCGGCGATGTTTATCTGGGTTGATTGGGTTGTGTCGAAACTTTAAGAAGCCCGAATTACGCCACCAAGCAAGTTGGATAAAAACCTGTACGGACTTAATAATACGATCATTTGGAATGTCCTTTAAGCTTCATGTATACCAAAACCGTGTCTTTCAACACATCTAAAATGGGGTTCATTACATTCGCACGATGGTCCCATGATTCAAAATGTCGATCCACGATGCGTATGTTCTGTCATACGTTTAGCACTCTCTCTCTCCAACATTGATGATTAAATTGTTCTGTATTAAACAAAATGGCAAGCTACATCACGGCCAACAAAAAGGTAACAAAGCACACACGGCAGCAGCGAAATAGCAAAACGGAGATTTGTGTAGATTCATCACCTACCATAGACGAGTTACAATCCATTTGTTATCACACACTGTCTGTCTATCCAACGAGGAGAGGACGATGAGCTACTTCTAAATACCAAGATTCCGTGTTTTCATAATGTACTTCGTGTCCTCCGTTTAGAGATTTCGAGATATTCATTCAACGACAAATATTTAAGTCATTCACCGGGCAGCTCCAAGGTTTTCGACCAAAAAATAAAAAGAAGAGAAAAGAAAAGGAAGCCCCGATATTAAGTTTTCAAGTCCAAAACTAGTATTTCGACCAAAACAAAAAAAGTCCAAAACTAATACGGCATAAGAAAAGCCTAGAATTAAGATACAGCAGGAGCCATTTTAGATGGGAATGAAGTAGTCTACGCGGGTGATGGCATTTTAGAGAAATTAACTCTAAATGTGAACCAATGTTGAGCAGCTGAATTAGAAGTATTTACAATCGAAATCTGTCGGCTTTTAATGACGACAACAAAAAATTTGCCTCACAGTTAAGGGGCAGTTCGCAAAGTATACAGCAATGTTCTTTGTGCTGAGAGTGCAATGTATTAAAATCTAGCCGCGCCTATAACATCCTTTTAGTCTAGCAGAGGATAATAGATGGTGAAAAAACTGAGGTTTTGCGGAAGAAGATAGAGAGGCAGCGGTCAGAACCAGGCTTGGAGACTTTGGGATCGTGGAAGTCAAAAGATCGATGGATAGGTCCTCTGAGGAAACTCAAGCAATTTGCCAGCTTCTATAAGTTTGTATGAACAAAGCCATGCTCGTCAAGAAAGTCGCCAGAGAATTCTTAGGTCTGACCGAAAGCAGTTTGCACTGCAACAAAAGTGACCACATGATCGTCACTGGCACTGAAATACCTTTCTGATCTGGATAAGGATGCTTCACCGAATCATTGAAATTCAGCCTGTCTCGATGGCTTGATTAGTGCTTTAAACTCGTTGCGGACAAAAGAACCCAAGTTAACCAGCCAGAGCTAACTGGAAGAGAACACTACAGTTCTCCCGAGCACAAAAGTTACCAATGAGAGCTCGATAAAGAAGATTGTATTGATGAGAGCCCTATCAACTGTCCATCCGTAAAGTGTGATTCCCCCGGGGTTGGTCTGCAGGTACATTACTGTAGAACAAGATGGATTTTGTATGAGTAACTAGGCTACAATTTTAGTAGTCAAATAATTTAAATTACATTCAGATATGTTGCTTAAGATGCTCCAGGATATGAATGTACGAGATATGGGAATACATAGAGAGATGAACATGCACACAACTGAGATATACCAAGTGCTGATGGATAGAGAACAGACAAGAAAAGAGAAATTTTGCCAGCTAATTGGTTTATTTGTGCAGAGAGAAGTAATGCTTAGACTATGTAATCAAGGTGAATAAAACAACATTTGGAAATCTGTAAAATTAAACAGCACAGTCAAAAGAAGGATGAGAGTCCGAGATCCCTCTAGATTACAGTTGAACAGCAAACTTTGAAGATTTTAGACACCTAACGGCAACTGGTAAACTGTTCAGGTGGGGCAAATGAACACATGATTCAGCCATGGGAAACGGAAGAACCAAACACTGGATAAACAAATGACAATCAAAATCACCAACGATGGACATTAAAAAAGAAAAGACAACGTTACATGGGATCTATGATGTAGGTCTTTGCATGCAGGAAGAACACACGAAGCAACCTTAATTATAGAAGCACCTTATCCAAGACACATTTTCCATGTTACCTCTCCGAATTTGCTCATTATAAGAAGCTCCCTATGTTGGTAAATCATGTCATGCAAAAATAATAAGCAATATTTCCATGCCTAGAACCAACAAATTGTGGTTGCACAAAATGGGATGCCGTTCCTAAATTCAAAACAAAATGGCATACAAATGCATCATTAGCTCATCAGTGTTTACTGCAGACTGTATCTGGACTCTGCAGTAGGCGTAGTTCACTTGGAAAGTGAAGATCAAATCTCCAAATCTAAGGGGAATTATCTTGATGGATCTATCTTGATGAAAAGATTCTTTTCACTATAACGTTCATTGAATGTGCAAAAAACTGAGAGCAAACCAGTGAGCCAAATTAATGTTCAAAACAATTAGCTCCGTACCCAAAGCCTGTCGCTGGTGATAAGTTGACATATAAGTAGCAAGTTGTGTGCTGGTAGGCATTCCGACATATTCCAAAGATTCCAGGTCACTTTCAGAGTAATCTATATGTATTGTACTAAATGCATTCATGTGCTCCGTGCTTCCTACACTATCTGAGCCTCGTAAAGATGCTGCACCAGTAAAGCCACATGTCATCAATGCATGCCATTTGCTTGCAATGGAGGCAATGCCTTGGGCCCTATGTGAGATCCTTGTAGCAGCATGCAAGCAAAGACTAATCCCAACAACTTGGACAATGGTGGAGACCTGAAAAGTTGAAGACAAATCGTGCAAAGAGATTAAACAATAGAATTGAGCTATCAAGAGATGCAGTAAAGAGGAATGCAATGGCAAAGATCCATTCTGCAAAGCCCAAGAGGTAACTCTTAATTTGAAAGGAAGTAATAATAAAATCAGTTAGAACAATGGAAGTAGCATATGACTTACAGCAAAATCACCACCATTAATGACAGTAACAAGTCCGCTGTATCCTGTTATTTGGAACAGAGTTACAAACTGGCTTGCTGTGACCACCAAGAATTCTAGGAGGAGGAAAATTCTGAATCTATGGCTTATCTTGGAGAGGTAGTACCGTAGACGAATGTGCTCTTCAATGAAAACCAACACATCAGTCTCTCTTTCCAAGAGCTTCCCGTAATCATCAAAGTGAATAACTTGCAGATTGCAGACCAAATGAAACATAGTGCTGGCTGATAGAGAGATTGTACTGACATAAGTCCAGGATATAACCAACGAGAACAAAATATAAACTGACAGCCACCATGATTCACGATGTATATAAACAAGACGGACCACTTCACGCACAGTCTTCAAAACGATACAAGGAAGTGACCATAATACGAGCAACCGTAGAGAACCCTGCGCAAATGTTGGAGTAAACAAATTCTTAAGTGATCATGAAGAAGTCCTAGGAACTTAAAAAATAAGAAACTCATCGTATTCCCAAAAGTGGCACATTGTATGTGTTCCGGAATGTGACATGGTAACATTTTGCTCAAGCCGTAGTGGTAATTACCATCGCGCCATTGTCTCTAAGACTACATGTTTTTGGATTCCCCATCATAGCTATTAAGAAAAAAGAGATTGTTGTATGGCCTCATTAGTAATCAAGGACTGACTAAGGAGTGCATATGACATTAGTGGTTAGTTTGGAGGCTTCTGAGAGGGCATTTCAGAAAGTAAAATACAGCAGCATATAATGAAAAATAAAAAATTTAATAGTTGCTGGCTGGCTGGCTAAGGGTAGCTTTTCCTATGTGACCGTGAGCTTGTTCAAAGGCAGCAAAGACATGAAAACCCTACTAGCAATCAATCCAGCAGTCTTCGTTCAAACTGAAAGACTGAATAACATAGCTATCTTTCCATTTATTGATTAAGTTGAGACGCCAACATGGAAGTTTGAAGCACATTCAAAGAATCGATGCGTTCTTACAAAATTACTCCATCCGCACACGATAGTAAAGATTCAAGGCAAGAGCCACACAGGCCAATCCTTCAACAAACAAACAAGGAACAATTACAACGCAATGAGAGCAAGTTCATTCAATTGATATAACTCAGTGTAGCGATTTCACTAAGCACACTAATCGCAAAAGACCAGAATCCACTGACCTTAATCTGCTTGATATACTCGTCTCGGAACCTGGACATCCGGCCACTGTAGCGATCCACGAATAGGAACTTCCTTATCCCGTACTTGCGAAGGTTGTGCGAAAGGCAGAGCAACGAGACCGCGGCGAGACACGCCTGCGACGCGACTATATCCAGCTCGAAGTTCTTGATCTGGTACTCGTCGCAGTCCGAGCAATCGGAGAGCTCGAGCACGATCACCGGCAGCACCACGCCGATCACCACGAACGCAGTCCACGACAGCACGGTGCCGAGCACCGTTGACTGGTTGAAGCCTAGGAAGGAGAGGAACATCTCCAGCTTGTGGAGCGCCTGGTCGAGGTGCGGGTCCTCGTCCTCCCGCTCCTCGCGACGCGGCTGCTGCGGCTGCGGCTGCGGCTGCGGCGGCCGCTGATTGCCGCGGCTCTGGTCCTGAGCCAGGAGAGGCGCCTGCGCGGTCGGCTCTTCCGCCGCCGCCGCCACCGGATGAGGATCCGCCATGGGAGCAGAGCTCCGGGAACCGGCGATTTTCTCCGGCTCGCGCCGACGGCGAGAGCCGATTCGGAGTTGGTAATGCCGTGGGCTACACTTCTGTTTCTTCAACGAAGCGTCACCGCGGAGTCATCATCATCAAGTTCAAGCTGAAGCAAAGCAGTCGATGGGATCGCCTGAAAATGGGGAAACAAATAGAAAAAGAAATTTCATCGGGTCGCGGGTTCCGACCCGTTCTCGCCCGTCGATCGCCGACGGACGTTTCCGCCGGTGGGGGTGAGGAGGTGGCGAGGCGCCGACCGTACGATCGACGGGGAGGGTCGGCTTTCTCGCGGCGCCGCGATGCAGGGGATCTTCGGTTGCTTTTATTTTATGGATTTTTGCTGGGCCCCAGTAACTGACGGGGGAACGGGATCGAGAACGTAACCAGACCAGGTTTTTAGGGCGAACTGGGGGGTGAATCAGAATCGGACCTGCAAGCGATTGAAGAAAGAGACAAAAGTCGGGCTCGTGCTCGTGAATTAACCAATTAATTAATTGATTGATTGATTGATTGATTGTTTTAAAAGAATTGTTTGGGATATTTTCGATACGGTGTTGCCAGGTGGACGGCCTCCCCCGGGCTCAAGAGTAATATATGTTCCGTGTCCGGACACGTGGCGAGCGTGTACTCTTCTCTTCTTTTTCCCCTTGAATTTAAAATGAATGTATTGCAATAATGCGTATCATGGAACCGACCACATTGGAAAATTAGGATGCATTCGCGTTTAATCATTGATCTTATTTGGTATTTTTATTAATCACGCCCAGTTTATTTTGCGAAAAATAAATAATTTAAATAATATTTTTCTAAAAAGATTACTTTTTATCGCTCGTAGTAATTAATCGGTAAAAAATATTTTTATATTTTGAGAAAATGTTTCTGCAAAATAAACGGAGCTTTGATTTTATGAATGCATGCTTTTGGGGAAAATAAATAATTCAAGGCGTACTAGAGAGGTCGATGAATTGCGACAACAGAGAAGTCGTGAGATGAAGACAATGCGTGCCATGGAAATTTTTGCTCGAGCTAAAGATAACACGGGTAGTGCATAAAAGTGGCCACAGATTTTTACCCAAAGGTAGAAAGAACGGCACAAATGTTGTTTAATGCCTCTTGTCTTTGCAATGCTCGTGACACTAATTGTTTGGAGCAGTTATTGCATGTTCTATGGATCGTACATGTCAACGCGATTTCAATCATTGATCACGGAGGTCTTATCTTGAGATTCAAGTAAATCAACGGCTGAAATGCGCTTAGCTTGTCTAATTTATTGGCCTATGGAATTCACATTTTAAGGGACGCCACCCGAGTTCCGAAGTGTCGTGGCTAAGAAGGGCAGGATGTGGCAGGACAATGAGACGGGATCGACCGACCCCAGATGTCGTACGCAATGATAGATGCTGAGGTTGTACTTTTGTTGTTCCTGCGGGAAACAAAAGGAAGAATACATCCTTACCAAAAAAAAAAAGAAAAAAAGGAAGAATGCATGAAAAGAAAGGCCGACTACAATTCCAGGCCAAAGGCTATTTGAATTTGGTTTCCATGTGATTCGCACGCGTGTATGTAAAGACTCGACTTACCCCCGTCAAAATTTGACGAGTCAGTAGTATATCGAGTCTAATTTTAGATTTTTTATTGATATTTCATTAAGGTTGACAATTCATGAAATCGAAATCGGTTTAAGATTTACATCTCGATTCGATATGACCTAAGCAAGTTAGGCTTCATCGGAGATCTCGTTTGGATCTCGGAATCCCTGGAATGTAAAACATATATAAGATATTTCTTCTCTTTAAGAAAGAAAAAGATATGGTGAAAATTGGGGCACACGTCGTACGGGCACCGGCACACTAAAATAAGAAGTGCATTCGTAAAGACCGTTGTACCTATATATTAAATGGACAAGCCGTGGAGACCTCTGCAAGAGTTTCGATAATAGTTCTCACAACCAAGTTTTCAGCGAATTGCCTATCATCTCGTTAGCTAAAATGGTATCCACATCCATCGGCAGATTGCCCATGACGATATTTGTTCCAAAGCACAGCAAAACACTGAGTAGCAGCAGTACTAATCGACTTCGCTGAACCAATTGGTGCAGACATAGGTTTTGTTTTGCCTTTCTTCAAGATAGATCTTCGATACACGCTAGAGTTCTGCAACACGATGGAACCTCGAAAAAAGCTATGGCAACTTAGGTTGCGTTTGTCAACCATTCTGTTTTCGAAAATAATTTCTATTCAGAAATGATTTTTTTTATTTCGTACCCGGAAATAATTTCTAAGCATTTAAAGGTATTTTGTAACTGTCCAAAATTTCTATTCTTAGAATAAAAAAAGAACAGAAATGCGTTTTATAACTGTACAAAATTTCTTTTTATCAATGATATTTTAAATTTTTTAATATATATATTTTTCTTCTTCTTCTTCCCCTTCCTTGGCCATGGCCAGGTCACCAGCACCAGCGACCGGCCACAGGCCAGGAGGAAGAAGAAGAAGAAGAAGAAGAACAAAAAAAAAAATTTCTTTTCCATTTCTGATTCTTGTTCTCGGAATCAAGAAGCAACTTTTTTTTGCTTCTTGATTATATTTCAAAACTGATTCTGGGAATAAATTTTTGTAAATTTGTGCCCGGGAACAAATTTTTGCAAATTTATGATCGGGAACAAAAAATTTACCAAACGAATTTCTGTTTCAAAACTGATTTTGAGAATAAAAAAATAAAAATAGTTAATGTTTGGCAGTTGCCAAAACGCGCCCTTAGTTCTTGAACCAATCAAGAGAGAGAAATTAATGCCCTGAAACACATTAATCAATTCGAGAAAATATTACGTACAATTGTGACTCTAAGTCGGAATTGCACAAATCCATTGTCGACACGCGTCATCCGCGGACCCATTGTCAAAAATTTTGAAACTCCCCCTGAAAATGTCTCTCTTTCCCCTCTATCACGTGTTGGATGCTCAGTCGGGACGGGGAGCGAGAGAGAGCAGAGCGTAGAGGAAGGAGACTCTTTTGTGTGCCCAATCAATGACACGTGTCGGTCGCTGAATGGGCTATCGTAACTGTGACGTGACATCCCAGTTGCACCCCATATTTTCTCAGATTTTTAAGGAAGTCCTTTTGTTCCTGTAGACACGAAACGCTATTCCATTATAACCAAGACACGTGGTTTTAGTTTGTGACCGCTAATCTCTTTGTCTAGAGAGTTGTCAACGATGACCCGGGAGTTGGCCCAAAGGGACAGCGATTCCCAGTTTCCAACAAAGCCAGAAGGAGGTCAACAGCTGATGTTTCATTTGACCTGTGTGAATCATTCGTCGCTTCTGGGTTTCCAACCACTACCGATCTATTTCTTATTTCTGAATGCAAGATTTATGAACAAGACGCCCGTTTCCTAAAGTAGCGAGCTCCATAAAGTACTTATCAGTTGTTTTATAAGTGGTCCTACAATTAAGATCATTTTTCCTAAGCAGGGAACAGCTGAACATCTACGGCACTCGGACTTCCTAGTATGAAACGCGAATCCATGACCGTGCGCGGCTAAAAAGGCTAGCTGTGCTCTTCCACCATGCAATTGACGAGAGCACGCCGCCCAGATAAACATGAGAACAATTTTGCGGTAAAACCACAGACAAAGGTTGTGAATGAGGCCGTGAAACTGATTGAGGGAAAGCGACAGGAGCAGCATGAAACAGGGGATGGAGTGGAGAGAGTCGTGGAACGGCAACCACACAAGCGAAGCTACTGATATCAACTGGTGAAGTCGATGAGGAGGTGCAATGCCCCCCCCCAGCTCGGGAAGGAGCACAAGTGCGAGACGGGAGTGCCCGATTAGCAACATGCACCAACGAGCAATACGGGAGCAGACCGTAGATGGCGAAGGCGGTGGTCACGGGGCGAGTCTCAAATGGTGAAATCAACATCCCCTGTTATTTCGCTTCGATGAAGTTGACCAGGATAGGGAAGACGACCGTAAGATCCATGGCCTGGTGAGGAGTGAAGGCAGGGACACCATGGATGTTTCCTTGGCGTCGTGTGTTGGGCAAGTTGACGATAGAAACAAGTACATGGAAGAGGAAGTATAAGACGAGCGATCGAATGTATACAGGGAACAATGAGGTGGGTGCCCGGGGAAGACACCGCGAAGTTTATGGTATCCAAACTCCCCCGTTTTGCCGTGGTCTTTTCAGTACGTCAGAAGCGCCATAGAGAAAAAAAACAACGTCATTGCCGAAGGCAGGATAGTTTAGTAAAGTGAATGTGGGCACTGTGGGCTACAGAAATTGGGACATACTATATTATATCTCAAGTATGGATAGATAAATCCTTCCTCATTCGTTGAGAATCTGAAATATATTGTCTCATTGTGCGAGACTTCACCACCTTCTCACTCTTAGATGCTCTACGCTTTGCACCCGCTCTACTGTTCGTCGCATGGGGGTCCTTGGTGCTCTTTTTCTGCTGACATCTTCCCATCTTCGCCAACATATCTGCGCATTTGGTTTTGATTCCCTGAAGAAGCTGGTATCACCTCAATAGCATCTTGCTACCATTAAAATACCAAGAGAGGATTTAGTAGCATTAAAGTTTAATTGGCAGAAAGAAGTAAAGTCATGGCTTTCGCTTCTTATTTGATTTCTAGCATGCATAGCCTGTTAGCTACAACCAGATTCCGGTCCTATCATGACTCCCAGAGATCTGCAGCGGAAACCGGGATTTTCCAAAGTTCCTGGTAAATCCACGTATTAATGCTCTTCCACTCTCTGATTAGGCCTCCTTTCGCAGCTAATCCGGAGCTTTATACACTGATTCATCCGTGTTCAAATTTCCCAACCAACTTTTGGAGCCTGCCAAGCTGCTTCAAAGGACTGGTTGTTCATGCTTGTTTCCTGTCATAGCACTTGAGTAAGCAGGTCTGCTCTTACAGATTTGAGCCCAATTAACAAACTTATCATTTCATCCGTTAGGAAAACGGTATCCCAAGTGAGCCCATCAAGGGAGCAGGGACCTGCAAAATAGGCATAGGCATTGTTCTCAATCCATTTCCCAAAGTTTTAGATTAAGCGTTGCCAGCAAAATCGTAGGAATTCCAAGTTCAAAGCAAAAGATGTTGCGTGACTACAGTCAGCACATGAACAGGTGTTTCATTTGTCATAGCACTACAAGCAAGAAACATCCAGACGACTCGCCCTGTCAGGAGAACACCAAGAATGCAAAATTTGCCGTATAAAAAAAAAACAGATCTCATGAACGTAGGCAATTTCATCCTCAACCTGGAACAGCTACTCTATTTGGGTCCTTCTTAGAAGTATTATCAAACGATGCCTTCAGGTCTGAAACCCATCCTTTAAAATTCCAAATTCACGTCCAAGTTTGCATCTGCAT